CCGCCTTTCGAAGAAAGCAGGGAACTATTAAAATGGGTTCGTCCGTCTGTCTGTTTGTCTGTCTGTCCGTTCCGCTTATGGTAAGCAGAAAAAACAAATTGAAAAAGAAACTATTATAAATTAATTAAATATGTAGTATGCAATAATGAATTGACATTTAATGACAGAAAGAAAACAGTGAACTTTGCACAACTTGCAGCAAGATGGAAAATAGATCCGTTGATACAACCAAACTCTAGATCTGTAGGCATAGAGCATGTTTTCCCCTTAATATGCTATAATTATTCCATCAAAAACATTGTATGCTTAGACTATAAGTAAAGATATACTGTTTGATTGTTCAATACTTTGTAAAAGATAATTTGTGATAAATTTATATGTGTCCTCTAATTATTTTCCTATTTCGGCGGGGGACATCAGCCTCACTGTTGGCTTGTTTTAATACATGTAACTATACATGTAATTATAGTTGGGCGGCCCATTATGATCTACTTAAAGAGTCATTATGCAAGAGCTAAATCTGGCTATTGCCAGTCTTTTTTCTCGCTTCAGATGTTATATGAATTATTATTTCGACATTTATTCACATGACAAGCCTATAATCAACTTTCTAGTTAATCAGATGGTTTAGATATTGAATGGATTAGAACATCAGCGCCATATGATAATTTAACGTGAATAAATCGTAGCAATAGTACTTGACAATTGAGACTATTTACACTACAATGTATATATCTCATCAAAACTTTAAAGATGCATTATATGTAATGAAGTAATTTGACTCAAATTTTCAGTATATTCATTTTTCATTATCTATTTTTGAACTACATTATAGCAAGAACATCCAGATCATTATCTAAATCTTACATAATGCATCTTTAATTAAGGAGTATATCTTTATGCCAGCTGTGCATTTACTTAGAAATATATGAATGAAATATGTTTGTATAAATTTAAAGCATATATAGCTGTTTCATTGTTTTTACAGTATAAAACCTATATTGATAGGAAGTCATAACTATATAGGGCACCAGACCGAAACTTGTTGACTTTTGGTTGATCATTAATCATGCAAAGCTTGTGTAAACTTAATTGCTATGCTGGTTTGTCTGCCATTCAGGCAATCTACATGTACAATGCAGTTTGGATGTAGCTTCTATCATCACATCTCAACTTTTTGTGTAACAATTGTAGCACCTGTCAAAGACTGGTCATCAAGTGCAACATTAGTAATCCATATTATCTAAATTTAATCTTTGTACATCAAACTCTTTACATGTAGAGTACATACTTTTAAAACATGGGTAGTTGTGGTTTGAGTGAGATTACACTATAAAATGTGACTTTGTACACAATTTATGAGAGAGATATGGGCTTTTAACAAACTAGGTCATTTTGGGACTAACATGTTTTATTTTAATAATCGCTTGTACACAGGGGTCTTGAGCAGTAGGAGAAAACCAGAGAAATATAGAAATCAAACAAGATTAGACAATCGACTTGAATCATCCTCCTTGACCATGCAGTCACCATGATTCACTTCAAATAATCAGTATCTATGGTGCAATCATGAATCATTATTTCTTTGTTTTTTATAAAAATATTATAGTATTTGATTGTATTCAATTATTATGTATAGGATATTAACCTACCCCAGGTTGATTGATTGTATTCAATTATTATTATCAATTATTTACTATTGCACTGATCAAAAGCTATTATTATCAAATAGCTTTAATTAATATAGAATACTAATAAAGCTACGTATTTGACTATTCTGGGAAAAATATTTAAATTTCAATTACTTGTGTTAGCACTGATATAGAATCATAAAATAAAAATGTAACAAATTTTCTTTTTTTAATATAAGAAGATAAAGAATGGCAGCTAAAGTTGTATCTATAATTGAAGAAAAATATCAGTAGTGTGGCTGATAAACGGCAAGATAAGACAGTGAATCGTAAAGAGAACTTGGATTAGTAGTTAAGTTGTACGTCTGGAAACTGACAGAAATATCAGTTGAAATACCCGGTTATATGATAACCAGCAACAAACAATCTTTATACATCATTTAGGGTACCTCTCATTCCTGATAATTCTCTACTGCTGACCTCTTCTGACGTACATGTAGTACCTCTTCATACCCTGTTGAAAAACGTCTTGTCAAGTTATTTTTTTCTTAAATTAATTGGTAGAGATTCTAAGACTGACTATTTACTTCCAGGAATTTGTTCCTCGTTACAATTATATCGTTTTCCAAATATCGTTTTTTGACATAGTAGCTCTTCATACCCTGTTGAAAACTGTCTTGTCAAGTTATTTTTTTCCCCTTAAATTAATTGGTAGAGATTCTAGACTGACTATTTACTTCCAGGAATTAACCTGTTCCTCGTTACAATTATATCGCTATCCAAATGTATTTGATAATAATTTTCAAATAAAAATTGGTATTTGGTGTTCTAGAAACATAAAGCATATTCTGCCTTGTATATGATACATGTCAATATGTTATTTTTTTATGAATAATAAATAGGTATATTATTCAAATCTCAATCTAAGAATTTTCATTTATTTTTATTGCCTCCATGATTTTTGGACTTAGACCATTAATTCTCTCTCTCCACTGATTTCAGTGTTAAATCCATGCCATTCCTTGGTCTTTAACAGTTATTTGAACATTCTCATGATCTTAAAGATGCATTATGTAATATTTGGATAAACAACTGACTGTTCTTGCTATAATAGTTCAAAAATAGCTAATGAAAACTGAACATATTGAAAATTTAGTTCAAATTACTTTATTCTGAGCGAAATTATCACTGTTTGAAGTTTTGACAAGACATAGATTTTATTATTGTTATAATGGTACTTGTTATTCGAGACTTAGCCTTGAGTCACTATTTTTAAATGAAATCATTGAATGGCAACTATGTTAAAATCCTTGCCATCCGATGGTCTAGAGAGTTGATTAAAGTTAAAGGCATGTCATGTGAAAAAATGTCTAAATAATAGTTTACATGTATATAACATTTGAAGCCAAAGATCTGCAATAGGCTGATTTAACTCTTATGTAATGTATCTTTAATCTTTATATAGAGTCCAACATGTCACATTCATCTGATAAAGATTTTGAAGGGGGTTGATGATCAGCTGATCGTAATCTGCATTTTGCGAACAATATTTTTTTTCACATCCCCACTAAAATCTACTCATATTGATTATTTAACATTTAATAAGGATACAAAGATTAAAAAAGAGGCCCATGAACAGATTTTTTTTTTTTTAACCTTTCATATCATCTGAATTCTATGACCAGTGTTGATAAATTTTCAATCCGTCATGTCTTTGTAAATATTGAACATATTGGAACCATTTTTGGACTGTTATTCATGTGCCTTTTTCAGTCTTGTAGTTTTTTAAGGGATTGACAATCTCTCAAATATCGATCAGTGGCTTTGATATAATGGAACATTGTTGTAGATCTTCAACTGAATTGTGGCTGTGAAAAAGCAATATTGTACTTTATAAGGGTTAAAAATTGCCCAAACGATGGAGACTTTCTTTAATTAAATGATCAAAACATTTAAAAAAAAAAAAAAAATTTCTTATTACCGGTATCTGCATAGGTGAATAAAAAACACAAAAACTACAGAATTTACGCATTTTCTGGATCGATGCTATCTAAATTGGAAAATACTAGATAAACTGTTAGATATTAGAATTTGTACATTCTTTCCGGGAATTGTAGACAGGAATTCCAACATTCCTCTTTAGAACAATTGTGTAATGGATACCTTTACTCAGAATTGGGGGTGAAGAAAGCAATTAACATAGAATCTTGTATGATTGATCAGGAGTGGTTTATTTTATCAGGGAGTCCCTGGTAGTCGAGAGAAACTTGATATTTTAATATTGACTGTTAAAAACCACTTACGGACAGACCACCTGTTTATATATCTCAACACTAACGACAGGTACTAACAACACACCTGTTGTAACTCACCTTTATTACCTCTAGACATAAAAAACATTTTACGCTTTCCGTGTTTTATATTTATAATATGTTTCAATCAGTTTATACAACTTCTGTTTCAACTTTTTGACCCTTGGCGTGTTTTTTATAAAAAAGAATATGTGTGCCGTCTGCTCCTGTAAGGCTTTCATCATTTAGAAACCTGTTTCTGGAGCGAGATCAATGATTTACGATAATACATGTATGCATTGTCTGCCTGCACTTTTACCAGAAATGTAGACGTATACTTCAGTAATATTTATATAAATGTATCAATGTGTCATTGACTTGGGCATAATTGTTGTTTGTTTCCACTTAGTTTCATGTTAAAAGAAATACAGTGGCTTACACGTATGTGTGTATGGCCTGGCTCACTAACAAGGAGTTCACAGGTTCGAATCTGTCCTGCAGTTGGCTGAGAAAATTCCTCAGGATTTTTCAATATTCCCTTGTCAGTAGTACAGTCATTGGAATGGGATGAAAATCTGAGGCCTGTGTATACAATTGGCAACACGTTAAATCCCCAGACAGTTGGAAATCAAAATGAGAGTAGACTGAAGCACCACTGTCCAGGCATGTTTTCTCTTTGCATGTCAGTTATGTGATTATCCCAACTGGGCAAAATAGTAAGAAGTTAAACTCCATTTCATTTCACACCAATTCGACTACCTGTAAAAGTGTTTTGCTATGGTTTGTAAGTAGATGTTAAAATGGCCCTCCCTGTTTGATTATGGTCGAAAATAAATTTGTTGATGGTAGGTGGCATAAAGCTTACACTCTAACTAATTAAAATAACACATATCAGATCAACCCTGTATTTAACATTTAATTTTAACTTAAATCAAAGACGTTCTGATTTTATTAATCGTAGGCGTATTCTTACAGACCAATTTATGCCGTCTGCCAGCTCGTTTTAAACAAAATGCCATTTCTCTGTTCATGTTTTTGCCGTGTATTATTTCATGTATTTTGTCGTCTGTCATTTCAGGTTTTGATGTTTTAAAGAAACCACAGATTGATACATTAAATTCTACGCTATATTTAAACAAGGGAGATAATTTAACGCTGACTTGCTCCGGTAATAATGATGTAAAATGGTATTCTACAGCGCTGGGTGCAGGAGTAAGTTTTTAAAAACCATTATGTTTACAATTTAATGTTACAATAGATTGAATATGAGAGCAGGAAATGTCACGCCTCTACCTCTTGGTTTATCTCAATAACCCCCCGTGGCTCTTCTCTCACCTTCCAACCAGACCACTCCCCTTTGCCAAGGCCCTTCTGACTTTGGCAAATGCTCACTAGTCTGCAGGTTAACAGGTTTAGGGTTGTGTTGGTTGAACTTCTCTTTAAGGTCCTGCTGGTTTGATTTAGCGGCGGACTAGTGACCTATGAACAAGTAAACCGCTTTCAAGGCCTCCCAAACGACCCAAAAGGAAGGCGACAGTTGAAGTTATATTATTTTGAATATAAATATCTCAATGAATATGCTAATATCTTAATTTATGCAAATTTTTTGATTCAAGTCAAGGTTTCAAGCAGTAGCCAACTAAACGCTGGGCCACACCCACACTTGCATAGTTGTCGAAAAAGTAGGCCAAGTCTCTTGGACAAAATTTTGTCAAGATCACTAAAGAGTTGACATCCTACGGCTGTGTCGATATTGCTCGGTGAAAAGGAATGGTGTTAAGGAAATAGCGACCAGCCTGATTTCCGCTGTAATATAATAGCGCTATCGTATCATTGTGAAAAACTGAATGAAAGTTTCAAGATTTCCTAACTAATAAGCTTAGGTCATGTGATTAAAGATCAAAAGGTCATAGGATTCTTTGAATATGATTTTAATCTTTTGTGGTTTTAATTTCAATTGAGAAATATATTCATTAAAGGAGATTTACATTGTGTGTTTGTGATATTTCATAATATCATAACTGAATAATATTTCATAATATCATAACTGAATAATATAGGTCAATTAATGTTAAATTTTCAAACTCTGTTATGTTCGACATTATGTTATTTATATTTCACAATTTCGGCCCACAAAGTAACCTAATTTTCCCACATCTGAAGTTAATAATCAGTTGAATGAAATGATATACAACTCCAAATATAGTCAAAGTTGTGGTACAGTCGACAGATTTTTATAAGACTTTTATAGACTGAAATGACTAATCAATTGAATGTAATGATATGCAACACCAACTTCAGTTAGAGTTTTGATAGCGTAGGAGACAAAAGACTTTACATGACTGTAATAACTAAAATCTGAGGACACCTTTCCATATCATAAACAAAAACTTTTCAAGTGACAAAATTTTTGTAGAAAATAAACATGAGAATAAAGTAATGGACCTTCAAATTTTTTTTTTTTTTCTATATATGTCAATTTGTCTGAAAATACATGTAGGATAGTGTGGTCTCAGGAACCTCCAAGAAATGTATCAATTTATTAATTATAATTGATCTTGATTCATTCATTTTGCTTTGTGTAAATGAATATTTGCTTCCTTATCAGTTTTCTGTTCTCTTAAGATCTTATTTTATGTGCTACAATTGGTAAAATCATTTTTGCCCAGTACAAAGCATCATTGCATTAAATTAGACTACATTAGACTAGAGGTCATTTCAGGTCAGCTGAACACAAACTTGTAAACGATCCTACAAGATCCTACTGTACAGTATCAGAAAGTTTAAGACTTTTCTGTTTTTGTTGTTCAAGGTGTGACAAGGACATTGATAATCCTCATTCAAGATTTCTTGACTGTTCGTATTTAAAGAATGAAAAATACTAGACAATAATGATATAGCTTGTCCACTTTCCTTCTACAATTTGTATGTGTGAAAATAACAAGTGACCATATGTTAGTCTCAGAAAAACTTCTTTCCAATTCTGCATCCATTTGGAAATCTGAAGGTGTACTTGCATTAAAGGGCCATTTAACAGTTTGAAAAAAAATAATTTTGATTCGACGTGATTTCATTATACTTATTATTTCATAGGGCATATTCAAATTAGATTCTTTTCTGCATCCATACATGTATCTGGCGATCTAAAAGTATACTTGCATTAAAGGAACATTAGTACTAAGGTGTTTTTGGCAGTTTATAAAAAAAAGTGATAATTCTGCTTTAAAGAATACTCTTTTAGTCAGATACAGTGTACCAATTATTTTCAGACTGTTCAAGATACTTCAGATGTGATAATTAGTGAAAGGAAAATCTAAATTTGTGCCAATTAACGAGAAATGGAACTCCAAGTACAATATTTGGACAGTGTACTTTAACAGCTGAACTGGTGATAAAACCGTATTTAAGACAATCGACATAGCATTTAGTACTCTATCTATCACAGGAAGTTGATTACTAATCTACGATTCACACTTACTTAATGGTCACAATCTTTCACATTAAACATTGCATAGTCATTAATGTCGTAAATAGGATGGGCAAAACAATCAGTGGGGGGACCTTGATAACACTGACCTACAATCGTAAATCAGAAAAAAAAAGGCTACGTCACTGTAATCTTTACGTAGTGATACAAGCAATAAAAGGAATAGTTATCCATTTTATTCCCCAGGGCTTGATATCATTCCAGTATTGAATTGCTATCGTTGTTGACGACTTTTTTCCACTGACCTTTTCCTTTACAGATTTTCCCCCCAATGATTTCTGTATTAAACCAAAAATTTTATCTGAATTTCTGTCTGGAGTTTTTATGTGAAGGATCCCCTTATGTATGAATTGCTGTTGTTGTTGCCAACATTTTTCCACTGGTCTTTTCCTTTACAGTTTTTCCCCCAATGATTTCTGAATTAAACCAAAAGTTTTATCAGAATTTTCGTCTGGAGTTTTTATGTGAAGGATCCCCTTACGTATGAAAATCTTTGTTCATCTTTTAATGATCAGCATTTTAGTTTTTATGGAACCACAGGTTTTCAGAAATTAACATATTTGAAGAAAAAGTTTTGACTAGAAAATAAAATATGCTTAGATTGTTATAAATAAAATCTTTACGGTACCAGTATATTCTAGGCCATACATTTTGTATGAGAGAACTTGCCAAATAAAGTGAAACAGTTGTCTATTACAGAGTTGTCTTAATGTTAGCTTTAGTGTTCATATTCTCTTTTCTCACAACTTTGTCAATGATTTAAAGGATCTGAACCTCTAACTCAATATATTATCAATGATATTCGAAATTAAAAACAAGTATTAAAATATTGGTCCATTTCAATCCATATTGATGTTGTTAATTTACCATGAAAATATGGTACATGCATCCTAATCCGATATAATAATGAACATTTTAAAAATAGTATACAACATTGTGTACTCTGCGGTTTCATGTGTCATTTGTAATGAACAAAGAAAAACATATCCGGCAAGACAATACAGAAGTAGCCTAATTCAAAATGGCTGATTCCCAAACGACAAAATAATATTTTAAAAAGGACTGCCATTCAATTTGGAATCTTCACGAATTTCACTAAGCACAATTGATTAAAAATTACAATAAATATTTTGAAACTTGAATGTAAATCTCCATATAAACGCTCTATTTTAAGGTTCCAAAGAATAGAGCTATACACCATTTAAGCAGTTTAACACAGTTGCCATGAGAATAAAATTGTATAGCGCCAAGTATTAGAATCCTTTCCATTCGTATCCATGCTGATCAGAATAATAGAAATTATTCTACTATTTATATCCGAATATTTGTGTTCACATTGTGACAATAAATTATTTGTTTTCCCAGAATAACCTTACATTGTATGATTTAAACTGTAGTCTATTTTGCACATGCTAAAAATAAAACAAAAACCGACAGTTATTGTATATACAAAATTGGTGACCTGTATGACCTTTAATTCACCCCCTCTACTTATTAAGTTTTAACAAAATAAATATTTGTGAAGTCAACAATCACGCTTTCGTTTCATGCCATTAATTTCCCACTAATGTAAGTGATTGGATTAAACTAAACATTCAAATTGATATTTCCGTTGGTTGAAATGGTTTAATATGAAATTGAGCAATGAACCCATTGAACATGGCCTCTTTATTCATTTTACTAATGTTTGATGTTCGAAATAAACAGTAGAATTTAATTATTGATTTGAACACATAACCAGAACAGTAGGGCAATATTTATTTTGTTCTCAGTGATGTAAGGGTGGATCTTGGGAGAGGGACAAGGACCTCTCTCTCTCTCCATCCCATCCCATCCCATCCCATCCCATCCCATCTCATTTCCTGTTTTAATTTACAACCAAACTGAGGTAACATACATGGTTTCCATTTGGCACCGAGTTTACCCTCTTTGATTTTTTTCTCATTTTGTTGCATTGTACCCTGTATTGCATAAATTAATATCTTCACAAACACCCCATTTATCATCATAATCTATGTCACTTTTAGAAACTAGGAAAAGATTTTTAGAACAATCTCCCTAATAAATGTGGTTATCAATTGTCCTATTTTGATTTCTGCTTGTTTGGTGATACAAATGCACATGTGTATGATGACTAATATTTGTTCACCATTTAAAGTATTAATTGATGAAATAATTATTATAACTGTTATTCTAATAATTACCTCCCTTCATCAAGAATATCATCAGCTTCAGTTACAACCAATAAAATAATAATTACATTGAGTAGATGTAACTCATGCTTGAAGTAGAACAGTTCCAGTTGATGAGATTTCAATGGAAACCATTAACTTGTCTAAGATATTGCAGTTTAATATAGACCAATGGAAATAACATTTCTTATTTTTTTTTTTAGAATATTTCTTTATTGAATTTCAATAACCTGATATGGGTGAAATATAAAATCGTTGATTTAATTCAATTTGATATTTTGATTTGTTTTGTGAATTGAAGATGTTGAACTGATTTTAGGCAGAAAATGAAACCAAGTTTATATATTTGCTGATTCCAATTGTGCATTGTTTGTACAACATCTAATTTTTATGGCTTAATCCACACTTGAGCTTTTAACATTTAATAAAAAAAAAATGTATTAATGGTAGATAATCTCCTTGCTTGGATTCAATCATTGAAAAGAGGCCCATCAAAAGATTTTGCCCAAGAATTATATGTGGCACTTGGTTGTTTACATCATCTGCAGAAGATGTCTAATGTTTTTATATTTTCAACTCATTATATATTTATTAACACTGAACGAATTATTGACTGTAGATAATATCGAATTAGCAAAAGGCACATCTACTATGATTGGTGGATGTGTGTATAAACATTCATAAAGATATCTTGAACGGTTTATGAGATATGCTTCAGAAACAAAATCAGGAAGGTTGATGGATGGAGTCAGTGCTGAATTAACCATGAACCAAACTAAGCATGTGCTTAGGGTTTCATGGTAATGGAGGCACCACCGAATGTTTGCTTAAATAGATGCCAAATTTAAAATATTTAATTTAAGAATCAACTAAGAACTTTCGATCAATTTTTCATTGTTTTTGTCTTTTCATACTGTTATTTGGTTTGTCGCAATTAATAATGACGTGTATAAAATACCAGAACAACTCTAATCACGGGCTTGGCGATTGTTTGTGCTTTATTATTGTTTATATTTTGAATTACATATATATGGGGGCACCAAAAGCTTTTACTTTTATGTGCTTAGAGCCTCTGGGTCTTCATCTGGCCCTGGAAGGAGCATGTGTCAATATCCCTTCCTTAACTTTGTTTGACACTGTATAGTAGTTGGGATGGGAGCCAATTTTAAGACAATTCTACAGTAAAAATCCATCTACCTAGGAAGAATAGTGAATTATATTATTTTTTTTATTTCAGCAGCAAGGGACACCTGAACCTGAAGGCCATGGTATATTATTTATTTCACTTCCGGTACAAGAAGGTGGTCGTTACGCTGTACAGTTGAATATTACCAATGCCCAGTATTATGACACGGGACGATATAGCTGTCTTTACATAGATGATTATAATAAGATCAATTCTAGTGTCTATATCTACGTCAGAGGTAGGTGGTATATATGTTCCCGAGAATTACATGACCGAGCAGGCTAATATGTGCGCTAAAGATCATGTAACCAAGGTTTATCATGCAGCAGATATGCATGTCAGTAATCTTGGAGGCTTTTAGCTAAATCATGCCCCTTAAAAAGACAATAAGTGGCTCCAAATTGAAGTTGTCATTAACTTTAAGGTTATATTCTTCACATACCAGTGTCTATGAAATATTGCACCTTGCTATTCATATGCACTACTAACACCATAACAACAAATTGGGTTATTGCGATCTCATAACCTGACCACACTAGTCGTTCCACAGTTGAACGTGTAGTTGTTCCTAATTTGTGGAATGATTTACCCTTGAAGATCCAAGCATTTGTAACAACAGGGGTGTCAGACATGCAGCCCACAGTTCAGATCCGACCCACCAAGGGTTTAAATGTTGTCCATGGAACAAATTTCAACAGACTTATGTGTCGATAATTCTTTTATTCTTAGAAACTAGTGGTGAAAATCTGTACTGTAGGTCATAGATATCTAAGTTGTATGTAATACAAGAGAATGTTGTGTTCAATATTATCCCATGGCAATTTGGAAACCAGTCTAAAAAATTACCTGTGTCAAGGATGCTGGGCTTTGTTTTTAGAATTCAGTAAAGTTTAGTACATGTACATCTTTAGTTCATGTGGCCCTTGAATCGAAATGAGTTTGACACCCCTGATCTAAAACCTTGACTGTACCTTCAAATCACTTATTTAGGAAATGCTGTGAAAATATAACTCATCATCATCATCATCATCATCATCATCATCATCATCATCATCATCATCAACAACAACATACTGAATTTTACTTCTTCTCCATTTCAGATCCAGATAGATTATTATTGGGGCATGCATCAGCACCATTTCCATTCTTCCTGTTGATCAATAGAAATAGACCAGCAGTAATTCCATGTAAGGTATCGGATCCAACGGTTAATGTTAGTCTGGTAAAGTCTATCGGCATGGTACCAGTATCAGGAAGAAAAGATGTTACATATGACCCAGAAGTTGGTTTCACACTGTACTTTCCTAATTTATTTTATGCTGGAAATTTTAAATGTATTGCTGAATATAATGGGACAGAAGATGAAATGATGGTCGTTCTAAGATACAGTGGTAAGAATTTAATAAATTAAATGATTGCCATCCTTTATTTTATTGTAAAAAGCCTATGATCGTTAGACCTACTAGTAACCATCATCTCTTGGTAGGGTGCTATTGATACTTATCAAATACTAAGCTGCCGAATGACTACTATATCTGTTTGTTCCAAAGTAGTTGATTAGACTCATAGAGGGCTAAACGGTAATCCTTAAAGAAGAAGGTTTAGACATTTTCTATTAAATCACTTGATGGATTGTAATCAAATTTGGCAGACTGTTGGTCGGTGCTTGTTCAGATTGGTTTAAAGGTACATGTAGTTCATAGGGTCTTGCAAATTAAGTTGCTTTTTAAAAAAAATCTTCTGCTGGATGGATATCAATGCAACCAGTCACAAATACTTTTATTTTAGAAAAAAAGTGTCCAGACAACTTGTTAAAATTGATCAATTCTAACTTAAGGTTCATATACATGTATTGCCATTTAAAGTTTACATTAGATTCTATTGATTTCCCATTGCCATCTCTTTTATTACATATTAATAACAATCTTTACATTAAGATAATGCTTATAATTGACTTCTGAATTGTTGTACCTATTAAGGGGATGTTGTGTCTCTAATGCTATTGCAGGGTTTGTGAGAGGCGGAGGGTTAAGTGGAATTCAGAATATGCTTACCCTTTCAAATGAAAGGTACCACTCCCTTGAACACTTTGTACTTTGCTGATTAGAGATGATTATGCATGATTTGTATTTTACTGGCGATGACATGTTAATAATAATGTTTACAGATGTGTTGATATATATGCCACCTGTAGTAATAGATGTTGAACCAGCTAGAAACGTAATGGTCAATAGCTCTGTCAAGTTAACCTGTAAGGTCAAAGTTGAAAGGGACACAATGATACAAATGACCTGGGACTATCCTAATAAACCAGTAAGTCTTAATTATCATATTATGCCAATGATCAAGAAGAATCTTATGGGGTTTTTTTTTATTACAATCCGATTAAAACTGAATGTTATTTTACAATCTGAATAAAACTGTATGCTATACTATTCAAAAAAAGTAGGGGATATTTGATTTTGGGGGCATAATACTAAAATATGCAAATGACTACGAAAAAAGTCACTATAGAACCTAACAGAAGAAACATTTCCAGTTACATGTGACGCCCAAATGCACCAATAGCTACCGCATGGAATGCAGGTGATGCTTGGGATCATCATGGGGGTCCATCCCAAGATTTGCACGACTCTGACTTTGAATGTTACAGTCATTGTGGCATTGAATTCCAGGGTGGAAACATCAGTTTAATTGTTTTAGTGACCAGAAAACAAATTTTGATATGCGTCGGCTTACCCAAAATGAAAGGTTAAGTGCCCTTGGCATGCTACAGATCGGCACAACACAGGCGGTTGTGGCGCGGACGATGAATGTTTCTCAGTCTGTCATAAGCAGGCTATGGTCCGGATACTGTGATACACAATCTGTACAGGACAGACCACGCTCAGGTCGACCAAGGGCGACAACTCAAGCCCAGGATTGATTTATCCGTACCTTGGCCTTGAGAAATCGTGTCATCACAGCAAATCAGATCAGCGCTCGTCTTCAAACAGACACTGGTGTGAGAGTGAGTGGCCAAACGATTCGGAATCGACTGCATAGGGGTCACCTTCGCGCCCGACGTCCTCGCGTGATCCCTTGTTTGAGAGATTATCACATTCAGGCAAGACGTCGTTGGTGTAGGGATCGTCAACACTGGAATAATCGACGCTGGAGCAATGTGATGTTTTCAGATGAGTCAAGGTTCACTGTTGATTTTTTGGACAGACGTAGGAGGGTGTGGCGTCGTCGAAACGAGCGCTTCCAAGACGTTAACGTCATCAGACATGATCGATTTGGGGGTGGTTCTGTTATGGTGTGGGGAGGCATCACTGTTGCTGGAAGAACGGCTTTACATGTTGTTGCAGGGCGTGTTACAGGCCAGTACTACCGGGACAACATCTTGGCAGTCCATGTTGTGCCGTTCGCACGACGTCATGGCCGCCGTTTCATCTTCCAGGATGACAACGCAAGATGTCACAGGGCCAGGATCGTTACAGGTTACCTCCAACAACAGAACATCACCACATTACCTTGGCCAGCACTGAGTCCCGACCTCTCCCCCATCGAGCATGTCTGGGACATGCTTGGACAGAGGTTACGTCAACGTCAACAACGTCCTGCCAATGTCCAAGAACTTGCTGCTGCGTTGCAACAGGAATGGGACAATCTGGACCAAAATGACCTTAGACGTTTCATTAGGAGTATGCCACGTCGGATCAATGCTTGTTTGGCAAACAGAGGAGGATTTACCCGTTACTGACTTGGTTGTGATGCTGTGGTAACTTTGCTGTTTGACCCCGGGTATCATTTTACCCTTATAATGGTCAGTCTGTGCCTTACTTAGTCTAACGATCATTTGGAATAAATCGATGAATGTGAACTTCATTTCATTTTGTCATTTGTTTCTTCGTCAGTTTCATTAGGTGACTTTAATAACACTTAAAAATCAAATATCCCCTACTTTTTTTGAATAGTATATTATACAATCTAATTAAAACTAGATGTTATTATACAATCTAATTAAAACTAGATGTTATTATACAATCTAATTAAAACTAGATGTTATTTTACAATCTAATTAGATGTAATTTTACATAATCTGTCTCCAACTCAACAGAACATCATTTATTTGAAAACATGTCACAGTGAATAGAGGGTTTTAAGTTCCTTCCACACAAAATTTAACTGTTTAATTAATTGAAATACATCTGGGGGTTTTCCTTTAACTCCCTCCATTTTGTTCTTATTATGCTAAAGCTAAGTATTTATTGTACTGACAATTAATTTTTCAGCATACAGATGGAATTCGTCCATCCAAGGCTAAAAGAGAGACAGTGCTAGGTCAATATTCATACAGTGAAATATCCATGACATTAGATATTGATGTTATTCAAGTCAGTCATATGGGAGTGTATAGATGTACCATCAAAAATTACAAGAAAGAATCATATGGTGAAACCATCATCAGTGTTTACGGTACGTATTTTATTTTGCCGACCCACAACTCTATTACACTAGAACCCCAACTCTAACCATTTATAATGGCACTGAGCAAAGTTAAGGTAGGAATATTGACATTGGCTTCTTCTGGGTTTGTTTCCAGAGCATATTGCTTAAATTGTTCAAGATATTGTTATGAATCTTTGTACACACATTGATCTTTTGTAGTTGTGCCTTTTGCTAATTATAAATTTCTCAGGTATAATAATTGTGTGTTTCCATGGAAACAAAGTTGTCTTAAATTTTGATATACCAAGGCGGGTGATGTTCATAACTGAGTCTTCTTGTTTATATTTCATACGGTTTGCTTTCTCATATTAAAATACTTGCAAAAATGCACAACCCAAAAAACAAATCATTTTGACTTTAGAGAATGAAGATGGCAGGAGTGTCGAAGTCATCAGAGTAACTGTCAATCACTATTAATTTGTAAACAAAACCATGTGGTGTAGCTGAAATGACTACTCTCTGTAAACACATGGCTATGTAATATACGATAAGAAAGTTGTAGAACTGAGTTGTTGTTGTGGATTTAAGCAATATTTACTAATTATAATTACAGAGTGATTTCCCTTTGTGACAATATCTCGTTATCACTTTTAAAGGCTTTAAGTATGATTGATTATTTTTTTTTCTTCAGAAAAGACATTTGTATATTTAACTCCGGGAGATGATGTTGAAGTTGTCGTAGGTGACAAGAAAGCTTTCCTTCGATTTGGAATCAATGCTTTTCCTGAACCCTCTTTAGAATGGTATTTTGAAGATAAAAAAATTACTGCAAATCATTTTTATGGCATCGGGTAAGATAATATTATTAAGTTGAAGAATTTGTAGAAATTACGATGAAATGTTTCTTGATCTATTCATTTGGTAGAAATGATGCAAGCCAAAATGGTTGTACCCAAACAATAGTGTACAATATGAAACGCGATAAGAAAAACCCTTATGAAGAAGTAAGTACAAAAAATAATAAAGACAATAACTGGGCTATATATTGTATTATTTAACTGTATCATTGCTGATAATATCAGCCAAAACATGTAAGAAATATATGTCTTGGTATGGTGAACAAAAGGTATTCTCTTACCCAGTTATCATCTTCCAAATACAGAGCCAATATTGAACTCTCATGGCAACTTAAATTTTATATTTATTACCTTATGATTATTATTATTATTATTACACATTTCTTTAGCACACATAAATGTGATCTTGTGTGCTTTACAAAGACGTGTTATATAGAGCAAGACAATATGACATTTACATAATAAAACGAGATAACAAAGAGCATACTTGATAAAAACTGAACATGTTTGATATAATTACTATATTTCTTGTATTTCTGTGTTTACAGACAAGTTGATGATGCTGCTGCATTATCAGTATTTTATCCTACTGCTTCTAAAATGGGGAAGTATACACTGTTCGCCTATACACAAGATATGAATACATCAGCTTCTATGAACCTGTTTGTTTTTGGTAAGTAGGCTTTTTTTTTTAGAATTAGTTGTCTTGATTATTAAAAGAATTTGATTCATATAATATTTTGTCATCGTGGGCATGGTCATTGTCAATCACCTTCTGTTCTTCCTCTCTTCCTTCCTCTCTTCCTTCCTCTTCTTCCTCTTCCTACATCTTTTTCTTTTGATTCACAAATGTGTTGTGATGTAACTTTACATTTACATGTATATAACCCGCAAACAGTGTATAAATTAAAATTTAAAATAGATACGCAATAAATAACAATAATATTTACTGTCATACACTGGTAAACAAAATTTTTTAAAACATGGTCTAAAAAGAGATACTGTATCATTCTGTCTAATAAAAAGTGGGAATTTATTCCATGAAATGGTGATTTAAAAAGTATGCATTTGGTTGACAAAGCAGTAACCCATCTGATAAAGACCTCATTAGTATGCTTGATCAGTAGAGCGAACCAGCACAGCTTTCTATCCAAATGACAAGAAAAAAAGCAGGAAAAACGTAATCCTGTTGCATGAATGATACTTCTGTAATATTTGAAAACACTTTTCAACATCCTGAAATTTATATAATATATTGAATTACGTAGAATATTGAATTACCTGTGTGTATATATTCAATCTGTTAAAAAGGGAATCTTTATTTTATTCTAATTTAGTATGCAAATTATCGGTATCGGTATTTATATCGGCCAATAGTTTTACTAAGGGTGTCTGATTTCGGTTTTACCCATAAAACTGCTGTCAGCTTATCTCTAATTTAGAATATTGAATTACACATGTATATTTTCAATCTGTTTAAAAGGGAAATCTGTATTTTATTGTAATTTAGAATTTTACCTAAGGCTGTAATCACTACAGTGTAGTGTAAACTCAAATGTCAAACAAAAGATGCAATGACACCTCTAAAAGACATCTGATGGCATCGAGAGTTGATTATCGTCTTGTCATGTTAATAAATGTCTAATTAATAATTTATATAACATTTAAGGCCCAAAGAAAGACCTGCGTGTGATGGGCAGATTTAGCTCTTACATAATGCCTGTTTAATAAAGCATAACCCTGTTACATCTACATTTTTTCATTTTACGTCTTTAGGTCCTCCTAAGATGAAGTGGGCGACTAAAAAGCCTGTAACTAAGTATATGATTAAACAGCGCTGGAGGTTAGAGTGTCAAGCTACTGGTTATCCAGCCGCTAATGTCACCTGGCTATTTAAAGAATGTTTACCTCAGAATTGTTCGGAGTGGGTCAACATTACTGAAACTAATTTGTCTTACGAGATCAAAGGTACTACCCTATCCAGCCTTGATATTATAGCTGAACGATCAGGTTGGATTCGGTGTCAAGGAGAAAATAATTATGGTATGGATTTCTTAGAAACTGAGTTTACTGTTGTTGGTGAGTGATTTGTTTTTAAAATATTTTTTCCTCCATTGAAATGGTCTCATTCGGCCATTGTTTTGTTTCCAGAGCGTATCGCATAAATTGTTCAAAATATTTTTATGAAACTTTGTTCACATCCACCTGTTAATTAGACATTTTCGTGGTTTCAAAAAATGTTGTGTTCTCATTGAAACTGATTAAGTCTGATTCCCCTCTCTCCTGAAAATATTTTTACTAACCAATGATATATATGTTGTGTTTCAGAGGTTCCAAATGGTTTAGGTTTCAGCGAATTAAATCGTAACGTAACAGAATTTGACCGTCTGGAGTTAGAATGTTATGGGAGTCGTCACTTTTACAAAGATTTGGTTATTTTAAAAGTTAAAGACAGTCCTATAGCCCTTGACAGCAATGTGATTGACAATGATAATGATAGTGACACTACAGTCAGTTATACAGTTGATAATAATTTTACTACCTCGGCTACAGATACTGCTGGTTTTACAACTATTGTCGAACAGTAAGTTCATTTTCTCAATGATTAAACTGGTTAATGTGATGTTGGCAGTTCGAATGGTCTCACACGTCCGCTTTAGATCATAAGGTCTGTTATTGTGTCAACTGGTGTGGTTTCTTGTCCCCGCTTGTACATGACAAGGAGTAGGGTTGCCTGCCTAAACTTGTGGGTTTTCTCCAGGTCCTCGGGTTTCCTCCCACCACTAAAGACCCCTACACGCAAGCGGATTATTGAAATTAAATTGAACCATATGTTAGTCCTTAAAATGATGGGGAAGTTTAAACTGGTTTAATAACACCAATGAGAGAGAGAGAGAAATGGGGTTTAATGCCCACTCGACACAAACTAGGTCATTACGGGACCAGGCCTTCACGTAAAAGGAGCGCGATCGCTCTCGCTCTCCTGGACGCGCCTGGATGTCAGTCGCGGTGCGCTTTTTATAGCTCTCCTCAATGTCTAATTTGACTCCCCTCAAAGAAAAATTATCAGGAAAAATATACTGGTAACGAAAAATACTGTCAATATCATATCGACAATCAACCATAGAACACCAGATATCCCGAGAAACAAATATAACTAATATATTTTTCCGTCAAGATCTTCAATGCTTTCAGATTCCCGATAACACGTGACATGCATTGGTTGGAATTAGGTCAATAAACCAGCATTGCAAGATTTATTTTTAAATAGTGTTTTAGTTTTATTCAACTGTTTTAGTTTTTTACACATGCTGACAGGGATTTATTCTTAAAAATATTGCCCTTTTTATTTAAGGCCATGGCATAGTCGTACGGAATTTTATTTTGTATAAAGCAATTTCAATCATGGGAGTCACGTGATCATTGTGTGGCTTGTCTTTCATCCACAAATGAAAAAAAAAATTGTAAGTTACGTGATAGACAAAAACATTAATTTGTGTTTTAAATATGAAGAAATGTCATGCTGTCGCATCAGCTTATTTTCGCCGTAGTAGATAAATCCTAATTTCGATCGACTGATGATAAATGAAGACAGTAGTCTATTCAGGAATATTACTGACTTGAACTTGTTGAAGTCAGATATTAAAGTTAACGGGAGCTTCGAATTACCCTGTTTCTTACCGGGACCTCATTTGACCCAATTCTGGCCGGTTGGTTTCGAAATGGATTAAAATCTCTGGACTTTATCGAAAATGCTAACAAAGCTCTCCTCAAGAGATTCAGGAGAGCTTTCTCAGGAGAGCGATTTCCTCTTTTTCCAATTTCAGGAGAGCTTTTTTGGACTCCCCAGGAATTTATTCACGTGAAGGCCTGCGGGACTAACGTATGGTTTAATTTTATTTCAATAAGTCTTTAGCAGTGGGAGGAAACCGGCGGACCCGAAGAAAACCCACGAGGTTGGACAGGCGACCCTACTCCTTGTCACATACAACCAGGGATTCAAAACCACGCCAGTTGACTCAATGACAGGCTTTATGATACAGCGTGCACGTGCTAACCATTCGGCCATCCAACCCCCCTAACACCAAAGAATATAGACCAGTAATCTGTAGCATTCAAATGGACAATAAAGTAAATAATGAAAATCTTGGTCAAAAGTTAATTACACATGTATATCCCACAGGATGATGGGGTTATTTTCCTCACTAGATGATGAAATATGAATACTGGTTGGTACCTATTGCCAACAATTTTAAGCCATCTTATTCAGTCATCAAAGTTAAACTTGTTATGGAAAAAAAAATGTCTGATCATGCTTCTGTTGAATGCAAAATTATTTCAGAAGATCCTTGGATATTTCCACACATATCCGCAAGGGAAAAATAAATTGTCTGCCGTAGGAAACAGACTACCGGCACATGCATAACTAAATTCTTTGACTCATCTTTCTTCAAAAAAACCCCCAAAAAACTGTCATGAAATTGATTAAGATACACAATAAATCCATATTTAGTGACCTGTAAATGCTTTCGATATGACAGTTATCGACTGCTTGGATGACTTAGCTACCATAGATATATATTGTATATTATTTAGAACAACCCATTCCAATGTAAGAAAGGCATTATTTGAAAAGCTCAGTAAGAAAGATGCAGGTGTGTATGAATGTAAGGGTTTAACGTTTGACAAGAAATTCCACACAGCTCAGTACACACTTAAACTACATGGTAAGTAATATGAATTTTTTATTTTTGGGACTTTCAAAGGGTTGCAATAAAGCTGTCATATGTTATGAAAGTTGAACATCCTACTGTTCTACTCCGACTGGGCTAATCCAGATAGGCATACGCGATGCAGTGTGCTATGAGGGAAATTTTGCACGTATAGCGGCTCAACGGCTTACTCTTATATCGAATTCCAACTACCAAGGGATCCTTTATGCGCACGGCAATGTGTACACAGGACCTCAGTTTTTTGTCCCATCCGAACGACTAGACAGCTGTACTTGTCAGGCCCTCCGTCCTGCATCACTGACAAGGGGAAACCAAGCTGGACAATCCTGATGAACTTTCTCAACCAACACCGGGATCTAACCTGCGAGATAGCGTCTTACTCACTTAGCCACCATGGCTCCTCTCTAATATGAATATCAATTCAAAAATGATTCAGTTCTGTTCCATATCAAGAACAATATTATGATTTGAAAATTTCACATATTGCATCCTCTGCAGTGTTAGCTAAAATCTTTGATGGGCCTCTGTTTAATCCAATTAAATCCAAGCTGGGAGATTATCTACTGTGGACATTGTGGTTTCGTTTTCTTAATTAAATCATAAATAATCAAATATGGATGAGTACATTTTAGCATCAATTAAGACGTGAGAAATGAGATATTGTGTAACTTTAAGTAAATTGTAACCAGTCAATATGGGTTTAAATCATAATAGTATAGAAATAATTTTTTGTTGTATAACATTGTTATGTTAAAATTAATTGTCTTTCTATACTACAACAAATATTTCATTTGATTGCTTCATTTTAGATATTATTCCTCCCTTCATGATTAAAAGTACATCTGGTAGAATTCGGGCCCAGAAGTCAACTTCATTATCAATGGAATGTCTTTTCGGAGGATTTCCAGAGCCACAGGTCCAATGGTATAAAGATGGTGATATCATCCGAGGTAACAATACCATGGATATTGGCTTCTCTCAAAATGGCGGAAGGTGAGACACTTTGTTATTAAACTTTGATTATAGAAACTATAATATCCATATAGCTATTTTGTCTATAGCAAAGCTGTTTATAGTAGTGGGAGGAAACCAGAGAATGTATATAGCTAGATATTTTGACAGCATCAGTATATATCTATAACAAAAAGTTAGCTAAATATAGCTAGATATATTTACAGCATCAATATATCTATGACAATAATAAGGTAGCTAAATAATTCTGATAGCTGCAGTTAGTTTTAAGGTAGCTAAACAATTGTGATAGCGGTCATATAGTATTAGATAGCTAAATAACTGTGATAGCTGTCATATGTGTAGTATAAGGTAGCTAAAAAGACATGGGCCCTTATTCACGAAAACTTAAACTAAGTTACAACCGAAATTTTAAGAAATACTGCAACTTCATTGGATATATGCAAATTGATTTTACTGGTCAGCCAATCGAATTGCAGTATTTCGATTGTATCTTAGTTTAAGTTTTCGTGAATAAAGGCCCTGTGATAGCTGTTATATCTGTTTATAAGATAGCTAAATATCAGTAGTATAAAATAGCTCAAATATATATCCAAGGGTAATATAAGATAGCCAAATATCTATAGGGTAGCTATAATATCTTATAAATATTTTCAGAATGATTATAGATAATGCTACCGAGGTTCATATTGGAACTTATATGTGTGAAGCTTGGAACTATGGAGGAAAAGTATTCAGCAGCAATATGACTCTTCTTGTTGGAGGTAAATATAGATCTAAATATATCAATTTGAATGAAGGGGTTGAAGAGGTGTGTGACTTAGACTGATTTTGCAACTGGCTCATTTGAACCCAAATATCGATATGATCAGATGAAGATGATCTCTCGTTTGATAATAACATGTAGGACTTTTTGTCTTTTAAACATGCATCATGCGAGAGCTAAATCTGCCTATTGCAGGTCTTTCTTTAAGCCTTAAATGTTATTTAAATTATTAATTAGACATTAATTGTCAAGATCATAATCAACTCTCAATGCCATTGTTAGCCTGCGATATTTAGTGGATTTGAATACGTTTTGTGATGGATGGTTTAACGTAAAAATTGAAAATCGAGACTTGATTTATTGTCGTACGAACGTCAGTAATGGTGATCAAGGCTAGCCCAAAATTGAAATGTTAATATCTCGGTTCAGAGTGAAGCAATTTGACTGAAATTTTCAGCATATTCTGTTTTCATTATCTACCTTTTAACTATTATACTGAGAACTGTCAGCTCTTTATCTAATCTTACCTAATACGCCTTTAATAAACTACACCAAAAATACATAAATAAAGTAATGATTTATATGATTTTATTTCTACAGAAAATTTGCACGAGGCTGGATTTTCTAAGGTTTATATTGGAATAATTGTTTGTATTCTGATAGCTGCAGCCATTATTGTGGTTATTGTTATATGCTTCATTCGAAGAATGAGAAAGAAACTGACTATAAAAGTAGGTTTATTTACTTAGAAATAACATGTTTTAAAAACATTAGCAATCTCTGTGAGTGATTTGTACGATATAAGAATCCCTTGCAAACTACAATATTGTAAAATTTGAATCTCTAATACGAATAGCAGTTCAGATCTGTTTTGTATTTATAAAGATATTGTTATATTCAGATCCTTGGATACTGGGTTATTACAATTACATGTGGGTGAAAAGGAAAAACAACCATTCTCCATGTTATAATTTCAAATCTCTTTTATTTATTCCCCAAAAAGGCAGAACTACAACATAAGGGAGACAACTTGTGTCAACTTAAATATAAGGTTTCAGACCACAATGATATAGAATATGCTACAATATCCCTTTAAAAAAAACATATTTTGTGTACCAGACGAATTTGTATCTGAGATATATAGTTTTACCAGATGTGCTGGATGTGCAATAAAAACGTGTGTTTATATTATTACAGATGAAAGATTATGAGCAATATTTATTGGCGCCGAAAGGAGATTACAATCCAGAAATACCAATAGATGAACAGACGGCATCGCTACCATACGATCCTAAATGGGAATTTCCTAAAGATCGATTAAGAATGGGTACAAATTTTGTGTTTGATATACATAATGTTACATGGGGATGTCGGGTCAAAAATCTTGTCCCATTTCATAGTCTGGCATATTGTTGGGGTTTAACAAGCAGAGTAACATACTTGACAAGTCATAGTTGGCTACAAACTATGAATGCACAATTTCTAAATCATGGTCTCAGAATGGATATACCAGTACTAGCAGCTCTAGAATATACTTCATGTCGACCTGGTGGAGACATTATTGTCCCCTGACTATTGAAATGGATTGTTCCATCTACCTTTCAATCGTTTGTAACACAATAACTGTTTTATTTGAAGTAGAATGTTCATATTCAATATTCTTTAGGTTTTGACTTTGAACATTTTTGGATTAGACTAAACAGATAAAAGCAATTGGATTTGTCAATGCTTTAGGACACGCCAACTTTTATTCAAATTGAGTGATAGTTGTGAAATTTGGTGTATAGTTTCATGGCATCAATGCCTTGGTTTATGACTACATTCGATAATGAACATTTTCTGCATTCTAAGCCTAAATTAATGAGTGTCATCTATTTATGTTTATTTTTTCTGTAGGTAATGTATTAGGTCAGGGAGCATTTGGTCGTGTTATTAAGACAGAAGCTATTGGTATTACAGAAGGTCAATATGTTACAACTGTAGCTGTTAAAATGGTTAAAGGTTAGTTTCAGTGTATTGACACTGGTTGATTATATAGCTGTCGTAATTGCCGTAAATACAAATGGATAGTTTACTCTGAAAATCATTAACACTCCCCATGCTCTTAATCCCTAAGAAGAGGATAATCTCCCCAAGGTTACCTCTGATTTGTCCAGGTGACAATGTTTTTAAAGTATGTTAGTCTAATTTACACAGTTGATAATAAATTACTGGACAATGAGGGCTTTTACTCAGATCTTAATAGATGCATATGATATGCTTTGTCAGAGCTACTGTAGCGTGGTGAGTAGCTAGGGTCTTGGCTCGCCAATCAGGAGGGTATGGGTTCAAACTGGTGTTGGTCCAAAAATGTGGAAGTTCCTCTGAATTGTCCAGCTGAGGTCCTGTATTAACAATTGGCAACATGTTAAAGATCCACTGAAATAAGACTAGGTCGTAGCGCTGCTGCCCGGGCTTATTTCTATCATAGAACACTGCGTAGTATGTGCCGTCTTGATTAGCTTAGCTTAGTAGGACGTTAAACCCTATTTCATTCCATTTCATTTTGTTCCGGTTCTCCTCACATTATGTTTACCAGTTTGTTTTTGGTTTTAGATTGTACAGACAAGGAACAGATGATGGCCCTACTCTCAGAGTTAAAAATCCTTATTCATATCGGACAACATCTCAACATTCTTAATTTACTGGGAGCTGTCACCAAAAATATCAGATTTGGTAGGTTCATTATTTTATCTGACTGGCTGAAAAAGCCTGTTACCAAAATGAAGTCTCTGAAAATTTGCTTCACTTTTCAATCAGAATTTTGACTCTCTATTGATGCCAGCATTGAGTCAAGTGGCATGGCTTCAGTACCAGGCTTGTACGTGACAAGTAGTAAGATCGCCTACCTCATTAACTTCATGGGTTTTCTTTCCATTTCCGCATTCAAAGACCCCTACATGCAAGATAATAATTGAAAAAAAAGATGTACCATGTCAATCGGGGGGATGCTTGTTGCATCATAAGGTCTGTCATTGAGTCAAGTGGTGTGGTTTCAATTTCCTGCTTGAAATGACAAGTAGTAGGTTTACCTGTCCAACCCCATGGGTTTTCTGCAGGTTCTCCGGATTCCAATCACTGCTAAAGACAAATACACACAAGCAAATTAATGAAATAAAATTAAACCATATGTTAGCCCCGAAATGTCCTAGTTTCTCTCTCTCTCTCTCTCTCTCTCTGTATGGCAGTCTCGAAATAACATTTTTCTCTCTCTCTTTATTGAAATTATACAATTTGTATTTTAGGTGAACTCTATGTTATTGTTGAGTATTGTCACTTTGGTAATGTAAGAAGTTATTTATTGAAAAATAAAGACTCTTTCGTTGATACAATGGAAGATTATGTTGACCCGGCTGTGGAGAAAAAACGTGAAGCCGCTTCTGAAAAATCAAAACGACATTACATCAACACTCCAGCACCAAATAATAGTGCTGATCTCATTGGCCCACCTCTCACAACAAAGAATTTGATTTGCTGGTCATTTCAAGCTGCTAGGGGAATGGAATATCTGGCTTCTAAAAAGGTAAGTACTGATTACAACTTTAAAAATACAGTAGAATCTGCATTAAGCAGCCACCCAAGGGAATTTTCACAACTGACCGCTTAACGGGAGTGGCCTCTTAATAAAATCTCGTTGCTTTTTGTGCCGACATAAATTAAATATTACGCTTGGATGCATTGTAAGCGGTAAATTTGGCCGTCGCTGAATCTTGCGCCGAACGAAAATTCTTTACTCAAATCTCGGACATAACTTAACGGGAGTGGCCTCTTAATAAAATCTCGTTGCTTTTTGTGCCGACATAAATTAAATATTACGCTTGGATGCATTGGAAGCGGTAAATTTGGCCGTTGCTGAATCTTGCGCCGGACGAAAATTCTTTACTCAAATCTCGGACATAACTTCTGTAAACTTGTCATTTTGTACAGACCTTCGATACTACTGTCTGCCATTGTGATGCATTCGATAATATTTATCCATTTTTGTGAAGAAAATCGATGAATTCATTTTATTTTATCAAAAAAGCACATGAACAAAAAACATAGCTAATTTTATCACCTATTTACAGGGGGTGTAACTCTGTATGTAATATTATAGGAGGCGCTAAGAGAGATACTAGATGATCGTGACAAAACTCGGTACTTTTATTTTATTCAATCAGTATCAAATAATGTGTCGTTACGCGTGAAAACAATGATCAGGTTAGTCGTTTAATAAAACAAAAGATTAATTAACAGATAATCCCGGGTTGATTGTTATGTTTACATTTCTTTTTACCTGATCAGTGGGGGTCCAGTTAATTAACTACTACTCACGGGATTAGCGGGGGTGTTACAAAGAACGACAAGATGGTATCATTCAACAATGGCCGTTGAATGGGCGATGTTTTGTTGAATTTATTAGTAAAATAGTGACCGCTGGCCACGTTAGAGGAGTGACCGTTGAATAAAGAGATAAAACAACAGAATTTCTACGGGGGGAATTTATCGTGACCGCTTTCAAGGAGATGTCGCTGAATAGGAGTGGCTGCTCATACAGATTCTACTGTATGAACTCTCTGATGATCACGTGGGGAGAAGACGTGTAGTGCCGCTGTCCGGGCAATATTTTCCTCGTAGCACACTGTATGGCAGATGCACGTCTTCATTAGCTCAATCGTTGCAGAACTGTAGGACATTAAACCTCATTTCTTTTCGAAGAACGAAAGGAACTATTAAAATTTGCGGGTCTTGTCCGTTTGTCCATCACACTTTTTGGGAAACAATGACTCGATATAAGAGTAGCACACTGTATGGCAGATGCACGTCTTCATTAGCCCAATCGTTGCAGAATTGTAGGACATTAAACCTCATTTCATTTCGAAATTTGCAGGTCTTGTCTGTCTGTCCATCACACTTTTTGGGACACAATAACTCTGCTTCTAACTGAGCTAAAATGTTCAGACTTGGTGTGAATTGTAAAGCCAATTTTAAAATCTAGTAATTTCTCTTGTTTTGATTTGCTATAAAGCATCATACACACCATGATTTAGTTTTTGACTATTTTCAAGAGGAACTAATTGTTATATTTATCTTTCAGTATATTCATCGTGATTTAGCTGCTAGAAATGTTTTATTAAGTGAAGATAATGTTATCAAGATCAGTGATTTTGGTCTAGCTAAAGATTGTTACAAGAATATGGAATACAAGAAGAAAGGCGATGTAAGCTTTTAATTAAAGTCTTTTTAAATGTAAAATACCAGCTAGATATAGAACACCCAAGAGTTAAAGATGGGTGAAAAGAGTGTAAAAGAATGAAATTTAAATTCATTACATTTTGTGCAATGAATGCTGAAACACCAGTATCTAATGTCAAAAGCCATATTTGGGGTGTGGATGGTCAAATGGTTAGCATGTGAGCGTTGTATCACAAAGTCAACTTGTTTGCTTTCGATTCCTCAGTTGTACATGACACGGAATAGGGGCACCTGTCCCACCTCATGGGTTTTCTCCGGGTCCTCTGGTTTCCTCCCACTGCTAAAGACCCCTACACACAAGCAAATTATTGAAATAAAATTGAACCATATGTTAGTCCCGAAATAACCTAGTTTATTTCGAGTGGACGTTAAACCCCATTTCTCTCTCTCTCTCTCAAAGGCCTAATTTACAAAAATTCAAATACCGGTATACAAGTCTTAAAATTTTGTTAGCTCTTGTCCAATAAATATACTATATACTTAAAATATTTTAGTTTATGTGATTATATGTGAATACAATATTTAAATATTTTGATGACACATTCTTTGTTTATATTATAGGGACCGGTACCAGTAAAATGGATGGCTCTAGAGTCTCTAACGCATAAATTATACACAACAAAAAGTGATGTGTAAGTTTTTAATTGTTTAATTTTTATGTGAAAATAAGTATTTATGAATTTTTATGCATGTATAATGTATTATTCTGAAGTATTGAAATAATATTAGGCAATTTTCTCCCACAATTCTGTAAAGATGTGTATTTTTTATTTGATATTGTTTTATTTTCCAGCTGGTCATATGGAGTTTTAATGTACGAGTTATTTTCTTTGGGTGAGTTTTAATGCCTTCTACTTTCATATTTTCATACAAATTGAGTTTGGTATCACCCAGGGTCCATAGCTGATCATACATACATGGTGAACCCATGTTTATTTATTGTTCAACCAACATCTCTGCATTTTCATTCTAATAGATGACTGCTGACACTGTCAAACAAACAAATGTGGCATATATTATATTCAAAATAGGAAATAACGTCCTAATTTTCTGCCCCGATTAGGCTAATGAAAACGGTGTCAAATTAGGAATGTATTAGTAAATCATAATTAATTAAGCCATCATAATGAATTAAGCTATAACCAAAATATAACCATTATACATGCTAGATTTTTTTGACTGTTACAGGAGGCAATCCCTATTCTGGTATTGAACTTAATGAGAAGTTTATAGGACTCTTAAAATCTGGTTATAGAATGGAAAAGCCATCTCAAGCTTCCGATGAAATGTATGTAATTATTATATTTGCTTAACTTTCAATTTCTGCTTTTGAGAACATTGTCACTGTAGGTGGAAACAGACTTTAAACCAGGGTTCTTAATCCATTTTGAAATGAACCGGCCACGGTTAGGCCTAACGGATAGTCGTCTTTTCAACAACAAACATGTTAGTTTATGCATACTCTATTCACGACAGTAATTGCATAATTCACTAATTGCATAATGTATTTGGGATGATAATAGCTGAAACTCTGTATAAACAAGACCTTTGTAATTGAATACTTGTATTCATACATCGCTATAATATCGACATTTATAGTCATATTATTATTTCAGCAACTTGCATTGCATATTCCTGCTTTTGATTTCATCCAACTAAACGAAAGTTATAAATTAGTAAAAACTACAAGTACATACAAATGTTTTTTAAATTATTTTATTCGTAAGCACATGTTAATATATATATAAAAATAACAAAGTATATAAGTATATAAATAACAAAGTAGCACAAATCGGTTTCCGTGTATAGTCGGAACTCGGAAATATGCTGTACGGGTGAAAGGTCACGTGGCCAATTGTCGGGATTCCAATTAGTTTATTTTAAGTGTTACCCGTATACAATTGTCGGGATTTAATGCAGCAGGACTAGTTCAGATATCTGAGAGGATCTCTTCCTCAATTTCACTGGATATTAAAGAAATAAATTCACCACAACAATTAAAATCACGATATAATTTTTTTGTCATTTCATGTCCCTGCTGTTCTGTCAAATCGTTCAATTATTGTTCATAATTTTCGATGGCAGTGTTTCCTTTTGCTATGAAATAAGCATTTCGGATTAATGCCCGGGTTGAAACAATTTCTATAGATTTGGGAATTAAACTCTTTGTTCTGTCATCGTCTTTCTTTGCTGCGCAGGTATGATCGTCAGATTAATACGGTCTTTTATTGCCGATAATTTGGTTCACCTATATTGGACGTGGGAGGATCTCCGGCTTTTGGAACTTCCATTGACGACATGCATGCTTGAAGTTCAAGGTCAACGCTACCATCACTATCATCAGTTAAATCTCGTTTACGCTTCCTGGTGTCATTCTGCGAGGTGTTCAAGTACTTGGCATGATTACCTCAATTAAGTTGTTTATTTATGAAATAAGCCGAAGGTATTCATTGTAATGGTTGACTCTTTGATGGGTTTCTTAATCGACGAGTAATAATTAACTCTTTGTAATCGGCCGAAAGTAGATTGATTTCTGATCCAATTGTTTTACCAATCGGCCTGATAATTAATTCTTTATAAATCGGCCGAAAGTAAATTGATTTGTGATACCTTAGTGCCGGTTCATTGTTTTACCAATCGGCTAAATTAAAGATCAATCGGCTAAAGCCGACAAAAAACAGCTGATTAAGATCCCTGCTTTAAACCATAATAAAAGTAGTATCTAAAGATTTAGAAGTCTTGGTTTCAACTGTGGAAATAGAACTGAAACAATATAATCAAGTTGACAATCCAGTTTTTATGGATTTTATATTTAATTCACATATTGTGCAAGTCTGCATGTTATCATTCAATTTGAAATTCATATGCATTATTCAAATCCTATCCAATTTCAACATTTTGAATAACTATTAAAGAGTTATTGTCCTTGATTATGTCATATAATCTTGTCAACAATTACTGCTTTTTACTGAGCGACGTTTCGACTAGGCTTCTCTAGTCATTATCAAGCTATGATAAAAATGAAATATGACAGGACAATATATACATGTACAAAACAATGCTTGATTTTTATCGTAGCTTGATAATGACTAGAGAAGCCTAGTCGAAACGTCGCTCAGTAAAAAGCAGTAATTGTATTCCATAGAATTGTGACCTGTATACTCTAGTTCAATTACTAAATGCCATTGAAACAATCTAGTTGCTGTGGGTTTATGTTTTTTGCCTGGCAACCTATTTTTAGAAATTTACAATTTTTTCTACAGATATCAAATTATGTTACGTTGTTGGGATGCATCACCAGACAAACGCCCATCTTTTGTACAACTAGTCAACATCATGGGCGATTTCCTGGAAGCTAATGTTAAACAGGTGTGTACAAATTATCATTCATTTTATTGCAATTAGGCCTATAACATTTGTTACTAGCTCATAAGGCCGAGCAAGTAGGCCTGTATTTTCTAACATTTGTTACCAAGCCTAACAATCCAGGAGAATCTTACAACAAGATTCCTGTCTTGCAGACCATAGCCTATAATTTTTGGAAGATTCTGAAATCCTTACAAGACAGTTAATACTTATTTTTCCCGTACATGATAGCGGTGGTTTAGCTGGAGTTGTGCGGCCAGGGGTGGTCCTTGATTTGCCACTCTCCCGAAAATACAACACAATACACATCAAACATAATTAAATTGTTAAACCAAAAAGTGTTATTATTGGGAAAAAAATTGTGCCAAGCTTCTTTTTCCCAACAGAAAAGTGCCGCCCCCTAAAAGTTGTTTCCCAGTGCTGGGAAATTTATTTGTGTGAATTTAATGCTTAATTAATTCATTTTTTTCAGTATTATCTTGACCTCAACTCAACCTTTTCTAAGATGTTAGATGAAAGTGGGGCAGACGAAGAGGCTGAAAAAGACGGCTATTTAAAGATGTCTGGCTCAACAGACTATACACCCATGTCTGTTGCCATGCCCGATTCTTATACAGGAGAAGATGATGTAGAATCGGCACGCTATATCAACCAAGCCAGATGGAGAAAAGAAAAGGCAGACGACATTGAGCTTCAGCCGTTGACTGGAGGTAAAACTACAGAGAATGAGTTGAAAGAAGCAAAACCTATAAAAGACAAAGATGACTCCAATTCACCTGTTCAGCTTAGAACTCGCGCCGATATTCATTGTCCCGATGATACAGATAGTGGTCACTCGAGCAGTTACGCTCCAGGAACATCGCCGGTTGACAATAATGGCTACTTAGTCCCTAAATTACTTGAGGAACCTGAAAAAAAGACCAACTCCGCAGGTGACAGATCGTTTTCTTCGAGTGCGTTTCATAATAGTCTGTTCAATGACTCACCACCACCTGACTATCGTGCAGTCATGGAAGAAAATCCCAATGCGCTTCCGGTTTGACGAGGAAAAGATAAATTTTGGAATGTTAATTTATTTGTTTTAGTGTCAAAATAGATGACAACATTAATACAGAGTTTGGTAGATAAGTTCAAATTTTTATGGACTTGGCCCGCTCGGAGATATCAAGATAGATATAGTTATCGTTAGAAAATGTCCATGCTTAGATAAATTAAATTATGGCATGGTTATAACAGCAGTCAAATAATAAAAGACATCTTAATTAATGTATTTATCCTCGGCAGGACAGAACTTAGCCTCATTATAATACACAAAAGATTTTTCCACAATATACTGAAACTTGTTTGCTGAAGGAACAAAGTCAATTGCATCAGTTGAGAAATCTTCATGGAGGAGAGAACTTAAGGTAGCCATATTAGGAAAAAGACCTTTTTTTAAAAAAAAAATATTTATTCACTGAAGGAATGAAGTTAGCCATGTTTAACACTGCCAAAGATCACTTGTGCTATAATATGATATAAATACTACACAATAATGGACCTAGTGCACATGATCTGATGATGTAAACAAGAATGGATGCTATTTGTGCACATGATATGATGATGTACATGGTACATAAAAATCAGTATTGTACATGAACACAATTTGATGATGCAATCATAATTTATGTAGTGCATCATTAATATTTTTACATATCTTAAAAATATTGTGAAAATATGTGCTGATACAAAGACAAAGTGAGACTTTTATTTGAAAGAAAATATTTTATTTATATGACGTGTAGTTGGTTAGAGAGAGGAAGTGGTTATGAACAGAAACAGTGTTTCTAAATAGAGTTGTAACATATCTAGAATGAAAGCACTCACTCCTAATTTCTGTGTCACATAAGAAAATGTTATATTTTTTGTGGAATGTGTATTTTACATACATCTTTCATGGACAGAATATGATTGTTTATCTGGACGTACTGATGCCTGATAATACAAGCTTACCCAATTGTTTCTGATTTTATCAGTTAATAAGCTGCCTTTGGACAGTGTTATCACTACAAAAGTTGTGTATTTGTGGCTTTAGTTTTACTACCAACCAAGTAAAATGAACAGTGACAAATAAAATCGCTTTGTTGGTGACTGAGTCAAGTACTGAATCTGACAAGAAAATCTTCATGTGTACAGATAACTGAAAGGTTATTAATTATATATTTTTAATTGTTGTAACTTGTTACGAGAAATTGCTAGTTTCTATCTTATAATTCTATCATATATTATATATTTTAATATTTGTCATAATATTGGTGTATCAGTTCAACTTATTGTTAAAGTGGCCTTAATTTGTTCTATACACAGCTATAGTATCATAGATTGAAGAGGCAAGTAGGCTACACAAAATGATCAAAATTGCTTTCGATTACCTCGGCTCAAAACAGATGTTAGTGTGGACAAAATAGCATCAATTGTGGAAATGGTAACTAGCTTTCTTGCTGTTCACGCAATTACTTGTGTGAAATGTTGTCTCGGTCCACCATTTAAAAATGCATTCTGAAGACCGTGTTTTGAATTTTTAGTCATTCAAAAATTTCTGTACTTTTGACATTATAAAAAAATTGACACTATTTTATCCTGACATTTTGACTGGAGCAATCAAGACTAGGTTTCAATTTCCCTAAAAAGAATCTCTATCAGACAACCAATCTATTAATTTTAAGAAATTGACATTGAGGAAACAAGGCCCTTATCCTTCCATACATTGATCTGTTCTTGCCATAGCTGAATCAAAATAAATATTAATATTGCATAAAACTTAGTGAAATTACAAATGTTGTGTATCTTATTTTTTGATGGAATCTGGTGCCTTGTACATTTTGAATTAAACTTTTAAAAATCTGCTCATTAACCTTTTGAACCCTGGTATATATACCATAAATGATCCCTCCCCCCTGGCCCATGGGGCAAAATTTGACAATTTTCAAGGACAAAATATAAAATTGCTAATTACTCAAAATGCCAACAAGGGGCATATTCTGCATGTGTTCAGAGCGGAATTAATAATGCGTCATGCTTGGCCAGAAGACCGGCCAGTCGGAATATAGACACAAATGTTGAATTAAAAGTTTGAAAATTGAACTCCACAACTTAGGTATCATAGTCAGGTTAGAACCAAGCAATGTTGACTAAAAACCTGTGGTATGTGTGTCATAGGTTAGCCACCATTGTACATGTTGTAATTTCATGAGGTATTATTATTATTATTATTATTCCTATACTGCTGCTTCATATTACGAGGAACAAGAATCAAAATGTAATAATTTGATCACAATTTTATATTTATTGGATATTGTATGATATTTTTATTGATGATATTTACATATCGTGAGTGCCTCTCGATTGCTGCCTCGTCCATACACTATACATTTTAAACATTTTCTTTTAATACAAGAATATTCATGCTCGTATTTTCTACTTTATATTGAAAATGTTGAGTTATATTCAATTTTTATATAGGTTAATTAAAATAAAATAAACTAGACCTCTTTAAATTTGGAGGCGATTTAATTGAATTGAATATGTTTTGTGAACAAGATGTCTGTCTACATTTACAATTTTAGGTTCAGAGATATCTATAGAGCCAATATTGAGATAAAGCTGAATTTGCACTGTTAATACTTTAAACCAAATTTGAAACAATGATTAGTAAATAAAATGACTTCCTCTTAATCTTTGGAATCAACCCCACCCCAACAGCTAATCCAAGAGGTATAAACATATGTATTAAAACTCCCACCAGAAAAATTAAGCCCTCCTACTAACGTGTTGCTTGCCAATCTGCAATTTACCAAAAAATTATGATCTGATTTAGCATGAGATTTTGGTAACAGATATGAAAAGGCTTTGAGCAACGGACGTTTAACTTGGAAAGAAAATGAATTTCCACTATAGATTGTCTTACGGCCTGGATACGATGAAACCTTGGCTTAATTTGAATAGTGTCTATAGATGTTAAATCATATCAGTAGTTTATACTGCCTTATGTGATGTTAAATACAATATATATGATGTAACGTTTTTTTTTTTATTTTCATGTACATCGTTGTATGTTATGTTCATATAATTAAATGTAATATTATGTTCGTATTCAACAAATACTTGTTAGTTATGAAATTTAATTGTACAAATCCAGACTATCAATTGAATGAATTTTTTTAAGAAATATGTGATATTTATTTTAATATTTTCTGGTTTGGTATTGTCATTAGCTCTATCGTTCCACAGTTTAGACCTAATTGATCTGAGAAAAATATTTGCAACTGGTTTGCAACTATTATCAAAAAAGATCCTGATCAAATTAAGGCCCATGCTTATTATTTTTTCCCTAATCTTTAGACTAACTTTTAGAGAAGATAATATATTTTATTGGGCTTGTTTGTAGAAAGGGGGGTTGGATGGCCAAATGGTTGTACGTGACAAGGAGTAAGGTTGCCTGTCCAACCTCGTGGGTTTTCTCCGGGTCCTCTGGTTTCCTCCCACTGCTAATAGACCCCTACATGCAAGCGAATTATTGAAATAAAATTGAACCATGTGCTAGTCCCCAACTGACCTAGTTTGTGTCGAGTGGACGTTAAACCCCATTTCTCTCTCTCTTTCTCTGTTTATAGAAAAGCAGAGAATATCTTTTAAAGATAGTCCAAACTGTTCCAGATAAATTTAAAGCTGCTGGTGACCATATTTTGTGACCTGGCAAACTATTTTCTTTCAATACCATGTGTATGTATGTATTGCCTTGCTTTAGCCATGTTGTTAATATTGTCTTTTGTATTGTTTTTTTGCCATGTCAGCCTTTGTATACCTATATTTCAAGTATTTTAGAGTCGCAAACTAAATAAGTTTTATAAAATATTTGTTTGTGCCTGTGGCCAACGATATCTTGGGAAAATAAATTAGAATTGTTATTAAATAGTATTTTTTAAAATCTGATCATACATTACATGTAATGAGATTCATGACTACCATTTTGAATATTCATTATTATGTATTGCATTGGCAGCATTGCCCAATGTTATAACATTTATTCCAAGTGGTGTAGGGAGATACGTTGAGTTTTTGTTTTGTTTTCAAGTTGAGCTGTATTTTACCCTAACTGTCAATAAACATTTGACAATGCAGAGCTTCCAAAGCAAGGGGAGCATTAAAGTAAAAATGGTTGATTAGTTAAATACTACCATGGCAACATTATGTTGGTGTGTCTACATTTAAATGGTCCTGTCAGATAAAAAATGTTTTTTGACAGCTCAAAGCCGGATTGGTCGGACCATTTTATTTTAGTATAATGCCCAGCGTTGAGGTATAACTTCATTTGTCTCCCTATACTACTGTTCATTATAATTAAATATTAATTTTTACATTGTCATAATTAGAATGTGCTGAAACCATGTTGTTAACTGATTGTAGAATTTAGCATCTTATATTTAATTTATTTTTATCATCCAAATTGTCTTTTTAGTCTTGACGATCTATTTATTAGAAATGAGTTTTAATTTTTTAAGATAAATCTTGCTCAGATGTTTTAACTTTTAACTCTTTTGTTAAGGTATAAAATAACAAAGTCCAAATTTTTAATTGCAAATACCACACGATGTCAAAACACAATATGTGATTATACAATTAATATGAGTGATGAGATTGTTGTGTAAGAATTAAATACTAGTAGTCTTGAAATGTCTTATTATGCTTTGTCTGTTAAAATAATATTGAATAATGAATGCTTGCTTTTCTACAAACGGAACATCTGTCAATTAAGATCTGAATTTAGTTGAATCTTTGTTTTGGGGACCATTTTCTGCATGCATTTAATACAATAACAAACTTTGAAGAGCTCATTTTTTTGGTCTTCATGAAACTTGCTCTAATGACTTTGATCAGTTCTTATTTAGATAAATTTACACAGATTGCTCAACATTAACGAGAATTGAAGAAAATTTTCTTTTTTTTTAGTAAAATCCTCTCCTATATGCTCACGCAACAAATCAGAAACTCACATTATTTGATAAATAAATATTAAAGCTCATACGCCAAAGATTATTTATAGTCTATCTTGGGATGATTTCTATCGTCAATGTGTATTTTACGACAGTAGTATTAAATAATTTTGTAAAAAAAAATTGGATGTCCAAATCAGATGTCTGCAACATACCCGGTAGTTAAATGAATATCTCTACAATTTTTTAAATTGATTATGTGTGATATACTAGTCTTATATACTGGGTAAATGTAAACTGAATTGCGGCAAATAACAAAATACTCAAAACGCATATAGAACTACTGCATCAGTCACCTCATATGAAAATCCAAATTACATGGTAATTAACTCCTGAAAATTAAGTAATGAGAGCATGGGGAGCGTACCAAAGTTCCCATGGTCCTAACCCTAACCACATAGGATCCTTTATCATGCCGTCTTCATTAACCCATTCATTAGGCCAGTTGGAGCAGATTATTTGATTTATCATGTTCCCATTATATACTATTATTGTTAATCTAGGAAACACATGGACCCTGGAAACATAGGAATGACTCCACAATGCACTACAAATTTCAATTATTTAAATATTGTGGCCGATACAGCAGTAACAATTAGTATTGGTAGTCTATGCAGGTAGATATTTTACACTAGCTGTATCTTATAGTTCATCCTTACTGTAGATTGTAGGGTATTCATGGTTTTGTATATTTGTAAATAATTATATTACTGTATTATTATAAATTAATTATATTATAAATATTATACATATTATCATTGACAGCAATAAATTGTTGAACTTTACTCTGTGTATGCCTTATTATGTGGGGAGCCATGGTGGTTTAACTCCGGGTGTTTGTTGAGAAAGTACCTCAGGATTTTTTGGTGCGGTTTCCCCTTGTCAATGGTGCAGGATGGAGGGCCCGACAAGGATGGCTGTCTAGTTCGGGTAGGAAGAAAAAGAATAACTGAGGTCCTGTGTACACTTTGGCATGCAGGTAAAAGGTTGCTTGGCAGTTGGATTTCAATATAAAAGTACGCCATAGCACCGCTGTCCAGGCAAAATTTCCCTCATAGCACATGTGATATGTAACTCATGCGACGAACTGATGCCTAATTGACGAGAAATCGGTAGCATTTTATTTGAACAAATCCAGCCAATCAGGAGCCACTGGGGGGCAAGCTTATTAACCGAATTCAGACTGATTAATGGCCGGCGTGTTTCCCCAGAGAGAAACTAGCAGTAAACTTCTCTCTGAGAGCCAAGATTTGGGTAATACCAGCATGACAACCAGCAAATAAAAATTATGTTTTATATTCATCATTTAATCGCCCACTTGACACTAACCTTATCATTTTGGGACTAACACATGGTATCTTTTTATTTCAATAATATGTGGCTCAGTGAGTAAGAGAACCTGGCATGTAAAAGATCCCTTGGCAGTTGTAATTCGATATAGAACTAGGCCATAGCGGCACTGTCTGGGCAAACTTCCCTCATAGGACACTGCATGGTATATGTCTATCTCCTTTAGCCCTGCCTGAGCAGAAAAGAAGGACATATAATCCAATTCATTCACTCCTTGCGCCAATAACAGGCCTTGTAACATGATGGGGAATTTTCCTTTGTTCTTTTCGTTGAATAAGCAGATTGTTTTCCCTCTAGTAGATTGGGTGGAGCTTTTTAATTAACAGTGCAATAACTGGACATGTTCAATGTTATCGCACACTTTTGATGGTTTACACTAGTTTTAGTAGAAATCATATAGAGAAGTCGGGTGGGTTTTCTGTGCAATAACAATAAGCATGTTGAGCAGTTGTCAATGTTACAAGTCATTTATAGCACGCTTCATTCATTAACAGGTTTAACCCTTCGGCCTCTGGTTAGCCGTGCTATAAATATAACTTATAATCTACAACACATGAGTTAGTCCATTCTGCCACACAACTCCTAAAAAATTAATGAAAACTGCAATCAAATATAAGGAAGAGATATTTTATTAAAAATGATTTGCATATGAAGAAGATACATCAGCACTACAAATGGTCCAATAAATAATACAAATACTAAAGTAAACTACACCACTGTACTACGATTTCATTACTACAACATTTAACATAATTTATTTTGGTGTGTTGAGAATTGATGTTAGTATGGTACTACACAATGTCTATTACTCTATCAATATATGGCTGGTTAATCACAACATCAGTTGTTTCTAAAATCATGGAATGGTCCCACAATATGTCTATAATATAGGGTTGTAAGCCAATATAATAAGACTGCCTTCCATGAAAATAATTACACAGATAAATCAAAGAATTTAATGTTTAAATATTCCATAGTGTTTTAGATAATTCAACTTAGCATTAGAAAGTGATTGAAAGTATTATTTGCATAAGGAAGACTTTTTGGAGGAAGTGATGGCCACATGATATTTACATCAGACCTAGTCTCCATATTTCCAGATAGTTTTTCAGACAGCATTATCTTGACAATTGTCAAATTTTCACTATTTGTAGAGATTGAACAGAATACAAAAAATGTTGAAGTGAGAGTATTTGCAAAACATGTGTGTTTTGTTTAATGATAAAAATTCTATACAAATAACCATCTACATTAATAAAAACATCCAATGTGATTCACCAATCAATGAGGATCAATTGCCATTTTCTTTCTTTTGAAATTTCAGTATAGACTAGAAAGATCTAACAATCTTCTGTCAAATTTTCAATCTAATTCCTGACACAGCACAACATGAAAGTAGTGTATAACAATGACCCCCAGATAACAAATATCACCACTCTTTAACTTTAAATATCAAACACGCCCTAATAAAGTCACATTGTATTGTATTGCACAGGCATAAACAAAGAAAAGTTTACATTTCTTGCAAATAGAAATGAATGGTTTTTTTTTCTGTGTATTGCTCAGCAAGATGTCTAGAACAGAACTAAAGCACAATTCCTGGCATTATTTACAATCCCGCTTAAAGCGGTGCACACACTAGCCGAATGATTCGTCCGAATCGTTCGGTCGAATCAACCGGCGTCAAAATTCACCTAGTGTGTCCAATGTCATTCGGCCGAAATTCTATTTGGCCGAATGATTCGCCCGAATCAAACAGGTTTGATATATTCATGTGACATGAAAGGTGATGCAATCGACTGGTGAATCGTGCGAAGCATTCGGCTAGTGTGTCCACCCATTCGGCGCCCACTGATTTGGTCGAACGATTCGGCCGAATAATTTGGCTAATGTGTCCACTGCTTTAACTATTAAATGATATTATGTGTAATAATAATCCTCAGCTTTTTTTACAAACCATAGATTAATATATATCTATATTACAATGAGTATATCTAAACTATTCTCTTTAATATTCCTAATATTTATCTTAACATACAATAATACTTGATTCAAATAAAAATCATTCATAAATAATGGCTATTAATATTGGTGGTTTTAATTGTCATTATAAACATGAAACAAGAGAAATGAGGTTCAAGGTATTATGCTGCTGCACCAATGGAAATGGGCATACACCATGCAGTGGGCTATGAGGGATGTTTAATGTGCTGTCAATAGTATAACTGGTAACTTGCAGCATTTAAACAATACTTTTAAACCATTACTTTTTTTTTAGGAATTCCATTTATCATTTACATGACTTTGCCTTTGTTTTATAGACTCATTGGTGTTAGTACACCTTAGGATTTATGACACACAGCTATGGTGGTACCACTGGGGACCCCCCCCCCCCCTCCCACATCTGATTGATACAGTACGTACTTATCAGTTGATGATAGCCATATCTTAACTCTATGAGCCAATTTTTCCCCCTTTCTGATCAATGCAAAGATTCTAGAACCCTTTCACAAGTTCTATGAGGGTAAATTATTGAAATGATCAATCGGTTTAAGTTTAAATATTGGCATTTCATTATCAGTATGAAATGAAGCTTTGGCTTTCATAAAACTTTTGCTATTCTCATTCATTTGTTTGTTTAAAAAACAATGGTCCTCAAATTTTCTAAAATTGGACATAACCATGGTATAAAAGATTAAGATATAAATAATTTAAGACTATAGTTTTATATATACAGGGTATGAATGAACACAAAATATTAAACTAGCGAGGGGACAGATTTCTGTGGTGATGGTTCCAGTGCAGCACGTGCGTTCTTCGTCTCGAGTTCCCGTTGTAAATCTTCCACTTTTTGTTGTAGTTGTGTTTTTAAGACAAGAAGTTCTCTATTCCGCAGGTGAATTGGTTCCTAAAATAGAAATAATTATTATATAAAATGCATAAAGAGGAATGGCATTTGAATCTGGGGAAAACCCAACAAGAATGGCATCAAAACCATGACAGACCAATTTGCATAAATAGTTTGGTATAAACACTATGCCAATGATCATATTCTGTTTTTAAACCTGATAAGTTCAGTGACTGGGATGTTGTGACTACCAGTGTTAATTTACTTTTTTCCAGATACTAATAGATGTATCACTATAGGCTTACAACCAGTTACTGATCTCGATCATTCAGTCTCTTCAACATTATTTCATAGTTTTCACACTCTTAACTTCATGCACATTTTCTAAGATATACTAAGCCATTATTACAAATAGGCTGATATCAATAGGATACTTCAGGAGAGGTATCTGGTTTTCAAAATTAGATTTAGCAATAATTATTGAACAGAGTAACAGCTAACAATCATAAACAATCCTTTAAGTTCGAATAGATATAATCGACCCACTATCGAAAAAGAAAGTCTTGGTCTAATAAATCAGGTCTACTGCCTTTAAAATAAAATACTCATAAAATTTAAACAATCTGCTAAAAAAAGGGGGATAGAAATTACAATATTTCCTATTAATTAGTTGTTTCTTAACAATATTTTATGCAAGACATCTTATTTCCTGATAAATGTTTAGGGATATCCTTACAACCCAATTAATTTCAACAGCTTAAATTTTCACAGTATGCTGTTGGAAAGTAGGGATAGAATGGAGTACAACAGATTGTACTATAGACTCATGTATCCTTAATCCTTTCAGAAATCCCAACCCCCACATCCACCCCATAGCCGTAAGTTCATCTCAATACTTCAAAATAACAGTATAAAAATATTAAAAATAAAATTCTATAAGCTACATGCTCATATTTGTCTGTTGCTCAGATGTGTAAAATAATAATAAATAATAGCTAAAGAGTAAGTACAAGTAGAACTTGTGTTTGTTTTTTGTGAGGTTTAACTGATAGAATAAGGTTTTCAATAACCACAGCCGTTTATAAAAACATTCATTCATTGACCGATGCCCAAAGTTTAAGGATTCTGCATTTTGTTCAAGTTCTGACACCAAGCTATCAGACTGGGCCCTGTTTCTCAAAATCTTAACCAAAGATAAAATCCAATTTTAGTAGATAATTCCATTTTGATTGGCTAAGCACTATAATCAATCTAATATTATCCAATCAAATTACTAAAATTTGGATTTTATCCTAGTTAAAATTTCATGAAACAGGCCCCAGGTCATAAAGTTTAAGTTGTATTGTAAAATAGAAGAATAATAAATAATTCTCGTATAGTTCTCATGAGAAATTGATCATGTTGTTTAGTAATGATCACAAAGATTCTAGAATATAATAACAGCACAAGTTCCTTCTTGTACTTCCCATTTAATGCAAGGTAACATGATATAAAAATATCTGCATTTAGCAAGCACAAATAACAAGACCTGAAAACAATAAATATAATTATAAAATTCAAAATAAGAAAAAGAAGACATCAAATTCCAAACTATAACTACCATGATAAAATATTACAATACAGAGAAAAATTGAATAACAATTTTACTATACATCTTAGTAAAATAAATAAATACAAAAATATCTACAAATTACAGTTATTGGTGGAGCCTGATTAAACTGCCCAATTGTAAATGTAATAAAGATGGTATCAGTATACTGTGGGTTAACTCCTCAGAATATGATAAAATATCCATCCCCAAATTCTGTTTTATTACATTGGATCATATAATCAACTACTGACACAGTAGGTACAACAAGCCAGATTGTTCAAATATATCTCTTGTTCATCTTTTCATCTTATTTTGTCATATTTCTAAGCCAAGAAGACTTCATTTTTTAGATATTGTTTCAAGGATCTTGGAGAATTTTTTTGTCTTTACATGGCTCCATGGATCCCCTACCCCTAACCTCTTTGTTTGAAAGGCTACACAGAAAAAAAAAAGAAAAAAGGAAACTTAAATAGTGTTTCTAAGAATAAAATACTGAAAGTAAAACAAACTTAAATATCCAGAGATAATAAATAAAATTGTGTAAAACCAATACAGCCATAAAAACAAGAAAATAAGTTACCCAAGTACAGTCAGGTCCCTGTAAGCAGGTGGAAAAATTCAAGTCAAAACTATCATTCAATTTTAAACAAAAGCCCAACAGATAATAACCCAGAGATGAACACCAACCATTGCTGACCATTTTAAGTATAGTTTAATGGTCAAGTGTGAGACATTAAGTAATATATTGATATTGTACGAGTGCAAACGAGTCCAACAGCACAAGGGCTATATCTATATATTACTCAATGTCTTGCACAAGACCATTAAACATATACATAATGCAAGAACTAAATCTGCTTATTGCGGTCTTTCCTTGCGCCTGAAATTATATCTTAATTATTAATTAGACATAATTAACTTATCCAGACCATAATGCCATCGCTAGCCTGCGACATTTAGCAGATTGGAATACATTTTTTGAAAAATAATTAAACATAAAAATGGATAATCAAGACTTTGTTTTTTTTATCATACCGACTTTAGTAATGATGATTGAGGCTAGCCTAAAATTCAAAAGCTAATATCTTGATTCAGAGTGGAGCAATTTGGCTGACATTTTCAGCATATTCTTTTTACGTTATCTACTTTTTAACTATTATAACTAGAACTGTCAACTCTTTATCTAATCTCCCATAATGTCCATTTAAACAACTTAAAATACAGACACTATCCAGCTTGTGCATTTCAATGAAATACATCCACAGGTCCCATATTTTAACTAGTATAAATAATGTACTCTTGGCACATTGCCCGTACAATTATTGTACACCAACATCAAAGGATGACGTCACATCTGTATTTTAACTTTGGTTAATGGAGACAATTTTAAGTTAAACACCAATGTTAAAAATTGTAAGCTATGTAATGAACTTTCAGGATTTTTAATCTGGCAATATTCCATAACAAGTTAAAGTATCTACTAGGGCAATATCAAATAATTTTATGGAATATTACACGCTAAAATGTACTTAAATTGATTATTTAACATTAAGAAAACTGAATCAAAATATCAATGGTAAATATTCTTATCAACCCCTGGGGTGTGGTGGGAGTGTATTAGCAAGATATCTCATCATTAGTGCCTTATTTGTTAATCTTATCAAACTTTCTGTTTCATCACATCAACATGGCTTATCAATTAACCCTTTAACTACTCATGAGTTCCTGAATATTTTGTCGCTTACACACTTGGTTCCTGTCTGGACGTAAATAAGTTCTGCTTTCTTTAATTTCTGTAATATTCACCTTGTGAAAGTGAAGGTCATGGACGGAAGTTGCTGCATGGACCCAAATAAGCGTAGGTTATGGATGGAAGTTTGACTGATTGTGTTCAAAGGATTAAAAGATAACCAGTTAAAGAAAAAGTCCAGTTGATGCAGATTTTTCTAAACATCTTATACATAGGGGAACTGTGATCCACTGTAAATAAACCAAGCAGGGCACATTTTATAAGCATGTGCTATAATAGTCTTCAATCCAACTCCTTACTTAAAGTGTATCCACCTATAATCTTATGTTTCCAGAGTACAAAAAGTGAAATGAAATGAAATGAAATGTTGTTTAATGGCACGTCAGCTCCAACCAGGCTATATTGCGCCAAACATATGGTGAGGTGAGTACAAAAAGTAGTCATTATGGCACATAAAAATATTTTGTTCACAGACAGTAGCTGACAGTTATTCTCGTGACATCATAGCCAGCATGTTAATTTGTTCATTAAAGTGGAAAACATTTCTACTTTGGGTTATGCATTGAGAAAACTATTCAAATACAACATTATGAACAAAATATAAAAAATTCTTTAATTTCTGTGGATCTACACGAAAGAGTACGTAACAAGATAAATACCTGAGGTCTCATGCGAGGGTTCCACCTACAGTAATAACCTGTCCACAGTTCTATTCTTCGTAAACTAGCCACAGGAAATAAAACATGTTTATGTAGGTATTGTGCATACAATGGATTTTTAAACTCATCTAATTGACAATTTATAAAAGACCAAAGAGATACTGTGTTCTTTTTAAGTTTCTGAAATATAAAAGAAAAATGAAATGAAATGGGGTTTAACATCCTACTGCTCAGACAGTGGCACTACGGCCTACTCCTATGTTGAATTCCCACTGCTAAGGGATCTTTTTATGTGCATGCCAATGTGTACACAGGACCTTGGTTTTTCGTCCCATCTGAATGACTATAAATTGTAGCTAGTCAGTCTCTCTGTCCTGTACCACTAACAAGGGGAACTTACACGGCCAATGCAGGAACACTGGAGAGAGAAATGGTCTTTAATGTCCATGACACAAACTTGGTAATTGGACTAGGATTGGGGGGAAATATAAGGACCCGGAGATAACCCATTTGGGAGGACAGGCAACTCCACTCCTTGTCATGTACAAGCAGGGAATCGAAACCATGCCACTTGACTCTATGACAGGGCTTATGATCCAAAGCGCTTGCGTTCCAAAATGCAGCCACCCAACCTCCCTGGATTCAAGAAGAGAGGTAGCTCATTGGTACTGCCTGGCCCCCCATTCAAATTCAGATATCTACGGTTGGCAGATGGACTTACCTCTTTAACTCTAGCTTGTTCACAATTATATAAGAATGTACCAAATAAACAGCTATATAAATGATCCATTATAGTTATCAATAAATGTTCATTAAATTCAAATGCATTAGGAAACTGAAAAAAAGAAAACAAAACATTACAGAGGCTAGCAAGTTATTTCTTAATTACCAAAAACTTTTCTTTGGAATAATATTGTCCATTAATTTATTTAAATTGCCATAAAGCGTATATAGTAACAACTGGCTATAAGTAGACACAATTTTGTTTGGTCATTTCATGTGCTCTTTAAAATTTAGGATAATGCTAAAATTTGTGATATATTTTTTTTAAAAAATATCTTGTTAATCCAAAGGAAACAAATACTGTCAAAAATTGACCAAGTTTTGAAATGAAAGCCGTGCTGTTATACCTGTTTAGTCATCTGCCAAACACAATCAATAAACTGTAAAAATACAGGTGATCTATCAGCATCAGAATGTTTGTCTTCACCATGTCCTACTCTCTATAAAATATATCAATACATAATGTAAATAAGAGAGATAGAGAGAGAGAGAGAGAGAGAGAGAGAGAGAGATATTTAATGTCCACTCCACAGTAAACAACAGAACTTACAATAGAAATAAAATGGGGTTTGACGTCCTATTTTTCTGCTCGTACCTTTCTAAAGAAAACATGTCATGTAGTGTACTATGAGGGAAATTTTGAGCAGGCAGTGGCCAAAACAATGGGTGTTCAATCATAGAATATTTGTATTTAATCTATCAATGTATCAAATACAGAATATTCATAAAATAAAGTCTTACATAATTAGGAGATCTACATAAATTAACAATAAACATTAATATACAAAATTAAATTGTGAATAAAATGAGTAATTACCTGAGCAAACTTGTGACCAAAACTTAACCATTCTTTTTCAATAAGAACTTCAAAACCTTTAATTGTTCTATAATACGGATCTAACATTAACATGGCTAAACATGTCATCTGAAATTACAAATTAACAATACAGAATAATACAGGATGGTTATGCTAAGCTTTAATTATGATATGTAAAACTAACTTCAATTACTGACCTATGATATCAGAATAATTAAAGATACATTATGTAAGATTCAGATAAAGAACTAGCCATTCTTGCTATAATAGTTCGAAAGTAGATGATGTAAAATGAATAATTTGAAAATTTCATTCAAATTACTCTATTGCAAGCAAAGATATTAGCCTTTGAAGGTTTGACAGACGTGTGCAATAATTTCAACTACTGTACTGGTTGATCGAAGCTAAGTCTCGGTCTTCCATATTTGATTAAATCAAAGTATCGCTGAACCATTCTAATCTATTTAATATCGGAGAAATCTGATACCATCGAGAGTTGATTAAGGCCTAAATCAGTTAATTAATGTCTAATTAATACTTTAGAAAACATTTCAGGCCTAAAGAAAGACCTGCAATAGGCAGATTTAGCTCTTGCATAATGCATGTTTAAGATGACTTGACTTATCACTTGTGGGTCTTTCTTGTCTTACAAAAACTGGAGGTTTTTAAATCATTTCATCTTTTGCATAAAAATTGTTAAATCAGTGAAAGATACAGAAAGAATATATTACCTGAGCTGTTCTATCCCAGCCATCACTACAATGAACTAATACTGATGTTTTATTACTTTCTACTTTATCTGCTACTCGTACAGCACCAGCTAATATTTGCTGTAAATACAATTATATTACATAAACTTTAATCTTGAAATATTATACAAGTAATCAAAACTAGATCTTTATTTTGTTTTGGTTCTGATTTTCTACACTCCATAAGGTGTAATATATACTCAGATTATCTGCAATTTAGTCAACTGATATCAGTGAGTATATTATGAGATCAGGGGACCTTGATTTTGAGTGATTGGAAAAACTGCATTTTCATTAGCTGTTTACAGTACACAAGCAGAACACAACACAAGAATAAAACTTGTCAGATTATAAATAAGATTGAACATGGTAAAGTATAAAATATGGAATATATAACGAAAGAAAACGAAAAACTAATTGAAAAACATCTCATTTTAATCAGATTGTTCTCTAAGCCATCCGCAAATGTGTTTAGCAATTTATATGGGATAAAAAATTATTTTACAAATTTGAAGTACATATAAAGATCAGTCTCCCCAAATCATTGTCGTATATATCTTTCTTTTCCTAAAAAAAACAAAACATATTTTATAAACAATTTTACCTTTATATGTTCTAACCAATGTGTTGATTCTATATTAGATAACCAATGAGCTTCATCGATAGTAGGAAAGCAAATTTCTTTCAACTTTCGTAAACTGAAATTATATAAAAGCATTTTATACCAACTTGACTACAAAATGATTGATATATTTTATTGACCATCTTTTTTGTTTTAGTGTGTTGGGGCAATACAAATATGGGGCCCTAAGTATTGCCCTGCCCCTTATCTTTAATTAAAGATACATTATGTAAGATTCAGATAAGAGCTGGCCGTTCTTGCTACAATAGTTCAAAAATAGATATTGGAAAATGAATTGAAACATTCATTCAAATAATTTTATTCTAAGTGAAGTTCTGAGTGTTTGAAAAGATGTAGCATAGATCGTTTATTATCATAGCATACTTTGACTAAGCCTTGATTATCGTTAATTTTTTTAATCTTGTGGGTGTCCTAATCCATTTAAATCTCAGTCATTCAATGGCTTAGAGAGTTGATATATGCTTGTTATGTGAATTAATATCTAAATAATAGTTTATATAACATTGTAAGCCAAATTAAAGACCTGCTATAGGAAGATTTTGCTCTTAAATAATGCATCTTTAATCAGGACTTGGATAGATGCTGAGATAAATATATATTTACTTACCTCTCTCTCATCACATGAATATTATGAATATCTAAAAACACCAACTCAGCATTCTGGTACGAATCTTCATTTTCATATCCCCCACCTTTAGCCTGGTTAACAAATTTATAAACAGTATTAAATCTTTTAACAGCATTTCAGAAACTTATCAAAATATATAACAGACGTTTTGAATCCCTGATTATTTAAGAGTGTATCCGCGAGAAGACCATGCAAAAATCGCAAAAAGTGCTGAGATGGGGGGTCGGAAGTTTTTGATCAAACTTATGGTATGACACCCCTAGAGGCAAGAGGTAACATGCTGAAGTGGTTACAGTCTGATGTCGCTCTAAAAGACTGTACGGGAATTATTCATTTTATGGGTAAAATTGCGGTTTTCACATGTGTATTTATCACCCTTTTTAAGCACAGACTGCATTATATGGTGGAATAGCAACCTTCTAATTTTGACCCTGTCTGATAAAGCGGGTGGTCAACTTCTACCCCAGCACTAATTTGAAAAAAAAAATCAGTACATACTAATTTTGTGTGGACTTATTTTAGGGTACCATATTCACATTGTCCTTATAGTGCAGAAAAAGGTACACTGTAACTTTTTCTTTCATGGTCGCAAGTAGAATTTCTTTGGATGGTTTTGAAGTGCTAAGCACATAGTATCCATAGGTGTAAAAAAAAATGACCGGAATGCAACATACTTAAAATATACAGCTTATTGAAAAGTGCTAAAAATAAGCTTTTGTGATACATTTTTTTGCAAATTTAATTAGAGAAATAAATTTTTTGATTTTTATACGTTTTCATCATATCCATAGCCATTATTTGTACCATGTTGTACTCTATATAAGTGTGTATTTGTATTTATTGTATATTTGGTATTGTCGTATTGTCCCTTTAACATATTTGTTGTATTGTCTCTTTAAGATTTCATTTTCAAACAAGTTACCGAAAATGGCTACAAAATGTTTAATTTCAGAGCATGTTTCCACTATTTATTTTGGGACACATCCACTGATTTCTACAATACAGAAATGTGGAAGCTTAAATATTAACGGCAACGAAGCCTAATTGCGTCGAAGTGGGTGACATTGAACAGTGTAGTATGGTAGCTACAGCTCTCGGGCACCGTCAGCTGCACCTTCAGGGCCGGATTTAGAATAAGAGAGGCCCTAGGCAAATCCCCTAAACAGGGCCCACAACATGGACCTTGGGGCCCTGGGACAAGAAACTCGGTGAGAGGGTGGGTCGGGGGAAGTCATGGGGTTGGTGGTTCGAATCTCACTTTTAGGTGAATTTTTCATTTTCGTTGGATTATTTTATTTAAAAGAATGTCTATTTGAGAGTAATGGATATGTTTGTTAAGATTGAGCACGTCGAAACTCCGATGGAAGGTCGTGGACAACTGTGGAAGTCAATTCCAGTCGACGCCAGATGAGCCATGAACGATTACAGGCCTTTGAAAGTATTTTTTTTCAAGATATTTTTATAAAACAGATACTAATGTATTTTAGGGCTGGTAGTAAACACCATATGAATGAAAAGGAAAATAAATTGTTAGTTTTTTTTTTATCTACTACGGTTAATTATCTCCAAAATAGGGAAATTACAGATTAATTTCATGGGTTATTGTTTCCTTTACCTAGTTTTTGTCAAGTCAATTCCGGTCATTTTTATTTTTTGTATCAAATGTTGGGAGGTTGCTTGTTCACGTGAGCATAAATTTTTTAAACCCACCCCATGAAAGAAGTAACTATAGGGCATCAAACTTTAGGGTGACGAAAAATGGGGAATTTAGACAGGCTTTGATATCCAGTCCGTATACAAATCTTGTTCGCCAGAATAGTCTGAAGTTAATATTGTGGTAACAGCACTGAGTCATCGATAAACTGTGTGAGTTTGGTCTTTCTGCTACGTATAGTAAAGGTGTAAGGACTTGCCAAAGTTGGTATTTGAGAAAAGACAGATTTTGGCAATTTCACCATATGAAAAATGTTTTTTCAATTTTCTCATACAGGAATTGAAAGATTTATCTAATATTGCACATTCATGTGTTTTGAGACTATCCCAACTTATAAACCAAATTTGGTCAAAATCTGTGATTGAAGCCTTAGCACCTTCTGCATGGTTTTCTCGCGGAAACGCTCTTAACAGATAGTGCAGGAAACAAAACTTTAACAGAGCTCTTCAATCAGAAACACATGTAGGAGGGACAGAGATGGGAACAAGTCATTGCACCTCCAGTCGGAGTCGAGTCCCAAGTCGCTGAATTTAGTGCTGAGTTGAGTCAAGTCCCAAGTCTTCACAAAGCCTGAGTCCCGTTCAAGTCGCCAGTTCATCAAGAGTTATACCCTCTTGTCTGACTCAAGTCCTAAACTCTTTTAAGTCGCGAGTCGTCATAACTGCCAAGTCTGAGTGAAATCTCAATGTTATTGTGTCCCAAAGCACCGACAAATTATAATGTTTATGTCAGGGCACCACTAAATGGCAACCAACGGCTAATTGTCTGCTAGCTTGACTTAGGGAGTGGTTGTTATTTCTTGATCGAATGGTTTAGGCGGTTTGGGGAACATTGAGGGGTGTAAACATTTAACAGACTCTGCAATTAAACGGCAGAAAAAGGAGTTGGCAGATAATAATAATAGGCCTCAATATGTATGGTAAATGGACAGAAAGTATTGACAAATACATTTTGTAAAATGGGCCCTCCCTCTATCAAGTTAGGTAGCAAACATAGCTTCTAAAAATAGATTTATTTTTTTATAGCTTGGGGTATCTCCTTGCGAATACAAAGTTTTGACAGGGATTTGAAGCAAATTTTTGATAGATTAATTAGTTTGAATATGTTTTTAGTCTAAATATATCATCAAATCACCCAGTTTGTTTGCGGGAAGGTATCTTTAATGGATCTGAATGGTTGAACTTTGTGTTAACCAATAATTGTTGTTTTTACCTTATTAGCAACAGCATTGACACTTGGTCTAGCATCTAATATGTACAGTTTATGGGACTGGGCATTGGCATCCATTATCATCTGTATATACCGTTCATCATCTTTATTCCGTTTACCTGCTACACCCACCATAGGTTGACCACATCTTGTTATAGTGGCTTGACTTTCTGGATGTATCCATGACAGCACCTTAAACAATCAAAATCACAATAAATAGTGTGCACAGAAAACTCACAAAGTCTTAGAGAAAGATTCAACAAAACTTGGAGCTACTTCACTTATCTATTTCATATTTTTATTTTATTTAAATTATAATTGAAAACCAATATATACAAATCCAGTATCAGCAAATTTACCCCAGGGAACTCTTTGTTTACAGAAACTTTCAGCATAGATGGATCCGTAAGCATTTCAAATCTAATTGTTTTATTATAATTTTTTTATTTTCATTAAATTTTCTGCAAATGCCTCAGGCTGATTGCATATTTTGGACAATATCTCATTTCTCACGACTTAATCCATGCTAATTTGTTCTCAGAGTAATACAGTACCATTTAAATTTGGCGCCATAGTGCAGGGAAACAAGTGTTGTAAATACTTACAGGAAACCTGCCTCTTGTTCTAAAAGCAGCAACACTTCTAATATCATCATCTGTAGATGCTGCTGGGACAGCCAACTTAAATATACGGTAATACAAAAATCATACATTACACACATACAAAAAAAATGATCTTTGGTTCAACGTCTTGACTGATCTCTTGTTAAACCTTTTGTATTATCATTAACCCTTTAAGCATGAATAGCCAATAGTAACCACAATGCGAGCATCGGGTTCTCTTACTATAACCTTCACTCGTTTACATCCAAACATTGGACATCCAGACAAAAACTGTTGGTAAGACTGGAACCACAAGGTGAAATATTAAAGATAAACCACGAAAAGAAACATTATAGTGCACACAACATTGAGCAGCGACCTGCACTTGTTTCCATTCAGATGTTGGTCATCTTGACCCCAGAAACCTTTGTAGCACCCACAAAACAGTTAAAGGGTTAAACAACAAGTTGAACAGGAAATATATTCCTGTTATGTGTAATAATAAATAGAACTACTGCATTAAAATGTTTTAGTGATAATTTGAATTAAAGTCTTACCACTGCAGGATAGGTATCACACAGTTCGTAATTTTCATTAATCTTAGTTATTCTCCAACTATCATTGGGAACTTTCTGGAAAAGTATGTCAATATAGTCATATCAATTAGGACTCAAAGCTTACATCAAAATCATATAGAAAAACATGGCAAATGATATTATTTTATTAATTTAATAATAGTAAAGAATACTCCAATACTGCTTATACCCACTCAATAAATAAAACTGACAAAAACATTTAACTGACAAATAAAATATTAATACATAACGTCTGGGCCATACCATTTGTGAATTGTTTAATAGTGTTCCTAAAACTGACTACAAAAAATCATGCAAATTTAGTCCAAAAGGCTAAGAAAATTCAGAAAAGGTGTGACACCGACTGAACTACAACCATTCAAATCTTTAATGCAGAGCTAAAAGAATGACAATCAAGGTCTTTATCACATGAGTTACTTCTTCGTCAACTAAAACCATGATTGAGTTCGTAAGATCTACACTTATTTTTTCATTTAAAGATTCATTATGTAAGATTTGGATAAAGAGCTAGCCATTCTTGCTATAATAGTTCGAAAGTAGATGATGTAAAATGAATAATTTGAAAATTTCATTCAAATTACTCTATTGCGAGCGAAGATATTAGCCTTTGCAGGTTTGAAAAGACGTGTGCAATAATTTCAACCACAATACTGGTTGTGCGAAGCTAAGTCATGCACCTCCATTTTTAGCTTAAATCAAAATATGGCTGAATTGTTCTAATCTATTTAATATCGAAGAAATCCTATGCCATCGAGTGTTGATTATGGCCTGGATCAGTTAATTAATGTCTGATTAATAATTTAGGGAACATTTCAGGCCTAAAGAAAGATCTGCAATAGACAGATTTAGCTCTTGCATAATGTATGTTTTAGGCTCCCTTTTTATGGAATTAGCTCCCACTTTTTAGTAAACAAATCTCTTTTTAAATCACATTAAAATCAACATTTTTTTTATCAACTTTTAAGAACTTTATTCCCCATGTTATATTAATATCATTTATTATTGTGTATCTATTACTTTTTACATATCTTATTGATTTCCTTGGGCCTCCATGCCTCCATGGAAGGAAAATAAGGTTGTTTTTTTAATGTCATAAAGTAACGGGTAATGGTAATGAATTACTTCCAATGTAATGGGTAATGCTAATTAATTATATTTGCTGACAATGAGAAAGTAATTGTAATGATTATGCAATTAACTACATTGACAATGTAATGGCCCCACCCCTGCACTGTATTATAATAATAATAATAATAAAAGAGAAGCTGTTATTGATGTTCTCACCTGACGTTTATACTCTGCGAGAGCATCATAAGTTCTCCAACCATTCTCACCATAATCTTCTTTAAACTCCATTGCAAAAAATGGCTGATGAGTAAAAATACAGGGCAGTTTATCGATCAATTCCAACAACAAATTCAAAAAAAGAAACATGTCGAAATACATGATTTGAAGTATTTTATGGATAGAAATAAATTAAAATAGAGCAATTTCGTTGGTAGTCATTGTGAATATTCAATTAACCATATCAATATGAAATTTAAATCGCAATCTTTAGAGTTATAGTCCCTTGAAAACTGATAATTGATAAAGCAAATCAGCCTTGGTTATTTTGGGCTACAAAACCTGCCAATAAGATGTACTTAATTAAATTTGTGAATTGCCTCTTTAAATTATGATTTCTATAAAGTTACAGTTCCAAATTTAGACTTATGTTTCTGTGAACACGGACAATGCTGGTTCATATGAAAGTATAAAAACTACCTGAATTCACCAGATATTGTATCTACTTACCAATTTATTTGTTACAGGGAAGGCATATTGTTGGATCTTTTCAAATACTTGACGTCTAGAATGATTTTCTTGTTTGTGTGCAAATCTTAGATTCCTCATATCCTAAATAAAATATTGATTTTAATACTAATAAAACATGTTTTTAGAAAATAACATATTAAAATAGATTTATTATATGTCATGGCATACTTTAGCATTATGAGACTAACACATCATAATTCTATTATGCTCGGGAGAAGAATCCTGCACAAGCAAAAGCATATCCACTTTCACTGCTTTGGATTCAAATTACCAAGGGATCTTTTACATTCAATAGGACTGTTTGCATGTTACAGGAAGCAATTTTATGAGCTGATAAAGCTTGTTATTGTATCCTAAATTTACCATATAAATTCTGCTAATTTTTTGAATAAAATATTATATAAATCAACCATACAGGTGTTAACCCTAACAATTAGGTCCTTCTCAGAACCTATTTGACATCAGTAGTTTAATGACCTCACCTTGCATAAAATATCAATACCATAGGAGTTTTCTCCCCTACTTGTAGCACCACCTATCTTTTCAACTCGACTAATAACACCCAGTGCTACATCTAATATAAATGGCGGCTCCTATATTGAAGAAAACAAAAAAAAAATAAATCCAGTTTAAATCATTACCAGTAATAACAATATTGTCTTATAAACCTGCAACATTAAATCTTTGATCTTTCCAGGTTTTTCTATGCCCGGAATAACTTTCAATCTGAAAGTTGAATTTTGTGTGTCTCAAGCTGTTTATAAGATACCTTTATTTAAATAAATCACTTGAACTTGGAGAAAACCCACAATTGTCCCATACAAACCTACATATAACTTTATTGATATCTAAAGTGCACCACTCAACCTAGGTTATTTCAGATAAATGTGCCTATTCATTAACTGGAAATAAAACTAAAAGATCAGATCCAGATGAAATTATGTTTTCTGTATTAAAAAAGTGATCTGCTACTTACTCTTTCAGAGCTTTTAAAATAAAGTTTATAGTTTGTAACTGTTAGTGCACCTCGCACAGCTCCACGATATGGACAAAGATATGTGACATCATAACCTGTCAAAACAGAAATAATAATAAAATAGTTGAAATCAAATTTTTATGTACTGCAGAAAACATGGACGTACATTTTCAAACAAATAAAGTTAGAAAGACTACCCGGACCACATTCTTTTTTAAGAGATAGCAATATGGAAAGATTAGTTTAATAACATCTGGCAATCCGCTGGCATCTATCTCAGTGCAGTTTAGTTGCTTTGTCAGTCACGAAGTCAGGAGTAATTAAGAAAGTTTAAATGCAGTTAATTCTTTGACTGTTGTTGATTATGATGATATTTAAAAGAAGGCATGACTTGATTGAGTACACTTTGAATCTGATGGCCCTTTATTCTCACCTTTTCCTTGAACCTTTTCACCATCTAATAATGGTGGCTCATCTGACTGACCAAACTTTGTTGTATCTCTCATTACCTATAATATTCAAACATTGCACATTTATAATGTATAAAATTATACACAGAGAAATAATTTAGTACTGGAAATTTTTTTTAAGATTCCTGTTACAACTTATATAATAATAATTAATTTCTGTATTTGAAAATATTCTGTTCTTTATGCCAAATTGGCATTTTTAATTTAAAATCGTAACATTTTTGAAACTCCTCAAAATGCAATTTCCAATCAAGCGATTTTGTGCAATAAATGAGTTATGCCCCTTGGTTACAATATCCAAACATGCTTGAAAATCGCATTTTTAGGGGTAATTTTGACACTAAAGTGTTACGGTACGATGTTAATTTCAAAATCACAATTTAGCGTAAAGAAAAGTATATGACCAGATATCGATATAAATGATTGTGATATGAGTTAAATTATGGTGGATGGTTACAACTTTCAAACTTGCTTGGAAATCATATTTCAATTTTGAGGGGCATTTTGACACCATGTCCAAAACTTTACGATTGTAAATTAGATGACAATTTGGCATAAAGACTGGTATATTATTAAATATTGATACAAATTATCGCCTTATAAGTTGAAATAATGGTGGATTTGGCTAGATTTGTGTGGATTTGGGTTAATCATGCCACGCCTTTTAACCCTTTCAATGCTAGACGTAAATCCACTGCCTGTGCTAGACCCTTTTTTGAGGAAAAAAGGGAGGTTGGAACTGAATGCCAAGCAGTACTTATGGAAGCTTTTATGAAAAATCTTTTTGTCTGTTGGGATGGGCATGAGGTTGGGCTAAGAGGAAAAAATAGAATTTTGGAAATTTGCATAATAATGTAGTCACGTGACGTCATGGCGGCCATTTTGGATTTCTCATTTCACACTAAAGCTAACACGAAAACGAATTTTTCTCCATGAAATACTTAAAAGATATTGTTTTTTTTACTGGATTTTGATAAAGATATATAAAATGAACAAAAATATCAATAGCAGCCATGAGCAATGCCGCCGCGAACACGCGCATCACGTCTCCCGCTGCCATGACCACGTGCGGATTGCAATACCTTGATTTTACTTTCACTTTCACTTTCATCCCCAAGTCCTATATCATTATCAATATAGTCAGTCAATAGATCTACACGTTCGGGAATCAGGAATTACCTACGTATTTTACGATCCAGCAGGCCAGCATTATTATAAACATCAGAATTATTGTCAGAATCTACTGCAGACACAGGGCTAGCATGTTCACATTGGGCTTGTTCATCATGCACGGGAGACATAGCTAGCCATGGGCGGAACGTCGCGCAACAAATCACACACTTCATAATACCAATCACTGTCCTGACTACTATCATTATCAAGTAACTGGAAACGAATTATGTGTATCACCCGCCTCGAAATTGTCCACATGTTGGTCAGCAAGACGTCATTCACGACTTCGTCGAGAGTGCATCGTCTACGTTGTCACAATGCACTCCGCCATTTTACGGTTTGCCGCTTTGAAACACGTGGAAATATGTTCTAGTGTACAGAAAATACAATAGATGGCACTTGCAGTTACGGTACTAATTTTAGCGAGGGCTTTACTGAGTACACGGTAATACCGGGTACGGGCATTTTACCGACATTTTATAATACCCGGTACTACCGGGTATACGCAGTGAAAGGGTTAATTAAAACGCTTGCCAAAGAAGGCTGAATAGTCTGTGTGCCGTGCATACAATGCAAAAATACTTTTTACTGAAAAGTAGACTATATTTCTTTTCTGCACAGCTTTACATTTAACTTTCGTAACAGAGGGTTTCAATATCATTTTTCATACCTTCATCTCCATAGCTGGAACGTTTTCGGAGGATGTGGATGCTGACGAACACAGTGATTTTGACGGAGAGCCTGCACTTTCCTTGGAACTGCTACTTGGTGATTCGTTTGGCATAGAAATGGATCGGTCAGAAGCCGAAATAGACGGTGAACTAGCCGCTTTGGAGCGAGCACCTGCTCCTTCCGTATAGTTATTAGTTCCCAATCTGTCCATTTTCACTAAAACTCGATTTATCTCATAATTTTTGACAATTCCCAAAATTTGACAAATCTACATTTCCGGATTAAAGGGGTTTTCCCGCAAGATGGCGATGTATCATTTCAATAACATCCGGTGCTACAGTACGCGAAATGCAGATTTATTTTGTCCAAGGGAGACAACTTCATTTAAGAATACATTTTTAGTGCTGTCGCGACATTTTAAAAAAAATAAAGAAATAAAATACTAATAAAAAAGAAATGGGAAGGTTTTTTTCCAAATTTAATTGTCAGTGGTTCGGGACGGAGGACCTGGAATACGAAATGAGAATAGGCCGTATAAGGTCTCATATATGTATGTTACTGGACTCTCCATCTTTTTGTAAGATAGCTGAAATTATACATCAGGTTTATTAATCTCATCATTTATGTCCAAGCTCTCATCGCTGTTAACCAATCCTGTTGTGACATCTGGGTTAAGCTACTATATTAAATACGCTACAGACTATTATCAATTGGCAGAAAAATTGTTTGCCTCTCTGATTGGATTTAATGGGGTTGTTTTTAACAATGGTTCAATTTCAGTCACCCATTTCTAACTGAAATGTCTGATTCCAATTTGACAGCCGGATACTGTGCAATATAAAACCACCAATTTCATATAATAATTTAAATACAGTATGACACATAGATGACATCAGCAGAGACTGTCTAAACTGTCTTTCAATTAACACACACTATATTGTCAAGATGATACAACTCACAAGGCTTGAAATGTATTGCCTTGTTCCATGTACAATCTTGATGTTGGCTGAGAAAAAAATAATTAGGATTTTTAATCATGGCTTTAAAAATTCCCTTGTGAGTGGGGAAGGTCGGAGGACCTGGCAAGGTTTATAAACCTGAAAATCCAGCTTATTGTCTTCAAAGTACATTTGTAATGAAAGTGAAAAAAATATGAGTCCAATAGTTCTGGTTATATTATTTTTTATTTTAAATATGCGATATAAATAGAGCACTTGAAACAATTAAGGCAATAACTTACAAACATTACATCTATATAGAACTTATACCAGTACACACATTTCTTACTTTTAACTCATCACAATAAACACAAATCAGACCTTCTATAGTTAAACAGTTAAATTGAATAAAAATACAGATTGAATTGAAATACCATATACTGCATGGCAAACATATTGAATCTAAAATAGATGTGGTCATAACAGCCATAAACCATAACTGTCAAATTTCACTTTGGTCAAAACAGCCATAATTTGGTCGTTTTGACCTAAATATTTGGCCGTTTTGACCCTATTTTTTTAGCCATTATGTCAATAAACAATCTAAAATGAATTGTTTGAATGGCATTTAGTAATTGAACTGTAGTATACAGGTCACAATTCTATGCAATACCATTACTGAACTTTTAAAGACTAGAGAAGCCTAGTGTATAAACTAACAAATTTAAAATTTCTCAAGTTTGGCATGACTTTAACGAAAGTAAAAGACGGGTGCAATGCCCTAAGATTACAGTTGTAATATATATTATATGTAAATGAAAGGTACACTGCCCTAAAATAACAGTTGTAATATATATTATATGTAAAACACAGATACAATGCCCTAAGATTACAGTTGTAATATATATTATATGTAAAAGTCGTTTTGTTTACAATGATTTTATCTATAGACTGTAAGTGTAATATAAATATATTATATGTCAAAAAACTGAATTTACATTAACCTTCTTTCAAATACTGTATGCAATATTTTCATTCAAAATAAATAATAAAAATTCAAGACTAGATTCTACAGATCTTTCATATTAAAATATCCTGTTAAAGTTGCTGATTATTATTATTCATAGTACTTGCATTGATTATTTAATATTTAAAGAAACAAACCCCATATATCCATCTTCCAGCTTGAATTCAATTAGATAAAAAAAATAGAGGCCCATCAAAAGAATTTACCCACCCTGACTTTATATTGTCTAAAGAGAATGCAGAATTTTGACAAATGTTCAATTATCACATCTTTTTAAATTCTGATTAGAATGGATTCAACTTCCACAATATTGTAGTTTGCAATTAATTAAAAATACCTCAAATAACAGTGGCTTTAATATTATTATTATTTTAAAACTGTATTGTTTTATAATTTCATAAAAGACAACATTTACATAATTAAAGCTCTATTTAGTTATAAGTAGTGATAGGTGTCAAGAAGGGTATGCTTACTCTTACTAGAAGACCTGGTTTCACTTCTCCTTTACATGTACTTAACAAATTCACATGGTTGACACATTTTCGATGTAAGGTGGGGGACAATTAATGTGCTAGCAGTTACAATCACAAGTTTTAAGATGTCTACCATTGTAAAATACGGTTTTGAGCAACATATAAAATAAATTTTTTTTGCTAATATATGTTCTCCAATTGATGATACTAAACATGCAGGGCCTTGTCCATCTTAAGTATGCTCAAACTACTTTTCTTTCTTTCTTTCAAAATATAAAAAAAAATAGAAAAGATTTTTATAATATCACAAATAACATACATGTAGTATAGAAAAACAAAAATATGTATATACAAGTGGCCGAACTACAAAAGAGATTTATATACTACACAGATTATTTTAATCAAAACTAGAGGATACTTTACACTTATTTAAGATCTTTGGATTTTGTTTAATTCTTACTCTTTCAAGGAATACAATATGGAAGAGAAGCTATAAAAAACTTTCTGGTTTTTTAATCATAAAAACATCTTTAAACAATAAACTCTTAAATAAAATTCAATCAAAATTATACTGTATAAAATAAATATGTCTGACAGATCATGATATCAAGGTTTAAATGTTTGTTAAGTACATGGAGCAGTAAACATATCAGTAGCTTACATAATTCATCTGGAGACAAATTAGGTTATTTCAGGACTAACATATGGTTCAATTTTATTTCAATAATTTGCTGTGGGAGGCGTCGGAGAATCCGGAGAAAATCCATAACGTTGGACAGATGACCCAACTCCTTGTAAGGTACAAGCATGGAATCAAAACCATGCCACATGACTCAAGACCTTACGAGTTAAACCATTCGGACATACACACCCCTCCCTGTTTTCCAAAGACGTCACATTCGGGGCATATAGACCATTAAAGAAGTTGATTCACCTATTTTCATATTCTAACAATAACAGTAGAATAATACTGATAAAAGCCCATCATATCACTATTTTCTGAATTTCTAATAGAACATGTTTCATTTAATAACTTTTACAGATAATATTGTCATGAGGACAAATAAACAATCAAATATCCTAAAACGAAATATGCTATTTGTTTTAATTCGATTGAAACAACCTGTACTAAGAATGACTTTTCTGAAAAACATCATATTTATACTTAATAAGTAATATTTAGAAAAAAATGTCTTATAAAGCAAAAAAATTAAAAAACCTCTTTTGTATAATAATAATTTAAAAATATGGTCCTGATATTATGAAAATGCATTGTCATTAATAAAATTAAAATCTACAAACTACAATTACCCAAACAACAAAATATTACTCAATAAAAAACACGTAGGAAGCCATTTTGATTAAATATGGGGACTAACACAATCCTTGTAAAACATTATGAAGGTGAATTTTCTGCCTTTCAATTTACCCAATCACAAGATATTAATGTGCCTTGGACTCGGGAAATCTGAAGATGGACAAATTTTTATAATTCAGTTTTTCTTCGTAAATACCAATCAGAATTAAACCATATTTGGACATATTATCCTTTTAGAGATTCAACTTTCACAATATTGTTGTTTGCAATGAGAGGCTTCATAATTAACCTTTAATTTGATTGTTTTAAGATTGTGGGGGGGGGTAGATAATATAAAATTTTAAGCATATTTATCACAATAATCACACCTCTATCGCTCTATCAGACATAAACAGCTATTCTGAAAGACAATCTGATCAAACCTCGAACACAGTTTAATCAAATTACTCAGCTTTCTTCTTTGGTGTATCAGGAAATTGTTGAGACACTGGCGTAAGACCCAGGAGTAGAAAATGGCGTTGATAGGCTTTGGTTTCACGAAACATGTTATCTGTTCCATGGAGACGATCCAAGACACCCAAGACACCAAAATTCTGATTGAATCTAAAAAATACGAAGTTAAATAATAAATTATAGTCATACATTTCTATTTTAGTGAGCCAGATTGCAGCCATTTGACTGAAACTGAGTAATTTTGCATTAAAATATAAGAGACAGAGTTTTATGGTCCACTCAACTTACTGGGCAATTTTGAGACTAACACTTTGCCACCTAACCCTAGACAGTTGTAACTCTATTTTTGTGTAAAAATAGAGTTATGAATTTTATGCAAGGTTTATCTGCATTTCTAAATTTTTATGTAAGAAATGAAATAAAATGAGCTTTAACGTCCTACTTTTCTGCACGTACCGGGAAGACAGGAATATGCCATGCAGAGGCCTATAAGGTAAATTCTGTGGACTTATTATCAGGTAGTGTTTTGGTGTATCTGTATTCAATTAAAAACATAAAAACTGTGCTTTTAAACAATGGGAAGAAACTGGAAAACCCAGAAAACCCATCTGCAATAATGTCCTAAAAATGACTTACTTCAGATGATGATAATCGTGAGCTTCTGGTGACGGGAGAAATGGGAAGTGATATCCACAGTGAGCTACAGTTGTTGACATCAGAGCGACACAAAACCACAGCCACGCTGTAGCTATATGACATCCCATTAACAATGGGCCTAAAAATGGTGGCAGCAGATTACTAAATATATGTTCTATAGGGTGGGAGTATATTGAGACTAGGCCTATAGATGCTGTCCATTCATGGTGTCGTTTATGGATATATTTATAAAGATAACGATGGTGGAACAATCTGAAATATCAATAAAATATCAATAAACATATATCTATATTAGAGCCAGATCCAAACATTACAACTTAAGATCAAAACAGAAATAGCCATAATGTGCTTTAGAAATGGGGGTGGGGGTGGATGGCTAAATGATCTAATACATGCACTTCATATCATCAGGTCTGTAATTGAGTCACCTCCCACTGCTAAAGGTCACTACACATGCAAATTTATGAAATACTTTGTTAGTCTCGAAATGACCTAGTGGATGTTAAACCCAATTTGCACGACCTTGTTGTTCCAAAAACGTTGAACGTATCATGTGGTGATAGGGCATTTTCAGCGGCAGCACCCATCCAATGGAATAAACTCCCAGCAACATTAAAGGAATCCAGAACTTTAGAGTCCTTTAAATCATCCTTGAGGACTCACTTATTTAACTGTGAATACCAAACGTGACAGTGCAGCTCAGTGCCATCGAGTAGAACAGTTCTAGATGAGAGGCGCTACTTTTAATGCACGATAACAAAAGTTTAGGGTCAGTAAATTAAATAAAGTGAAATTATTGTTACACCACACACGCTGATCAAATGACTCAATGATTGTATAATATCACATTTAGTAATTAAAAAGAGGTTGTGTCCCCAGTTTTTTGGAAATCTGTCACACGCATAAAATTTGAAGAACAATATACAAACCTATGAGAATAATAGAAGGCAAGTTCTTCAAACAGGGTAAATACGGTCATCTCAAACAAAACCCAATGAAAGGTGGGTAACTCTCCATTCATACTACATCCTCTCCATGTCATAGCAAGATAGGCAACACACATAAATGGTATACCAACAACAGTCTGGTTAAACAAAACTACTCCAATTGCTCTCTTTAAGGCATCTTTTTCTAACTGGAAAAAAAAATCAGGAAACAAAATAATTGTTCCTCATCAATACCAAACTGGAGAGCAACCACAATGTCAAATGTGTAAAGTTGTCAGAAAGAGAGAGCGTTTGGGGTTTAACACTGACTTTGGCAGTGGGAGGAAACCAGAGAAAACCTAATAGGTTGGGCAATCAAACCCACATCTGGGATCTTGAAACCACTTCATTTGACTCAATGATAGACCATAACCTTAGCTAGAAATCTAGAAGCTTATAGTTAAGTCAATATATCTGATCCTGAGTTTCCTAACACCCCATAAATATTTCTGTCCCCCCCCCCCCAACACCTCAAATTTTTTTCACAAAAATATTTTAAGATGTGCACATTCCTTTAAGAATAGGCTATTATTATTATATCCATTTGAGTTGTTCGAAGCTCAAAGATATGTTTTTGCGCATTGAATAGTATGGAAGCTTTTGATACACTGAAAGCTTTAAAAACTGTACAAGTTCAGGGTTCAAGTTTGGGTAATCAGTAATACACTAAAACTTTAAAACATAACAAGTTCAAGGTTCAAGCCTCTACTTCCAGAACATTTGAAAAAGAAATGATGAGGGATACAATGATGATGAATTATTTAGATCACAGTAGTTTGACTCACTGGTACATTTTTATCTGGTTGTATTTTGTATCTAAGTAGGAAGGCAGGTCGTCCTGTTAAATCCAATAACATGAAAAATGCATTGGAAATCCAGAAAATTCCAGTTGTAATTAGAAAAGTTCCTGGAATTAAGAAAATAAAATGAACATGAAAGTAATAATCAGATTTCAGTTGGTTATAAAGTCTCAGAATGTAGCAAAAGATGGTGGATTTGTCTGTGTGGTGTTTGAGATGTCACATGAGTCAACTTATAATATACTATTCAAAAAAAGTAGGGGATATTTGATTTTTAAGTGTTATTAAAGTCACCTAATGAAACTGACGAAGAAACAAATGACAAAATGAAATGAAGTTCACATTCATTGATTTATTCCAAATGATCGTTAGACTAAGTAAGGCACAGACTGACCATTATAAGGGTAAAATGATACCCGGGGTCAAACAGCAAAGTTACCACAGCATCACAACCAAGTCAGTAACGGGTAAATCCTCCTCTGTTTGCCAAACAAGCATTGATCCGACGTGGCATACTCCTAATGAGACGTCTAAGGTCATTTTGGTCCAGATTGTCCCATTCCTGTTGCAACGCAGCAGCAAGTTCTTGGACATTGGCAGGACGTTGTTGACGTTGACGTAACCTCTGTCCAAGCATGTTCCAGACATGCTCGATGGGGGAGAGGTCGGGACTCAGTGCTGGCCAAGGTAATGTGGTGATGTTCTGTTGTTGGAGGTAACCTGTAACAATCCTGGCCCTGTGACATCTTGCGTTGTCATCCTGGAAGATGAAACGGCGGCCATGACGTCATGTGAACGGCACAACATGGACTGCCAAGACGTTGTCCCGGTAGTACTGGCCTGTAACACGCCCTGCAACAACACATGTAAAGCCGTTCTTCCAGCAACAGTGATGCCTTCCCACACCATAACAGAACCACCCCCAAATCGATCATGTCTGATGACGTTAACGTCTTGGAAGCGCTCGTTTCGACGAAGCCACACCCTCCTACGTCTGTCCAAAAAATCAACAGTGAACCTTGACTCATCTGAAAACATCACATTGCTCCAGCGTCGATTATCCCAGTGTTGACGATCCCTACACCAACGACGTCTTGCCTGAATGTGATGATCTCTCAAACAAGGGATCACGCGAGGACGTCGGGCGCGAAGGTGACCCCTATGCAGTCGATTCCGAATCGTCTGGCCACTCACTCTCACACCAGTGTCTGTTTGAAGACGAGCGCTGATCTGATTTGCTGTGATGACACGATTTCTCAAGGCCAAGGTACGGATAAATCGATCCTGGGCTTGAGTTGTCGCCCTTGGTCGACCTGAGCGTGGTCTGTCCTGTACAGATTGTGTATCACGGTATCTGGACCATAGCCTGCTTATGACAGACTGAGAAACATTCATCGTCCGCGCCACAACCGCCTGTGTTGTGCCGATCTGTAGCATGCCAAGGGCACGTAACCTTTCATTTTGGGTAAGCCGACGCATATCAAAATTTGTTTTCTGGTCACTAAAACAATTAAACTGATGTTTCCACCCTGGAATTCAATGCCACAATGACTGTAACATTCAAAGTCAGAGTCGTGCAAATCTTGGGTTGGACCCCCATGATGATCCCAAGCATCACCTGCATTCCATGCGGTAGCTATTGGTGCGTTTGGGCGTCACATGTAACTGGAAATGTTTCTTCTGTTAGGTTCTATAGTGACTTTTTTCGTAGTCATTTGCATATTTTAGTATTATGCCCCCAAAATCAAATATCCCCTACTTTTTTTGAATAGTATATAAGTGGGAAAAAGATTTCTTTAATCTCAATCTTAGTTTTGATCAAAACCATGGATGTATCAATACTACTTATACTTCATGGATTCATGGAATATTTTAACTGGCTTTGCAAAATTTATTAACATGTACATTTATTCAAATCCCATTTTAGTGTAAATTAATTAATTTATTAAAAGTCAACAATATAGTAGGATTTGAAAATATTCAGAAAAAATGTTGACTTGACAATTGTGGCTAATTCCACAAGCACTCAAACATTTCACCACAAACACAATAAAAATAAAAAACACACAGGCGACAAACATTACTAATAATATACTTGCTTACTGTTCAACATCCACAACAGTCTCAACTTGAGACTCTCAAATGACAAGACAGACATTACCAAACAATAAAGAAGGGTTCACCACTTGGAATACGGATGATAACTTCAGCCTCTAAATCTTGTGGACGGACAGAGTGACGACAATACAACCAAAATGTTGGCGTATAACATGGCTGACAGTTGAGAAGTAAATTCTTATAACTTGTCTTTGAAGGTCCATGAATGGATAAGAAATTATGGCTTACCAACTATACCAATCATATAATCCTTAGAACCAAGTAAATAGTACACATTTTCCCACTGGCTTTGCCAAAAATCTCCTGAGGCACCCCAAAATTTCTGAAGATGCCTGAAAGAAATAGAGGTATGGGATATTACATAATAATAGTCATGTAACTAATAGGTTAACCTTGGCTTTTATCATTTTATTTTTAGAATTTCTATTATTGGGCACATTAGTCATTTTATAGGATTTTATTTGTTAATATAATGTTAAAATCCAAATATCCAGTTACTATACTCAGCCCGGGCATGGTGCTTTGTGTTAGTATGTATTAGGGACCCAAGGTCGCTCAGTGAGTAAGAAGTTAGCTCGCTAACCAGGAGGTCTTGGGTTCGCTCGATGTGTTGGCAGAGAAAGTCCCTCTGGATTTTCTGCCGTGGCTTCACCTTGTTAGTGGTGTAGGACCGAGGGAATGCTATAGGCAATGTCTAGTTGTTCGGATGGGACGAAAACCAAGGTCCACTGTACACATTGGAGTGTACATAAAAGGACCCTTGACAGGTGGAATTCAAAATAAGAGTAGGGCATTATGCAGCTGCCCAAGCAAAACAGATTATCATCCAACAAAACACCAGGATTCAGGTAGGAGTGCTTTTTTAGGTTTTTGTAAAGATATGTCTTACTTACCATGTTATAGAATTTCTTGCAGCAACAAAGACAAGTAACGCTGAACCTAGTATAAATAATACTTTCTTTATAGAGTCAACTAACTGTTGTCTAATGATAACCATTATTGCCTGAAAAGATTAGTAGAAAAAGGTTTGAAATCAAGAAAATATAAACAACACTTAAAAAGATATGGGATGATAAATGTACTCTGTAACTTATAATGTGTTCAATGTTCACAAGAACTTGTTTACACAGAGAGAGAGAGAAATGGGGTTTATTGTCCACTCGACACAAACTAGGTCATTTCGGGACTAACAATGTATATGGTTTAATTTTTATTTCAATAATTCACTTGCGCGTAGAACCGAGGAATCGAAACCCCGCCAGATGACTCAATGACAAACCGTATGATACAGTGCGCGCGTGCTAACCAATCAGCCATCCAACCCCCCACTTGTTTACAACTGACAGACTGCATACAACCACATTCCAATATGGGAGTATGGAAAAATACAAAAAAAACAATAAAAAATACATGTCGAATACATGTCAAGATGTAGACCTATACAGAACTGTCACCCAAGCCCAGTTCTAAGAGCAGACATAACCTGCCTCATGCACAACACCCACCACAATGCCAACAAAAAAACAAAAACAATTAAGCTTGTGGAGGTAAACATACAATATCAAAAACAAAATTGCACCTGATTAATGAAATCAACAGAGATTTACTAGTAAAATGAACTTCCTATAAATTTACCAAAATATTGAGACATAAATAACAGATTTTTTTTATTTGTATTACTTTTTAAAGAAGACACCAAGTATTTTTAAATATTCGAGATATCACTATCAGATTGATTCATATATTAACAACTTTGTTATTGTAAGCCCATTTTATTAGATGATCTTTTGAAATGTTTCATTATTTATCCCTTATTATTGACATTATATATGTCCACTTTATACATTTCCATTACCAGACTATGACCCTTTATCATGAAATTGAATATGTTTTTGTGCTACAATATAATAATATATATGTATATAAACAGATAGTTTATTATAACCTATAAATATACATGGTATGAAAATTAACCACATTAACCTACATTTCTGGTCACAAGATGAAAATCGGGTTAATAATACAAAGGTACAAAGTTCATCTTTAACTTTGTTTTTATAATTATCCAATAAATAAAATTCAACTGGCTCTATGTAGTCGTTAAAAAAAGAAAAGCAGAGTAAAATTAACATGAATGAAATAATGCTTGGTAAAATATCACAATGACCATGTTCCTAAAATTTAGTATTTTGTGAATGTGATATAAACGTTATCTGTCACTCTGACATTGTCAAACAGCTGATCATGAAGCTGCAGATTTCCTTAGTTGCGATGCCCGACCTATTGTCCTTCATAAATAAATGGCCTTATGGTTATGCCTGATCAAAACTACAAAAGTTTAATCTCGATGTAGCCTACTTACGAGAATTCTTATGCAAATACTTACTCTTATCTGTAAGTTGTATTTCAGTCGAGTTCTGCGTTTGACAGTTCTACTGCAGCAAATTACAAGCAACAACAACCATGCAAATTTATTTATAAATCTAAACAAATGACGTAAATATCACATGACAAAATACTGCTCCGCCTATAAATACACCGTGAACTCCAGGGAGGATAACTCTAATAGTACTACAGGAGGACCGCACCACACATAACCACCCATAAGATTTAAAAAATTAAATATAGTGACTTGAACAAATAAAATAGGATCCGTCGGTATTTTCTTTTTTTGTGTGGGGTTTGTGGGGTGAGTAAGTAAGATTGGACATAAATAACTGAACTAATATTATTAAAGATGCATTAAGAGTTCCGTTTAATAAAGAGTTGGTCATTCTTGCTATAATAATTCAAAAATAGATGATAAAAAAAAAGAAAATATTGAAAATTTCATTCAAATTACTTCATTTTGAGCCAAATTATCACTGTTTGTAATTTTGACGAGATGTGTGCATAGTGGTAACCAGGGAACTGGTATATTCGAGACATAGCCCATTTTTAAATTAAATTTTTAAATGGCAAATCGTTCTACTTCTAATCTAGTTAAAATCTCGAGTATCCGATGCTATCGAAAGTTGATTATAGTCTTGTTGTGTTAATTAATGTCTACTTAATAATTTAGATATAACATTTCAGGCCTATAGAAAGAACTACAATAGCCAGATTTAGCTCTTGCATAGGCCTAATGTAGGCTATGTTTAAATGAATCTTTTAATAGTGGAGTTTGTGAGGTGAGTAAGATTGGGCACAAATAAATGAACTAATATTAAATGAATCTTAATAGACGGAGTCGCTGTGGCTCATAGTATTAGTAAGACGTTGGCTTGCTAACCTGGAGGTCCCGTGTTTGATCCCAGTATTGACCGAGGGTGATCATCTAGATACCCCCACCCTTATGCCATTAGTGCAGGATGGAGTGCCTGGCAATGAACAATTCTTAGTGCCGCTGCCCGGGCAAAATATCCCCCATAATACACTGTATGACATAATATGCCCGTCTTCAGTCGTTGTAGAACAATGGGACGTTAAACCTTATTTGATTTCCTTTAAATATATGTATCTCTGAATTCGCTTGGGGTTAGGACTCGGAAGATTCGAGCGACTCACTGGTACATGGATGATGGGGACAGGGACGCCTTTGTTGTCCTCCTATTATTTGTGATTTTTCAAAAAAACAGTTGATTTCCTTTTTGTTCCTTTTCAAATTGTTCTTCTTCCTTTTGCTTCTAAATCATGCCATATTTATTACCAAACATAAGGCTTCCAGTCTCCATTTAATCACTGACTCGACTGTAATTCGAATCATACTTTGAAGAAAAGCACTACAATGAATTGAACGCCTATAGGCTACCGACTCCGTATGCTTATCCGAAACGGGGCTGCATTTTATTATTAGAAACGGCCACTTGCTGAGGACACGTCACGGAGCTTGCAATTCCTTTCTATTTTTTCTCTGATAATTATGTATGAAATACTAGCAGGAGTAATTATTGGATTTTACTAATATAATCACCGACAAGAACCGACACGACTGTGTTTTGTTTTATTAATAGTGCCCAAAGTATTGCAAAAATTGACCGAAAAGGAAAGATATCTTATAGATATATATATTCTACAAATCGTCGGACATATCCAAAAACGTATATGATTTCATAAAATAAATGGTACAAATCATGGATAATTGAAATTTTGACAAAATGTTTTGTCAGCATCGCCCAACCTATATCCAAAAACTTAAATTATTATGGCTAATTAGGAGGCATCTTTCTGCATAATTATTTCAATTTTTGATGAAATCATTTAAATTTTGAAATGATGTGTCCATTACACACATTTCCTGGTTGGTCATCTTTTGTGAAAACGCCCTTGTCGGTGATTATAAGGACCGTAATTATTTGATATTGTCGAATGTTCCAGTATATATACAGTTAAACGTTTTATGGGCAGTGCTTTGTGTGTTTCGGGAAATGTTCCGCGGGCTTCGCCATACTTGCATTCCATAACCTTTTGTCATTTTAAAATATATTTACTTTCAGGTATGATTATGCTTGAAACTTTTCTTTATATAATCGCAAAAGCGGTATACCGTAACAGTGCATATTGATGACAAATAGTTTATTTTAGATATTTAATTTTTATGTATTTTATTTGTAGTTTATTTTAAATGTATATATGTTTATTAAAGACAGCGAATGAATAATCCCCTAATAAGCATAAATCAACGGGGTGTTATAAACTATAGTCCATATCTTTTTTAAGACTAAAACTTGACGCTGATGGGTGTAAATAGATTTTAAGCAATATTATATAATTGTATACCTGTATCAAAAAAAGCCTTAATAGAGGGTCCTTTATTGTTTGTTTATCTAGACGTAATTAAGGAAGATTAATGGTGACAGCTTAAACTTTTAAAACAATACGCTAGGATTAAACTAACGCAATCTGATTAAAACACAGATCCAATTTCGTTTCGTTTTTATAGTTCAAAATTTCGATTTTACTTGTCTTTACTACACTTGGATCTAGAAGCGTTGTTATTTAACCCGTGTTCTGCTTGAAATAAGGGGTCAGCCAATCAAATGGTCTGCCGAATCGAGCGTTTGACCTTTTTTGCGCGGAACTGTGGGTAGACATTAGCGGCAATAGAAATCAGAACAAAGCAAAAGTAGATAAAAAATACATGGCGGTCGCTAATTTTTTTACTTTCTTTGTTTATTTCACATACCAGGTATTAAAAAGCAGACTTTAAGGATTAAAACGGTTAAATTTGTTGATAAATCCAGCTATCCTATTTCATTAACCTAAACTGTTTGGGTGTTGGTGGTTGTTTGAGGGCGTGATCTGTTTGTGTGTGGGGTAAGGAGTGCGGTGGTGGTGGCAGTGGCGGTAGTGTATTGGTTGTGTTTTATTGTACAGTTTTCGGTTGAGGTAGACGATTTTAAGTGCCTCGGGCGCTGTACCTTTCTTGAAGGTTAGGGCGACGCTTCCCTGGTCCTTCCCCTCGGCCACATTAAACCGATATACCTCGGTTGCTTGGTACCCCCTCTCTATTAGATCCTCCAGAATTTCGTCCCCGGTATATTCGGCCGGTATCCCATGAACAATAGACAAGGTGGACGGTTCGGACACCGTCACGGTCATACCGAGAAGTAGATTCTGGGCCAGCGCTAGGTCCATGTCAGACCTACTTTTTAGGGCAAGTCTAATATGTCCCGGCACTGTGATCTTTATGTCGGGTATGTTGATAATACTCCACTTACTCTTCAATTCCTTGCCCAGGGCCGTAAGTTCTTCTCTCCTTTTTGTCGCAGGAAAGAACTTTGGTGCAGGGCTGCTTTTAAAAGCGTCAGCCATTGACATGGGTGAGCTAGCCTCTGTCGCCATCGTTCTTATGCTGCCGAAAAGTAAAATCGAAAACAAAAGGAGGGACTGAACAGTGTTGATTAAGGTTGTATGCTGTTGTTAATTAATGGCGTAAGCTGATACAACTGTTGTTAACCCTTTCCACAAAGAGCCGCTAGTCAATCAGTGTTATTAATACTAATCACCTATGGGTTCCTGTTGCTTGTATGAGTTTACTTAACAGTTATGAGGCTTGGTAACTATAATAATAATTTAGATTGTTAGTGTTGTTTTAAGCTGGTATAACTGTCGTTAACCCTTTTCACAAAAAAGCCGCTAGTCAATCAGTGTTAATAATACTAATTAACTATGGGTTCCTATTGCTTGTATGAGTTTACTTAACAGTTATCAGGTTTGGTATTTATAAAAGAGATTTAGCTTGTTGGTGTTGTTTTAAGAGGTTTGTGACGAGTTCAATCAGTTGATTGGCTTGTACACTAAGCTTCTTGGTTATTAGATGATAGAAAGAAGAGTAGAATAGTTAAATAAATGAAGAGTCTGATAAGGAAAATAATGGAAATAAGGAAAGGATGAGAAATAAAAATAAATAAAAAATAAATAAAAATAAATAAATAAATGGAGTTAAGAAGTTGGTATATAGGGAGAATGAAAAAACAAATAACAAAAAGTAAAAAAGGGTGAGGGGAAGGTAACTAAATAAAGTAGATTAAAAATGTAGAAAATAAAATAGAAGGAGGAAATAAGCTTATAAGCTTATATCTGATATAAAAAAGAAAAAATAGTATCCTAACAATGAATCAAAGAGAAAAGAAGCAAAAAAAAAAATGGAAGAACAAAATAAAATAAAATAAGGTAGATAGAAAAGAAAAAAATGAGAACAGCTTATACCTTGTGAAGGTATAAAAATAAAGACAACCTTAAAATTACTTATGGACTGGAGGATCTTTGCAGAATCTAGTAGTCTTTGGTTTGAGGAGTCTTTTGGAGTCTGGCTAGGCTACTTTATCTATACTATTCAAAAAAAGTAGGGGATATTTGATTTTTAAGTGTTATTAAAGTCACCTAATGAAACTGACGAAGAAACAAATGACAAAATGAAATGAAGTTCACATTCATCGATTTATTCCAAATGATCGTTAGACTAAGTAAGGCACAGACTGACCATTATAAGGGTAAAATGATACCCGGGGTCAAACAGCAAAGTTACCACAGCATCACAACCAAGTCAGTAACGGGTAAATCCTCCTCTGTTTGCCAAACAAGCATTGATCCGACGTGGCATACTCCTAATGAGACGTCTAAGGTCATTTTGGTCCAGATTGTCCCATTCCTGTTGCAACGCAGCAGCAAGTTCTTGGACATTGGCAGGACGTTGTTGACGTTGACGTAACCTCTGTCCAAGCATGTCCCAGACATGCTCGATGGGGGAGAGGTCGGGACTCAGTGCTGGCCAAGGTAATGTGGTGATGTTCTGTTGTTGGAGGTAACCTGTAACGATCCTGGCCCTGTGACATCTTGCGTTGTCATCCTGGAAGATGAAACGGCGGCCATGACGTCGTGCGAACGGCACAACATGGACTGCCAAGATGTTGTCCCGGTAGTACTGGCCTGTAACACGCCCTGCAACAACATGTAAAGCCGTTCTTCCAGCAACAGTGATGCCTCCCCACACCATAACAGAACCACCCCCAAATCGATCATGTCTGATGACGTTAACGTCTTGGAAGCGCTCGTTTCGACGACGCCACACCCTCCTACGTCTGTCCAAAAAATCAACAGTGAACCTTGACTCATCTGAAAACACCACATTGCTCCAGCGTCGATTATCCCAGTGTTGACGATCCCTACACCAACGACGTCTTGCCTGAATGTGATGATCTCTCAAACAAGGGATCACGCGAGGACGTCGGGCGCGAAGGTGACCCCTATGCAGTCGATTCCGAATCGTCTGGCCACTCACTCTCACACCAGTGTCTGTTTGAAGACGAGCGCTGATCTGATTTGCTGTGATGACACGATTTCTCAAGGCCAAGGTACGGATAAATCGATCCTGGGCTTGAGTTGTCGCCCTTGGTCGACCTGAGCGTGGTCTGTCCTGTACAGATTGTGTATCACGGTATCTGGACCATAGCCTGCTTATGACAGACTGAGAAACATTCATCGTCCGCGCCACAACCGCCTGTGTTGTGCCGATCTGTAGCATGCCAAGGGCACGTAACCTTTCATTTTGGGTAAGCCGACGCATATCAAAATTTGTTTTCTGGTCACTAAAACAATTAAACTGATGTTTCCACCCTGGAATTCAATGCCACAATGACTGTAACATTCAAAGTCAGAGTCGTGCAAATCTTGGGTTGGACCCCCATGATGATCCCAAGCATCACCTGCATTCCATGCGGTAGCTATTGGTGCGTTTGGGCGTCACATGTAACTGGAAATGTTTCTTCTGTTAGGTTCTATAGTGACTTTTTTCGTAGTCATTTGCATATTTTAGTATTATGCCCCCAAAATCAAATATCCCCTACTTTTTTTGAACAGTATATGATAAACTCAGCAATAGCTTTGGAGCTCTGGTGCACTAGGTGTTATCAGTACGAGTACTAATTAACAACTATGTGAGACCAAACCAACCGTGTCTCACTGACTTTTGAATAGACAAGCAGATATCAACAAAGTATACAAAGAAAATGAAGAATAGAAAGGAGCGAAAAGGACGGTAACGAGTATAGTTTAAACAGGAGTGGATGTCTACATGCTAATAATTAGTGGAAGGGGTCAAATGAAATGGTTTACTGAGTTCATATATTTTGATCCTGGATCATTAAAATAAACTTTTTACATATCTGAATTCGCGTTTTATTGAAATAGTATGTTAGTGGTTGATCGTTTAGGTCCTCGTAAAAGTTGTATACCCGTAATAAATAAATACCTACTATACATTGAATAGAACAACAAAACAACAGCGTTAGTTGGACCGAATCCTTCCACCCTTGACCTTTAACGAGCTCAACTGTTCAGGATATATATAGAGACGTTTGAACTTATATGACTTGTTTAAGGAATTACATGTAGGCGATAGAAGTAAACAAATATCAACAGTGACGAAGTAAGTACTTAATGTCTTTAATCAATTTTAATCTTAATTTTAGAAGCGAATTTTAATTTCTATTTACAATTTAATTCTAAAGTTTTTCAATGTAGACTCATATATATTAATATTACAGTAAATTTAACCATGATTTAAACATTATCTCTACTTTATGGCAGTGCTGTTTTCTGTGTGTTGTAGCTTATTCCAACACTAACGACCATAATTCGGAATAAATAGTTAACAAACTGGCTAACGGTCAAAATAACGAGATCGCTATAGGGTGAGCCGATCACAGGACTAAAGTTACAGTAGAATATGGAATATGTATCCAACCTTAGGATTAATATAATTATATAATACGTAATATATATCGTTACATTAAGTAAAAACCCTAACAGTTAAAAAGACTTAAAAGATTAGTGAGATTGGTCAATTACTACTTTAACTAAAATTAAAAATAAAATATACAAAGATACACTACAAAATAATACATACATTTACATGAAAACGTAAAAATGATTAATTTTTGTAACTTAGCATAGTTTTATTAATTTATCAAATATATAAAGATGCCAATGTCTCTTATATATATAATTATATTCCATGTTTTTTTCCCTGGAAATATCAGTCTGTTTAAAACACTTATTTAATATAAATGTAATTATAAATTATGGATATACAAACAATTATATTTAAACAGTTACTTAATTAAACATAATAAATGCAAATGTCTGAATACTTGATATAGAAACAATTAGAAGGTAATGACACTGGAAAAGACCAAAAAACTAGTTTTGTGAAACTCAATTTAGAATTAGTTACATAGAAGGTTAAATTAATACCACAATTGGAATTATTGTTTTATATCAATACTAAAATGTCTGCTCAAAATGCATAAAATTAACTGACGTGAATGTTGGGTCGTTTATTTTTTTTACCTTCTTTGTTTATTTCACATACCAGGTATTAAAAAGCAGACTTTAAGGATTAAAACGGTTAAATTTGTTGATAAATCCAGCTATCCTATTTCATTAACCTAAACTGTTTGGGTGTTGGTGGATGTTTGAGGGCGTGATCTGTTTGTGTGTGGGGTAAGGAGTGCGGTGGTGGTGGTGGTGGGGGGGGTATTGGTTGTGTTTTATTGTACAGTTTTCCATGCAGAAATCTTTATAGAATTTATATATATATATATATATATATATATATATATATTATATACCCAGGTTTGGGGTTTCCGCGTCTTTATTTAAACAGGAAATTACGAATTTGTATATGTGGCCTTATGCACTTTTGCTATTTAAATACGTTTCTCTTCGTCCAAATAAACAAGTGTTTTAGCTATATTCTATTATATCTTAAACGACCTCAAACAAAAACTAAATAGACTTTCCTATCTGCCTGCAGTGTGAGGAGACCACGGTTTTCGATATACATATCCAATGTGAATGATTCGTAAATTCACTACAAACATATTGTTAGTTATATCAAAGCTGACCTTTAAATTAAGAGAGAAGTGCGGTTTAACGCAAACACAGCACATTCAAAGTCTTTTCGAGAGTAACATGTGGTACAAATTTATTTTAAAAAAACCGCTTGTGCGCAGGGTTTCTTAGCAGTGGGAGGATACCGGAGAATATCAAAGAGGTTGGACAGGCGACCCTACTCCTTGTCAGGTACAAGCTTTGGATCGAAAACACGCCACTTGACTCAATGACAGACTATAAGCGCACATAAGCCCCCACCCCATTATTCTACGTTTATAAATGGCTGCACCAGTTACAAGCTTAGGACCGAAACCACACCATTGACTCAATGATAGGCCTTAAGATTTTAAGCGCACGTGTTAGACTATGCGACGACCCCCACCCCATTTAATTCAAAATAAATACATTCTACATCTAAAAAATGGCTCCACCCAAACAGATTAAACATACCATGCCCCGTGTACAGAGCTCGTCACTTTAGATCATTGGCACAAAGCAAATGTTAAACAGTTCTTTTTAAAACAAAATCATTCTTTATCTTTATAATTATACCAAATAGTCTGTGTTTTAATTCTACGTTATAATGACTAGTTGAAACGTAGTCTCGGTCACCCAGAACCTCTTGGATGATAGAGACTAGTTGAAGCACTTTAAGAAATCTCAGGGAATGTCCAAGAGGCTTGGCTTTTCATAAAACCGGATATATTTACAATTAAAGTAATCATTTTCATCATGTAAACCGTTTAAGGATTGATCGACTGCTGTCACCTTAGAGTGAAGTCAATTTCAACATAACATCCTGGTTCTCTAGCTCGGAAACATTCCCTACAATATTAAAGAGGTCGCAAATTGAATTTCATCTAGTCAGTCTTACAAACCAGCGAAAAATACATTTTTGTCAATTGCGCCCAAAATTATGAATAAATGAAATTTTAGCAATTCGACGTAGTACCGATAATAGCTTACACTGGATAGAGTATTTAGACAACGAATTTAATGTGTGATAGATATGTCGTAACTCATACATAAAAAAACTTGCAATTCAATTGAATGAAAATGCATTAAGGAATACATTCAGTTAGTTAGAGTCCATCTTTCTTTACCAATAAGTACGATGCAATCACAAACAGGGACCAAAGTACTAAATAAACTTACGACGCAAAGATGTATAACATAGATCTTCATATATATGGTTTAATTGTCTTCAGCTTATAACAGATTCTATTATTTTTGTCGAGAGCTTAAATTGGATACTGATGAACTTACAGAAACATTTGTATACGCCCTCATGTTAAAGGACAATATTGGTGCCAGTCATTATCACATATGTGAAAGAGCTGGTTAAACACATTCCAAATATAATTTTAATACAGAGATCATTGCTACGATAGCTGAGTAATACAGGTTTCCTGAGTAGGAAGTGACGAACGCCAAAGGAAAACACGAGTCATCTCTCTATATAACTGACTGATGTGACGAGTGATAACGGATATACGGCCGAATTTCTGCTCGCTTATAATTCCTTCGAAGACCAAAAATAGCCTTCTTGCAGCCTTTAGGACGGTATAATCCGTACATAACGTCTTATCGCTTCTTCCAATGATTTTTCACAAAAATAACATCATCTACAACTCTAGATTTTGCGTCGGCATATTGGCACTATTTTGTGCTTCGGTCGTGTCTATTTCAGATATACACAATCAATTCTGTTAATGTTTTTAGCGTGGGGATTGACTAAAAGTTAATTTATTTCAGTTCTAAACAAAAATTTAACGCAATTTTTAAAAAAATAGCCAAAGTCTGGCTGGGATTACTGAGCAAAATGGCCATTCACTGTATACGTGCGAAAAAAAAAGCCAGCTACCATTTAATTTTCGTACGTTAGTTGCGTACGATATGAGAGGTGTCCTGTATGGCGGTATGCCAGTGTTCATTAGCTCGGGTGGAGCAGTAAAATAGGACGTTAAGCCTCATTTCATTCCCCTCTCTTTCTCCCCAAAACCATTTTTAAGTGTGATACTTTTCTCGCCGAAAACCACCCATTTAAAAGACACATTGGGTGTGAATAGATGGTAACAAGTTTAAAGCAGCACGATACCGTACATTTTGAACTTTCTGTAGATTTCAATATTGACATTCCATGATGAGCAATAAATCAATCCAATTAAGTTCTGCTGTTATGTTATGCCCGTTTAAAGAAAGGAATGGAATGGGAAGGTATCACAACAACACTCTGATCATGTTGGGGGGGGGGGGGGGTAATATTGTCCAGGACAGAAGCGTTGGTGCCTACCCTTCTTCAAATTCCAACTACCAAAGGTTCTGTTTTTCTATACACGATGTATACACGATATATAGACCTCGGTTTTGTGTCTCGTCTGAATCGACTCACTTTTTTTCTTCTTAACCCCTCCGGAGCCACCCTTAACTATGGCCTGAGAACCGGACCTCAAAAATCCCGAAATTTCGTCTCGGTTCACCCCGGGTTTTGAACCCTGCACCTTCCCTTTAAAGAACACCTGCCTTTCCACAAAGATTTGTATTACGATACAACCTCGTGGGTTATGGGTTCTTGTCGCGAGAAACGTGTTGACACTGTTAAAATGGGTGTTAATTAAGTGTAAACTTTACACCACAGCTAGCGTTTTTAAAATGTAACACTTTCACCAGTGTAACCAACTAAAAGAGCTACACATAACAAGTGTAACCATTCATGACTACTGAACATCCGAATAGGTGTAATTGTGGGGTGTTTTGGATAATCTACACCACTACCAGTGTTATACTGCATTTACACCAAAAAGTGTAACTATCATTGGGGAATAAATCCAATGCAAAAGTGCAATCGATATTCATGAGTACAGAACACTAGGAGTGATGTAATTGTAGCCGATAAAGGATGTTTGGGATGAGCACACCTCTACAAGCGATTTATTGCATTTACACCAACAGGTGTAATTATTATTAGGGAAACATTCATCCGAATAAGGTGTTAATTTACACCGTATCTTGCGTTACAAAAGTGTTTGTGCACTCCAATTTGAGTATCTTTGTATCATGTATAATAATCTTAAGAATACTTCAAGTATAGATTATTTTAGCTTGTATATTTTAGACGTGTACATGTTCTAAAACATTACCAAGTACTATATCTTGATTAATTATTGTCAATTCAGGTGAGGTCCATAAATGAATAAACCACATTATTCAGCTAAGTTGTAAGGATATGTGTATTGATTTTTCCTCGTGATTTATATTCATTGTAAATTGATACAGATTGTCTAATCGCCCAACAGCGGTTGGATTTGAATCAGTCTGATGGATATTTGTCAATTTAATGTCGTTGTAAAGTGAAGCTTAACGCCCTATACTAATTATCATACAGACCGATAGCCAATTTCAAGTTTTCTGATTTTAGAAGTCGTTGGCTTGAAATAAATATTCAACAAAACAAATTACACCCGCGTTGGTGTAATGATTAAAATGGAAGTGCAATTTACAAAACATCCTTGAGGGATAATGCATAAGCTACACCCAGGGTTGTAAACTATATACATGTAAGTGTAACACTTACACGGTTGCACCAGGCAGGTTACACCACTGGCGGTAGCAGCTAGTTTCCACCTGAATTGGTGTAATGTTCTACACTAGTTGGGTATTATCAGTTTACACCACTAAAGGCTAGGAGTTACCCCTGGCAACTAGTTTCCACCCGAATTGGTGTAAACTACCTTATAATTTTTCACAGTGTATAAACCAAAACACATTTAATGACGCCGTGTCCAGAATGTCATACATGTCTGAAATATTATCCCCTGAGGTATTTACATTTATTTTATCGTTTATGTTTAGATTATAACCTAAATATGGCTGCAGCATGTATTCAAGTGAAGCAAGCAGGCATATCAGAGGCAGAGAACGATATCAAAAGCATGATATTAACATTCGATGCTATTGATAATGTTGGATTAGTAATGGTACCAATGAAGATGTTCATCGCTCGACCAACCGCCATATGCGACGCATTTGAATACCGGTCCAGAGAAATTGCCCACAATAAAAATTTAGTTAATGTTTTCATGGAGACTGACACAATACAGTCATCAAAACTTGGGAAAATGGATAAATTGACCCAAACATGGTAAGTAAATAGTTAAAGTATTTTAATACTCTTAATTTTTTTTAAAAATTATGGTTTAGCTACATGGATGTCGATTCAGAACGAGTATGCTTGGCCTGATTTGCCCATAACTTTCGTCTACTCTTGTTGGCAGCGAAAGAATCCGCGTTTTCGGCTAAAAAAAAATCAGCAAAGTTTTCACACCAAGAAATGTGATAAGATTAAAACGTATAAAATGAATTATAAAAGCGTGACGGCGGAACAAAATGTTAATGTATTTCTATATAAGATACGATCATTTAGTCTAGCAATTCACTATAATAGTGATAACCTTGACATATGTCACTTGAATAAACAAAAACAACAAAATAACTAACTCTTATTTAATCTACAATTTTAAAAAAAATTCTTATTCGTTTATGTTTTAATTATTTTAAGGACAGTACAATGTACATCAAAGGAAGATTTGGAAGACATTATAGACAGACTTAGCAAACGAACAACGGTTTTATCTCTAACTTTACATCGCCATATTTTAACAGGAGAGGATATAGATAGTAAGTTCAACCTATTCAATACAATCCGTATTGCCTCTCAAATCTACGGTGGCCTGTTAGTGCCTTACACTGATTTATACCTTTTTCTTGAAATTTACTTCATATGAGAAATCGCAGTGAAAACTGTGATAAATAAAAAAAAAACACACGAAAAACCTTTCCACCGCGGTGTAAACATTTTCTCCGCGGTTTAAACATTTTCTCCGCGGTGTAAATATTTTCTCCGCGTTGGAAACATTTTCTCTGCGTGGAAATTTTTTCTCCGCGGTGTAAATATTTTCATGTTTTTTTGATTTATCACAGTTTTCAGTGCCATACATAGAATTTACTTCATATGAGAAATTGCAGTGAAAACTGTGATACATCAAAAAAAACATGAAGAACCTTTCCACCGCGGAGAAAATATTTCCACCGCGGAGAAAATATTTCCACCGCGGAGAAAATGTTTACACCGCGGAGAAAATGTTTCCACCGCGGAGAAAATATTTACACCGCAGAGAAAATGTTTACACGGCGGGCGGAGAAAATATTCACACCGCGGTGGAAAGGTTTTTCATGGTTTTTTTTACTTATCACAGTTTTCACTGCGATTTCTCATATGAAGTAAATTTCAAGAAGAAGGTATAAATCAGTGTATGGCACTAACAGGCCACCGTACAAATCTGTACACTATATATGCGGGATAGTAAATTATATATATGTAAATTATGTGCATATGTAAAGCAAGTTTTATTTTATGTAGTACAGCCACACATATGCCCCACCCTCACCGGATCCATAAGAAACCTGTTTTGTTATTAAACATTTTAACAATTCATCTAGATCTACGAAAAATAAACCCGAATTGTACATTGTGAAGATTTATGTTGAAATATAGCAACACTACCTCGTCCGACCTATGACACCACCCCTGGGAAGTTTGTTTTGTTATTACATATATTACTTTAATGAGTGGGCCCACACAGACATGCGATGGATAGAACAAAAATAAACAGTCAAGATCCAGTGTTACAAAAGTAAATGGAAATCGAACTTTTACTATTTCGTGTAGCTCAGAAAAAATGAATAAATTATTTAAACGAAAATACAACTTTATAATATAAGAATTTTTCTTCTACAGTTCCCTTCGTAGTTTTCATCACACCAAGCTCGCGAGGTATGACGTCATTGATAAAGCAGCTACACGAAGTGATGACGACGTTACCTGACAATAAAAGATATGCAATTGAGGTGTGTATTCTATACTTCTAAAATCGAACATGATCAGTTATTGTTGTTGACCTATTTTCATTTATATGTCTATGACTTCTCGAATAATGACAGTTCTTAACCGCTTTTACAGAAATCCTTTCACAATGTCAATGGCTTAAACAGTTTATTGTCCATTCAATGGATTATTATACTTGTAGGCTTACATGTTATATGTAAAGCACACGAAACAAGCCAAGGATGTACGAAGCGTTCTAAAAATAGATGTCCACGTCATGATACAGAAAATGAAATTTATAGAACGATAGAACCACTCGGCTCTCATTTAGGTATTTGGGAATATTTCGATTTGACAAAATCACCAGACCTTTATAAACTCAATTCAACTTCCCTCAGTTGTCAAGCATGGAAATCAATAGTCCATTAAATAATACTAAGACCGAAGACCAATTTTGGAAAGGGCATGGAACTTGAGAAGTTAGCACCAGACCCTTGGACTGGTAAGATCCGGGTACGGTGTTGGCCGAGAAAGTTCATCGTGATTTTCCGGCATGGTTTCTCCTTGTCAGTGGTGTAGAACGAAGGGCCTGACAAGGATAGCTGTCTAGTCGTTCGGATGGGAACCGAGCCCCCAAGTACACATTGGCGTGCAAGTAAACGATCCCTTGGCAGTTAGAATTCGATATAAGAGTAGGCCGTGGCGCATAGCATGGCGTATGCCCCTCTTCATTAGCCCTGTCGGAGCAGAACAGTAGGCGTTATACCCCATTTCATTTGATTTCATTTCTGTTTATCTTATATTATTATAAGGTTAACGTATTACTATTGGATACTGTATTGTATATTATCAGTCATTAAGTGGCTTGTTGAAAAAATAAGGGAAATAATGAGGGAATAATAAACCGATGTCACCCATTTGTTTCATTTGCAACAATGCGACTTTAGTTTTGAAATTTGTATGTATATAATTAAAACCTATTTTACTACTGCGATCTAAGATTGAGCCGACGAAATATTAATTGAAAGATTGGTTTTGACTAATTCATATACGCCCTTTAAAATGTTTTAATTTATTCCATTGACAACATACATTATTAATAGACTGGAAATATTTTGAGGTATAGACTAATTTTAGATAATGGATCATACAAACTCGAGCTCCAATCCTAATAACTTTCGTTATTGATTAAATTATTTGTATACAATCCGCTTTATCAAAACACCCATACATGACTTTCCCATAAAGAAATGGTGTCAACTGAAATGCACTTTAAACCACAATTAACAGAGCATGAAACTTAAAGTAGAAAAGAATAAATTGTAATGTGTTGACTATGTCCACACTTTGAAATAAATAAGATGTCATAGCGTCGGAAATGATATGTTTTATACATACTTACCGTGTGACCCCAATAAAGCCCCAGTATGTCACAATAAATGTTATAGAGTTTAAGATCACATTGAATGAATGAATGAATGAATGAATGAACTGGGGTTCATGTCTTACTTTTCTGCAACTACCGGGCTAATGCTGACAGAGGGTGTGCTATAAGGAACATTTTGCCCAGACAGCAATTGAATTTCCGTTGTCAAAGGTTCTTTTACGTGCACACCAACTTGTCATTGTCAGGCCCTCTGCTCTGGATCACTGACAAGGGGAACCACGTCGGAAAATCCAGAGCTTTCGCAGTCAACACCGCAACCCAACCCAGCGAACCAGCGCCTGACTCACTGAGCCACCATCTTTATCTCCCGTAGCTATATAAAATTAAGTTTGTCTATTCTTCGTGACGATTTATGTTATAGATAATAACAACAGTCTTTGTTTTAAAATATTGGACAACTCCTAAAATATATGTGAACGATCTGGCTGGTTGGTCCTTTAACACATTTCTTTATTTAAAAATAATAGATTATTCCCAAGTTTACATACACAAAAGGGCGTTCTTTTTAAAATAAAATAATTTGTCAATAATTTGTAGCATACAAACTCTATGATTTGTTGATATATTTGAATTAAAAATATATTGAAACTAATTTATTTATCAACATTTTCCATCAAAATCGGAATATATTTTGGTCAGCTATATTTACCACGTGACTTGATGGAGGGAGAATACATTTCAGCTTGTCTGTGTCCGTTTACCATAAATATCGAAACCTAAGTTAATTCCTGGATTAACCTCGTCATCTTCTTTTTCTGTCATTTAATCACCGGGTCTACTAGACGTCTAATTCACCCCATGTTCTAACAACAGTTAGCCATTAGATAAACACATTTAACCCAGGAGACAGGCTGCCTGTTAGGGATACCCTCACAATCTCGTTTTGTGAGCTGCCGATGGGTGTTGTTAAGAGAATCCAGTATTTGTCTATAAATACTTTAGTGTGAATGTATCTTTAATTTCAGTTAGACTTTGGTCCTGCAGTAGAACAGTGGGCAGTAGGCACTATGGGACAGGACATGACGTGTATTGGTGGAAGATTTGGTGTGACGAGTGGTGATTTATTTAATCCAGCATTTAAATGGAATGTGACAGCAGGCCTTCTTCCTATTTTACCGATCCATCTAGTAGCTGGTTTAGCATACAGGGTATGGTCTATGAACTATTCGATTCTGGTGGCAGGGGTAAATTTCGAAATCATCGAATCACTTGATACCGCGTCAGTATAGACGCCCACGAAGCTGTTTGAAAGGTTTTGGATCCAACGTACTGTTTGTTGACTGATAGCGAAAGAGTGAAGTGGATGTCGGGCGGGAAGCAGAGCATGCTTACTGTCGAAATGGACGTACTATTATACTACTCAGTTGTATATGGATTTTTCATTTGTCGGATCGATAGTACTAAATTTAACTTTATTCCAAAGTAGGTCGAAATATCAAACATTATTGAATGAATTTATATATTTTGTCAGGCTTCAAGGAAAGTAAAATATTTTGAAAAGACAATCCAGCCGGATGAGATTGTGGCCATTTCAGGATCCCGATCAAGAGAAATCGACGAGCAGAAAGAAACACTTGCTGATTGTAAGTGCATTTTTGTAGATTATTGTAATATTCTATAAGAACTTTGTCAGTAATTTAATGTATAACTTTGGAGACGTACTATCTATAAAGGAGTCCAGATTCTGACGCCACCTATCTATAGTCGAGTTTATATTGTATTTTACCTGCGTTTACAAACATCGCAACAGGGTAGAAAAAATTAATATTTCTCGCAAAAGCTCCACCTTATCTTAAACTATTATTTAGAGGAAATATACTCTTCAAAAATAGTAGGGAATATCCAGAAACAATACAAAACTGCGGAAATGCACTGCTGTTTTTATTAGAGGTAACCAGTGTATGTTAAAAACAGGCCAATTGCCCACACATGAATACCAACAGTTCATATGGGCGGCTTATCTGACGACCCCATTTCACTCGCGAAGAGATACACTGTCAAAAGTGAAAATGGACGTTTTTGATTTTTCTCTTAATAATGAGTAATTGCTCCACCAATCCCCAGACATTCATCAATTCGTTGTGCCATGCCCCTAATAAACCGTCCAAGGACGAGGCAATCTGACCCACTCCTCTTGCAGTGCCACGGCCAGTTCTTGCAGTGTTGTCGGTTGACGTTGATGTCGACGAACACGTCTCCCGATCATGTCTCAGACATGCTCTATAGGAGAAAGGTCAGGACTCATGGCTGGCCAAGGCATATGGACAATATGATGACGCTGGAGGTAGTCATTCACGACACGAGTGTGGTGGGCACAGGCATTATCATCTTGAAAGATGAAACGTTGGCCTGCACGTTGAGCAAAGGGCAGAACTATCGGTGCCAGGATGTGGTCACGGTAGTACACACCAATGACCCTTCCTTGAACAACATGCAAGTCCGTTCTGACAGTCATGGTGATTCCGCCCCACACCATAACAGACCCACGCCCGACCCTGTCATGCTGCCTGAAGTTAACGTTAGCATGGCGCTCATTTACACGCCTCCAAACGCGAGCACGCCTATCGGCGAAATCCAGATTAAATGAGAACATAACACGCGCCTATCGACGATTACCCCTACTTCTTCACTGCCTACACCATTGACGCCTGTTTGCCATGTGCTGGCGAGTTAATGGAGGCACAACACGCGGTCGTCGCGCATGCAAATCGGCTGCATGTAGCCTATTTCTATTCGTTTAGGGTGTAACTCGAATTCCTGTAACTTGGTACAAGTTTACAGAAAGCTGATTGGCCGTTTGTCCTCGATTTCGCAGGACCCGTGTCCGAATGTATCGATCCTGGGCTTGTGTAGTGGCTCTAGGACGACCTGAACGAGGTCTATCATCAGCATTGTGTGTTTTTTGGTACCGGTTCCAGTCTGCTGATCACAGACTGTGACACATTAAGCATGTTGGCTACTGCTCGCTGTGTAGAACCCATTTGAAGCATTTCAATAACACGTAGACGTTCATCATGTTGAAGACGTCTCATTGCAAAATAAACGTAACACACTAAAGCAAAGATACGCTCAACAGTAAATCTTATGCAAGAGCCGATTTGACAATGAAGCCCTCCCACATGTATGGCGCTTTTTCGTGTCGCACGTGCAGCTCAGTAGTTATGTTGTGGCGATAAGTTCTTCATCTGTGAACATACTCTCAAAGCATGTCAAGTGTCCATGACTATTTATCATATCACAATCTGCATAGGTATTTGCATTTCATATATGAAACGTGGTTTAACGTGTTACTTTTCTGCACCAACCGGGATAATGAATACAGGGGTTTTAATTAAATGAAATTTTATATACAATGTATAAGTTGATTTGTATACTGGTCTCTCTGAATTGCCCCTTTGCCCTCCAGATACATGCATAATATTGAGGTAAAGTGCGCTAACACTATTAAGGCTGCAGTTTCCAGAACAAAGTGCATCTGATGGGCTGGTTTGGTTGGGTTTTTGTTATATTTTATTTACACCCCCACCCCACCCCGCCTCCAAGCATTAAACTCCTCAACCCGTCTCATTCCTTAGATTTTCATTTTCTTAGGTTTCCACAAAAAAAACCTAGACAATTGTTGAATGCAGGCGCGTGGTCGCTAATATTATTACTGGTCAAAGGGGGACAATCAAGAGAGTGAATAGTCTTAATAAAGAAGTGCAGCGTATTAACACACACACCACAGTAATGTCCATTTACTGACATTAACGTTATCTTTAATTCAATTCTTTTTTTTACAGTAATTCGTATTGCAGTGTCCCTTTCCATTGAAAAATGTACACGATGTGGATTCCTGCTCAGCAGTGAGGATACGAGTACACAAACATGTTCGTGTCCTTATGACGGTAACGATGTGAGAAATGTTCGCAACGCAAATATAGCTACGACTTCCTTCACACAAAGCCTGGACAAAGAGGACTCGGAACTCGATGACGAAACGAAGCTGAAAATAGCAGATTTCCACAGAATGACCCCTGTAGATCAAATCGTGCTTGATGACAGAAAGCAGTCGTTTGGTGGTTTGTCATGTTTTGATCTGGAAGTGGTTGACGAATCAAAACCCCAAGAAGCTCAATAATATTTGCAATTTTGACCTCCTGGAAATCAAAATGACCACGATGGAGCAAAGCCTCTTCTCTACTACTCTAAGTTCTTGAAAGTGCTATTACAGGAACTTGTGTAAATAATTGTAAGGCCACCCCTTTTTCTCGCATTGCACCCGGTTCTTGTAAAGCCGCTCTGGCTTCCACGGCTTTCTAAGCTATGGATCAATGACATTCCCGGGATAACGCTTCCATCATCCATCTAAATGACCGGGTAGGCAGGTGAGCGGGAAGACGTTTTAAAACAACAATATAAAATGTCCCCTCAAACCCTATTGTCCACATGCACTCCGGGTCATTGATTGGCTTGATAATATCCCAAATTCTCGAAGTTCATAGGTCCACATAACTGATTCAAGCTTATCAAGCCAGGTTGCCATTGTGGACGACTAGCTACATCACGGCCATTTTACACTAACTTCATCTCGGCCATTTCACACTAACCCTGTGGCAATCATTGTACATTAAAACCCCATCTCGGGATTTTTACACTAACCCCATCACCATCATTGTAAATACATTTCATATATTTGTAAAACAAATAATTCATCCGGTATTAGAATGGGATATAAATTTATTTTTCAAGATACGGTGTGAACCAGCAGGGAATAGTTCTATTTTGGTTGAAAGATTGTACTGTTTTGAGGTCCAATTATATTTTCTGCTTCGGACTAGATTTTGCAAGAAGTAAATATGATTTGTGACGTAAACGTTTTACTATTCCGCAACAACCGGGCTAATGAAGACGGACAACGACCTTTACTTGCACGGGTTCTTTTACATACACGCCAACGTGATCGCGGTTTTTCGTTCCTGCCAGCACCTCCGCCCTGCACCACTGACGGGTCAATAGCAGCCTGGAAATCTTACCGAACATTCTCGGCCAACTCCGGAATCGAATCTGTCCGTGAGATTTTGGTTAGTTATGACCGATACTAACCGAAAATTTGGCATGTTACGGCCGATACAAATCACCAAATAGGGATTAATTCGTAATATTCCAGAACAAATTGATCATGTGATGTAGAATTAAATCCTAGCTAACTCCATTTTGTTTTTATCCCTTGCAGGTTTATTAAAATAGGCCTACATACAAAATTTAAGATTTATTCATCTCTACTAATAGAATTGTTCATTAAATGTGATTCACACTATATTAAGAGATTAAAGCTGTTTATATTTGTGCGGTATTTATTCTTTTTCCTTTCTTGGTAATCGCCATCAGAACAAACGTCAGTTTGCCTTAGATATCTTCAGTCGTTTGCACGTGACTACCATTGTGATACCATAACTACCAACGCCAGCGTGGTTCACGATTACCACAGTCTGTGGCACAGTGAAAAACTCATGAAATGGTTTCATCTTTCTTTTGTTGACAAGAAGCAGATTTCTTCAAACGTCTTCTATTGAAGAATTCTACTATCAGGAGAGCAATGAACTCGACCAATTCAGTCAGTGAGAGCAGACTCGCCCCGAGAAACAGTCCCATATGTCCCCCAAGATCAGCTGTAAAAAATAAAATGAAAGAGTTTCAGATAAGATTTTAAAAGGGTTTTAAGTTAGAATCGGGCTGCCCAAAGTCCCATTTTGTAGAGCGGTTCTTTAAAGACTTCTATAACAGTCTAGATATATCCTACCTTATAGCCCAACCAAACAACACCCTCACTATGGCCACTCTCACTTTAGCCAGAAAAGGGGAACAGAGCGCAATAGTGGACATTATAAAATCAGTTGGTTTCAAACACAAAACGAAAAACTATATCCCGATCAGTTAGTCTCTTTTGATGTATCATTTCATTCCATCCCAACTGCACCTTTATCAAAGCACGTGAATGCCTGATTCTACTAGATTAACCGTAAGGAAAGAGGTTCTGTACTTATAATCCACGTCAATGTAATCATCTACAACATTTAACCATAAAGTTAAAATGTTAGAAAATTCTACCTTTAATGAATTTGTGGGAATATTGCTATAAGGTGCGTGACGTGATACCATGCCCGCCCCCTTCCCTCATCATGCTTCTAAAGCCAATCAAGGCAACAAACCAGCCTGGAACGTTCTCCGCCATCAAAGGGATCTCTAGGTTAGTCACACTCACGGATCCGGCGTGGCTCGGTCTACTTTTTAATCGAGAAATAGTATTTCGTTTTGTGTTTGAAACAAATCGTTTTGCACCAACACCGTGTAGTCGGCTACATAGTTCAGGTTTCCATATTTGTCCAAGTGGATTGTCTTCCAATTTGTGCCAGAAAGTTCCATGACCAGCAGCAATAGCAGCTTTTTGCAATTACATCTGGTATCGTAGCTTTATGGAAGCTTCTTGTCCTTGTCTTAACATTCTCGTTTTATAAGCATGTTGGGGTGGATAGATAAAACATAATTATTATTCTTACCGACGATTCCCTGTACCGTCAGCTCTGGTATCTGTTCTGTTTTGGTAACTGTCAAGGTATCGTAGAATATCCTCAGATCAATCACATTATTCCTGGTAAACGTGTAAAACATATTACTACACAAAATTTTTCTATCATTCATAACCCAAAGAGTATTTGTTTGTTTAAAGGAGGCACTAAATTATTTACGGTTTGTCCTTGATATAAATATGCCAAAGCCTAAGCATCAGCATGGTTGGAAAAATAGACGTTTGTTTGACAATTAATCACACGATAAATATAGGACATCGAAAAAGGACGGGTATTCTAATTAGGTGGGATACTAGATATTGATTGTATGAACTATCCTGTGAAATTAACATTTTCATGTTCGGTAAAGTGAAAGAGCACAGGATACAAGATCGACAATGGATGAAAACTCCCAGTAGACCGGTAAGACTCGCGTATATGAATGTAAATCGTTTTGCAATTCGAGAAATGACGTAATTTTTTTTTAACGCGATTAACAAATTCAAACTACATGTATGTACGTGCGTTATATCATGCAACTGAAGCAAATTGACCCATTCTGTTAAGCTCACTCTGGCTACCTTGCAGTCGTTTAGTGGTAGAATCGTTTCTTCTGTAACAACTAAATTTAACGAGGAGCTGTCCCCGGTCCATGCGTTGGTAGGGCAAGAAGGTTGGATTATAGACCACTAATTTTAAACGAGATGCTCTGTACAAGTTGATCTGCTAGTCGAGGGGCGTAAGGACCGTTCCTGAGGGAGAGCTAAGGCCCCATTTTCTAATGGGTAATTGATGATTAATCGTAACGCAACGTACCGTATGTATTCCTTGTCTTGCATCATGTTTGTAGCAACCATATAATCAATTATAAAACTTGAAGCAAAGTCAGCCGATGACAGTTGTGTGTTATACTTGATAGTATGACATCTACTTGGACAAGCAGTGCACATATTTAACACTTTCTCCATTTTCTTGTCTGAAATACGATAAAAAAAACTATGATAAAAGACAGATATGAGATAACCCCACAAGGTGAAAACCAGATCATATCCTAATAGACCGCCCTATAAAGCGAAAAACATATCTTATCCTAACAGCCCAAATCTTATCATAAAGAGATAATAAGAAGATGGCCCCATGAGGTGAAAACCAAAGTTGTCGTAGTCCTAGAATTCCCCAATCTGATTAAAACACAGATCCAATTTCGTTTCGTTTTTATAGTTCAAAATTTCGATTTTACTTGGATCTGGAAGCGTTGTTATTTAACTCGTGTTCTGCTTGAAATGAGGGGCCAGCCAATCAAATGATCTGTCGAATCGAGCGTTTGACCTTTTTTGCGCGGAACTGTGGGGTAGACATTAGCGGCAATAGAAATGAAAATGAAATGAAATGGGGTTTAACGTCCTACTGTTTTGCTTAGCGGCAATAGAAATCAAAACAAAGCAAGAGTAGATAAAAAATACATGGCGGTCGCTAATTGTTTAATCGAATGACTGACGTAATCGGGTCAAATGTCGCTTGCTTAATACCTGACGTCATAGAACGTGAACTCCCACTATAACTTGTTAGATCTACATGTAGTGTAGGCCATCGAAAGTATAAAAAATGAAACGAAATATAGATCTATATTTTAATTAGATTGAGAATTCCCGAATAGTAAATTGTTGTACTGAAATGCAGCACTTGCTTTGTGTGGAAACTGCCCAATTATATAGAGGTCGATATCCTAGAGCAGTGGTTCTCAACCTTTTTTGCCAACGGCACACCTTGGAACACGTCAAAAAATAGCGGCACACCTGGCTAAATATATATGGGATATAAAAAAATATATGAATTTTGCAAAATAAAACATAACAAGTCATTGACGACATACAGCCATAGATACAGACTAGTCATAGACACATAGAATGACTCAAACTAAATAAAGAAAAACACAGCTATGAACTTATTACTTTATTGCAGTGTTTCGAATTTCATCACTTAAATAGCTGGCTTCTTTAGTGAGAAATTGGGGGGTTGGGATGGCCTAGTGGTCTAGAGTGTCACGCTTCGACCTCTAGCTGGGGTTGTGGTTTCGATCCCTGATGTGAGCGTATGTGGCTTGGAGATAGGGGCGCCTTCTCAACCTCGTGGGTTTACTCCGGGTACTCCGGTTTCCTCCCACAGGAAAGACCCCTGCGCGTGCGCTAAGATAATGAAAATAAAATAAAAAAAAGACAACTTGTCTGCGATATCACCTTCGGTGGAAGCGGACGTTAAACACTAACAACAACAAGTGAGAAATTTTCTTAGTGTTCTATTCAAAATTTCGCGGCTCACTTTGGAAGATCTTGCGGCACACTGGTTGAGAATCACTGTCCTAAAGCATGGCATGATTCTTTGCGGATTACTTTCACGTTTACAGAGAACCCAGCTATAATTTTATGAACTCTTTATAAAGACATGCCAGTTACGTAATTTCTGTCATTCGAACAGAGATGAATGTATAAATACGCCTCTCACCTGCCAATGTTGGAAGATAACAGTTCTCAAATTGTTCTACAGAACAATACACTTCTGTTCCTAACAAAATAAAAAACTTGGTAAATAAAAAGAGGAATATCATTGTTATAAGCTAGTCTATACAGAGATCGGTGGTTAATGAAAAATATTTTTCTTTTTATACCTTGGATCCGCGGTGGCTTAGTGAGGAAGACGTAGGCTCGCTAAGCGTGTTCGATCCCGGTGTTGGCCGAGATAGGTCAGCGGGATTTTACGGCGTGGTTCCTCCGTTTCAGTGACACAGGACAGACGGACTGCCGTGGAACAACGTATAGTAGTTTGGATGAAACGGAAAACTGGGGTCCCGTGTACATATTGGCGTGCAAATGAAAGAACCCCTGGCAAGTGGAATTCAATACAAGAGTAGACTGTAGAGCCGCTGTCCTGGCAAAATTTTCCCCATAGCCCACTGTATGGTGTTAGCCGTTTTCATAAGACCAGTCGGAGCAGACCAGTAGGACGTTAAACCCCATTTCATTTCATTTCATTTACATTACCTGGACTAAAGAAATGTCGACAATTGCATTTGTGGGCCATGTAGTTCAGTACACAATTTCTTTGACATGTGGTTCTGGTGTACGTGTAGTTGGCGAATCTCTTCAATGGTGTCTCAAATCCCTCCTCATCAGTATCATAACAGTAGGATGTTCCAAAAGCTTTATATGGACTCCCCAGACCGACTGACTTAAAATACAGACAAAAAGCATACTTAATGCAATATGCGGCAACCAGTGATGGCATTGCTTTATACAGTTATGCATTGTATCTGTTTAATAACTTCTTCGTAATAATCTAAGCTACTCGTGTGACGCTGCACTGCTTTCTAATAAGTTACGATACCCTGTGACGCTGCATCGCTTCGTAACAAGTTAAAGGACAATATTGGTGTCAGTCATTATCACATATGTGATAGAACTAATTAAACACGTTCCAAATAGAATTTCAACACAGAGATCATTGCTACAATAGCTGAGTAATACAGGTTTCCTGTATCGGAGGTGACGTACGCCAAAGGAAAACACGAGTCATCCCCTATATAACTGACTGAAGTGACGAGTGATACCAGATACATGGGCGAATTTCTGCTCACTAATAATTCCTTCCAAGACCAAAAAGTTGTTGTGTTAGACTGTGGGAGGAAATCTGACAATTCATTACGGAATTACATGTTTTTATAAGGTATAGAATGAATATAAACAAGGGAATGTACGGACTATTTCTATTTTTCTTGTGTTCTCTTATCTAATGACATTTAATTACTTTATTGAATTGTCAGGTATCCTCTTACAGTCCCATATAACAACTTTTGGTCTTCGAAGGAATTATTAGTGAGCAGAAATTCGACCGTGTATCTGTTATCACTCGTCACATCAGTCAGTTATATAGAGGGATGACTCGTGTTTTCCTTTGGCGTTCGTCACTTCCGATTCAGGAAACCTGTATTACTCAGCTATCGTAGCAATGATCTCTCTGATAAATTATATTTGGAATGTGTTTAACCAGCTCTATCACATATGTGATAATGACTGGCACTAATATTGTCCTTTAAGCTACTCGTGCGACGCTGCACTGCGGGACAGCTATGGCGGTATACTAGTGACGACGGTGTTCCTTGTCATTTTACCGCCGTTCTGCTATACATATCATGTACAATGTATGTCGTAACCTATCACTAACTGGTAATCTTTTCGTCAGATGCCTATTCTTCTTTTATTGTATTCTATCTTTAATGACCCGGTTGTTAATGTTGTTTGTTCGGCTAAAACCCTACACCAGGTTGCCAAAATTATATTACATCTTAAGTCATAAAACAAACGTGAAGTTGACTCCAACGTAATGCCAAATGAATTAAGTTCAATACCAAACCTATCCCCAATACATCGTGTACATAATTCATATGCGAAATTGCATGATAACTGTCATACCTCTTCTTTCCTGATACTGAGTGCCGTGGAGGTCCCTGGTCTTACGAACAATCCGTGATTGAATAAATTCGGAGCTTCATTCGGCTCATTTAATAATACCTTAAATTCAAAAAGAAATTCAAGATGTACAGCAAAATGTAGCAACAACGTCGTTTGTCGAGCAAAATCAGTAATTGTAAGGTTGGCCAAAATTATTCGTATCTCTATATTTCGAAATATGTCGTCCCGGGATGCATTTACAAAAAGAAGGCCAAGTTTAGTGGGAACTTCCAGATCATTTAAAGGATTAAGGGTTTTTTTTCGAACATTTCTGAAAGACCAAACCGACGCATATTCGGAGAACAGGTTCTTTTAATATTTCAATCGTTCGAATTTTCGGAAAAAATGCCTACGTCGATAGTGTCATTATTTCTACTGCTGCTGATATAATGACAATGCCAGTTTGGCGTTCTCGGAAGGAGAACTGAATATTCAGGAGCACAATAAATACTCCCCCGTGATTTGCTATTCATGGGAGTCGATGCGAATAAGTTGAGATCGTATAGCTTGATGAATCTTTAGCCAATTTTGTGCAGAAATAAAATTCCCTGATGGGTAACTAACCATTTCTCTCATATGCCGAGTTGTCTTGACCGTCAGAGACGTGCTTGAGGCCCCAAAGTATTGTAGGCATATCAAACTTAAGGTTACCCCCCCCTCCCCCTTGAGCGTTATCAAACATCTGTTTCTTGTTCCATTCCCTGCCAGCACGCCTCTGCTGACCGTAACGACGGGAGAACCGTTTATCAAAAGAGTTTGATAATGGATTTTCGATAATTAGACACACCAGAGTTTATTTGACAAAGTGATATTGTCCAAAATTACATTACATTGATTTTCTTTATAAAAGTGGTAACGCCTGTTCATGTTTTGTCAGAAGAAGTTTAATGGCACATTTGCTCTTGTAGGGTATTAAGGATTCAAGTTTTCCCGGAATAAGACTATAAACAAGAAAATATTAGGCGAAATAGCCAAGAAACATGGTTTCCGTGTAGGCCTTCTTACCTTAATGCCTGATTGTGATGTAGCGGAGAAGAAAGAAAATATTTGCTGAATATCTAGCATCACACGCAGCCCCCCACCAGGTCCACTGGTGGTCGTCGTCAATACATCAGAGGCATTTCCATTAAAGCGATAACACACTCCGAAATCGGTTACCTCCCTTTCAAAAACCTCACTGCAGTTGATGTTGCGTCCTTGCCACGTGCAATACAGAAACATCTCGTCCAGGGTATGTGCGGCATCCATAGCAAAAGAATAAAGGTAATCCCCAGAGTGGTCGACTATCTCACTGGGCCCGTTGTTGTGAGTATCTCTTATCTGATTCAGATATTTCCCTATATGGGCAAATTCACTGAGGTTATAAAGCAACTCCAGAAGTGGGACATGGTGGGGTAGCCTGTTACGATGATACTGGTTTGTGTTACAAATGGTTACGGCCGGAAAAACCAACTCGTTGTGAAATTCAGCCTTTACAATCGTCGAGGACGGATGTTCTTGATAACGTCGAAATTCCATGTAGACTAAGCATGTCAGGACAATGGACATGACAATCAGTAATGTAACCCATGTAAGCCTGAAATAAGTCCAGAAAGACCCATAACATGAACCTCATGAAACAATTATTTGCATTTAATGTGACCGCATAACGAACAATATATCCACCCACAGTTATGAAGTTAGCCAGGTTGTTAAAGTGGGATACCTGACGTAACACCTTCACAGGTCCCCGAGGTGTGGTTTTAATAACATCAGCGATAACTATTTATAAAACATTAGCCATAAAAGCCTTTCATTTCAGTGCGGTGGCTCCTGATGAAAATCTAAACAATTGCGGAAACAGTTTGGGTGGAAATGACAAAACCTCCGTAAACACATGCTATTGCTAACATACATGTACATTACTCATTTGACGTCAGCGTCCTCTTGAAGAAAGAAGCGGATTATACAATTTTTGACGACTCAGCACAACACTTTTGTCATTTTTATACGCCCACATTTTCAGGTCACAATTTTTATCCGATTTCAATGAAACTTGAAATATAGGTTTATCACCCTAAGATCTCGGTTCCTTTCGATATTGGCATCTATCGGACCGTAACTTCATGGATTATTGCCCCTGATTGTACGAAAAATCACGTTTTTGGCTTGTGAACACTGTAGAGGTCACAATTTTTATCCGATTTTGTTGAAACTTGAAATGTAAGTCTATAACCCAAAGATCTCGGTTCCTTTCGATATTCGCGCATATCGGCCCCTGATTGTACGTACAAACGCGTTTTTTGGCTTGTGGACCCTATAGAGGTCATAATTTTTATCCGATTTAAAAAACCGTGTTAATATATCACCGTTACACCCTAAGGACGGCTGAGTTCGAATTTCGTAAAAATCGACCCAGAACTAAGAGACAAAATGGCCGCCGTTTGTTCTCAAATAGCGTAAAAATATGGTATATCAAGGTCGTGGACCCTATAGAGGTCACAATTTTTATCCGATTTTGTTGAAACTTGAAATGTAAGTTTATAACACAAAGATCTTGATTCCTTTCGATATTCGCGCATATCGGGCCGTAACTTCATGAATTATGGCCCCTGATTGTACGCAAAAACGCGTTTTTTGGCTTATGGACCCTATAGAGGTCATAATTTTTATCAGATATAAAAAACCGTGTTAATATATCACCGTTACACCCTAAGGACGGCTGAGTTCGAATTTCGTAAAAATCGACCCAGAACTGAGAGACAAAATGGCCGCCGTTTGTTCTCAAATAGCGTAAAAATATGGTATATCAAGGTTGTGGACCCTATAGAGGTCACAATTTTTATCCGATTTTGTTGAAACTTGATATGTAAGTTTATAACACAAAGATCTTGGTTCCTTTCGATATTCGCGCATATCGGACCGTAACTTCATGAATTATGGCCCCTGATTGTACGCAAAAACGCGTTTTTTGGCTTGTGGACCTTATAGAGGTCATAATTTTTATCCGATTTAAAAAACCGTGTTAATACATCACCGTTACACCATAAAGACAGCTGAGTTTGAATTTCGTGAAAATCGGCCCAAAACTGACAGACAAAATGGCTGCCGTTCGTTCTCAAATAGCGTAAGAATATGGTATATCAAGGTTGTGGACCCTATAGAGGTCACAATTTTTATCCGATTTCGTTGAAACTTGAAATGTAAGTTCATAACCCAAAGATCTCGGTTTCTTTCGATATTCGCGCATATGGGACAGTAACTTCCTGAATTATAGGCCCTGATTGTACGAAAAATCACGTTTTTAGCTTGTGGACCCTATAGAGGTCATAATTATTATCCGATTTAAAAAATCATATTATTATATCACCGTTACACCCTAAGAGCGACTGAGTTCGAATTTCGTGAAAATCGGCCAAAAACTGCGACAGATAAAATGGCCGCCTTTCGTTCTCAAATAGCGTAAAAATATGGTATATCAGAGGTTACAATTTTTATCCTATTTTGTTGAAACTTGAAATGTAAGTTTATAACCCAAAGATCTTGGTTCCTTTCGATATTCGCGCATATCGGACCGTAACTTACTGAATTATGGCCCCTGATTGTACGAAAAATCGCGTTTTTAGCTTGTGGACCCTATAGAGGTCATAATTTTTATCCGATTTAAAAAAACGTATTATTATATCACCGTTACACCCTAAGGACGACTGAGTTCAAATTTCGTGAAAATCGGCCCAAAACTGACAGACAAAATGGCCGTCCCTCGTTCTCAAATTGCGTAAAAATATGGTATATCAAGGTTGTGGACCCTATAGAGGTCACAATTTTTTATCCGATTTTGTTGAAACTTGAAATGTAAGTTTATAACTCAAAGATCTTGGTTCCTTTCGATATTTGCGCATATCGAATTGTAATTTTCTGAATTATGGCCCTTGATTGTAGGAAAAATCACTTTCGTTTTAGCTTGTTTTCTATCCATCTCTCGAAAATGTGGGCGTATCCTGCCTGACAGCCGCTGGTTCTATGCAAGTGGGGAACCTGGCCCAAAAAACCCTAGACACGAGTCGGTGTTCGTCCATACATTCTAGTATGGAGAGTCCATTTATAGCGCCAACCTCGTGGGTTTTCTCCGGGTCCTCCGGTTTCCTCCCACTGCTAAAGACCCCTACGCGCAAGCGAACTATTGAAATAAAAATTAAAACCATATGTTAGTCCCGAAATGACCTAGTTTGTGTCGAGTGGACGTTAAACCCCATGTCTCTCTCTCTCTCCATTTATAGCGACCCTATATCGGATCAATTGATTGAATTCAGCATGTTTGGGTCGAAGAGCGTACCAGTTTTATATCTTATGTGTATTGATGTGCACAACTTACCTTCTAAATCTGTAAATTTGTGGAGCTCCAACTTTCGAAACTCCATGGATTGTTGCCGATTGACTATACATATCAACCATACCCTTGGGACCCATTGATTTATCCCTTTCTTCATTTTCACCCTTTTCATCCTTAATTTCTGGTTTCTCCATTTCTATCGTTAGCTTCATGGGTGGTCAAGTCTTGGTAACCATTGGTATAGAAAAGGGTATAAACCAAAGAAGTAATTTGCAGGTTTGGTATAATACCATCCACAATGTCGTCTCCCTAACCCGTATTCATCATGACAAGGAAATGACAACCCCGAGACAAGTCGGTTGATAGTCCCCTAATGATCAAGTTTAAAAGCTGTGAACAAAGCGGCTGGTATAATCCATAAAATATGATATCCACTGTTTAATGTGTCATTAATTCGTCCAATGCCAGCAAATATCATTATTATTACTACACTTACGATATTACCTCTCGATTTATTTCCCACTTAATCGACACAATTTGTCATAATCTGTGTATTATCGCCTATAAAACACAGCATTCAGCCTGATCACTTTTAAAAGCCCGGGTCCTCGATTTGCAATTGGTTTCCAGTATTCACCGTCGCTCATTGGATTGCTGTTCCGTATGAAACGGGCCGTTAAACGACGATGCACTGCCACCAGTATTAGCCAATTAAAACCAGAAACAAAAAAAAAACCCGCAAAGCTACTGATACCATATTGGGGTTTATATCGACCTATAATTTCGATTTGATTTATTTGACATTTTGTATCGTTAAACAGTCACTGATTTGGGCATTATTGAAGAGGTGTTGGATATTTTTAAACCGCTTTTGTAAAATTAAAAACACTTATCTGGATGTACTAATTCTGAATTTTATTAACATGCTAAGTTTCAATACACATACAGGTATCGTTATCAAGCAAATAATGATTAGCTAACAAAAATGTGGCGCAATATATAGATGAATAACAACAAATTAGTTGACAAGATGAAAGGTGTAATATATAGATAACAACTAAAAACCATTTAGCAGATAGGCCTACAACAATTAATTAACCAGATGAAAGATGTAATAAAAAGACAAAGGAACAAGATGAAAGAGATTAACATAATCATAAAGAAAAGAGGGTGGTGGGGGGAGAAAATAGCAACCACACACTAATTAGGGATTAAGTAAATATACCCATAGATTTGGGAGAAAGTGCCCCGAGCCTCTGTTTCATTTAGGCTTATGTGTAATAATATTGCTAGAATTTTTGCTCTTGAAATTAATGGGAGCAGTATATTTCATTAATTAATATCTTTGGTGGCAAGTTATTAAATTCACATATATGTACTAAAATGAACTTAGTGCGTAAGTGACAGTTGACACATAAAACGAGTTACAGAACCAAAATATAGCTGGCTGTATGTGTCAATAAAATACCACGAGATTACACGTGAGTGGAAATATTCTAATTGCATCATTTGGCTTAATTTAACCAATCATATCAGAAATTGCACAGGTTCAAGGCCAGGAACAGGCTTTCTGTGCGTGATATGCATGAGCTCTATAAAAGAAATCATAGTAAACTTTTAAGTCAAGACTTAATTTAGATTCTAGAGAGGTTCCATCTGAGTTCCTAGACAGCCGCTTGGGGGGGTTGGATGGCTGAATGGTTAGCGTGCGCGCGCTGTATCAAAACGTCTGTCATTGAGTCGACTGGCGTGGTTTCGAATCCCCTGTTGTACGTGGCAAGGAGTAGGGTCGCCTGTCCAACCTCGTGGGTTTTCTCCGGGTCCTCCGGTTTCCTCCCACTGCTAAAGACCCCTACGCGCAAGCGAATTATGTAAATAAAATTAAACCATATGTTAGTCCCGAAATGACCTAGTTTGTGTCGAGTGGTCGTTAAACCCCATTTCTCTCTCTCTCTCTATTATGCTTGTATACATGTATTCGGCTATATACATGTATATATAAAATGTAGAAGCGAACTGTTGCATTGTTATTCCTGGTAAGACAAACGTCTTAAGAAAACTGTAAGACAATATACGTCCACATGAAAATGTGGGCGTATAAAAATAATCATCCGAAATTCCATCACAATTCCATTCATAGGACCATTTTTTCCATTGGCCGCTATTTTCCTTTTATCCTCCGAATATCGCGAGATTTGATACCGCCCGGGAATGTTTTTCCCGCGCTGCCCTCACGTTAGTCTATATCATCCAGAAAAATATTCTGTACGTTGAAGACTAGGAGGTTCTGGATAATCGAGACTACGCTCACGTTGGTTTAAGGGATAGAGTTATTTTCCCTGAAGTTTTTCGTCTTTGCGTTATGTGGTACTGTTTGTGCCGAGGACTTTTAGACCAACCGGGGACGTCCTGGACAAAAACTAAACTTACATGTTACTACATAAGGCATCAAATGTAAACACGGATGGACAGAATAATCATCCGAAATTCATCACAATTCCATTCATAGGACCAGCCAGCCACAAAAGTCAAAGAATTTTAAAAGAGCAAATAGATGCAGATGTAGTGTTTATCAGCGGAACTACACTAAAAAAAACATGTTAAACGCAACTGGCAGAATAAAACAACCAAGAGACGACCCAAAGTGTGTTATATATACAAAAAAATGTGAGTGTAATGACGCCTGTGTTGGTAAAACATTCCTGGCGGTTTCCATGCGAATTAAAGAGCAACACACCGCAGTCAGAAAATAAGAATATAACAAATCGCAATAGCAGAACATATTTACAACAATCCACAGCATGAAATCAAATGGGAAACGACGGAAATTCTAGCCAGGAACCGAACAGGGTGGAAAAACCGAATTCTTCTAGAAATCCAGAAACATGGACGTGGAAAGCGGGACCATTCCAAAAACCGGTCGCCACATCTTACATACGACCCATGCATCTTTTCTTACTATATATTTCTGCAGCCTTGTGATCGTCTAGAATTTGTCTCTAGCTGTCTTTACTTCTGCTTCACGTTGTGTATTTACTTCTTACTATCATTGTGTCGGAAGTGAGATTTTCACCCCAGTCAACTTCAAATCCGCGTAGCAAAAAATGTAAATTGTCAACCCCCTACAAAATTATGATGAGGAGATTGCCAAATGTTGTCCCCATTGTGCCTATAAAGATTGAAACCAACGGAATTTTGAGCAAAAAACTACAGCCTGTGATGTTACAGCCATTTAACATTGAAGTCAATGGGCAAATAATTGCTAGTCTGAGTCCTGAATAAAATGGGTTCGTCTGTCCGTCACACTTTTTGGGACACAATAACTCTTTTTCTAATTGAGCTTAAATGTTCAAACTTGGTAAAGGTGTTTATTAGGTCATTGCCTTGATGGAGTTCGAAGACGAGCATTTTCTGCTTGGGATAAGCAATTTGATTGGTTGATGCTTTGGGGCACGATAACTTTAGTTCTAATTAAGTGATGAAACTAGGTGTATACCGGTAGTTTAATTGCATTATTACCTTGACTAAGTTCGGTAATGAGCATTTTCTGTCAGGGTAGGCAGAGCTATAAGCAATTTGATTGGTCAAGACTTTGTAACACGCTTATTCTAATTGAGTTAGAATGTTCACACTATGCGTAGGTGTCTTTTAGGTGAATGTCTTGATGGAGTTCGAAGATGAGAATTTTCTGCTTAGGGTAAGCAGAGATAAGCAATTTGAATGGTTGATGCTTTGGGACACGGTAACTTTAGTTCTAATTAAGTGAGATGAGGACACTTGGTGTATATCTTTATTTCATCAACACCATGACTAACTTCGACGATGAACATTTTCTGCTGAGGGTACGCAGAGCGATAAGCAATTTGATTGGTCGAGACTTTGGAACACAATAACTCTCTTTCTAATTGAGCTAGAATTTCCAAACTTGGTGTAGGTGTTCATTAGGTGAATGCCTTGATGGAGTTCGATGATAAACATTGTCTGCTTGCGGTAAGCAGAGATAAGAAATCTGATTGGTTGTAGCTTTGGGGCACGATAAACTTTAGTTTTAATTAAGTGAGAGTAATGCAACTCGAGTATAGATTCATTATATCATTACCTTGACTAAGTTCGATGATGAGAATTTTCTGCTTAGACTGGGTGAATGCCTTGATGGAGTTCGATGATGAACATTGTCTGCTTGCGGTAAGCAGAGATAAGCAATCTGATTGGTTGATGCTTTGGGGCACGATAAACTTTAGTTTTAATTAAGTGAGAGTAATGAAACTCGAGTATAGATTCATTATATCTTTACCTTGACTAAGTTCGATGAGAATTTTCTGCTTAGACTAAGGAGCGATAAGCAATTTGATTGGTCAAGACTTTGGAACGTAACAACTCTGCTATTAAAAGAGTAGACGTTTATTAGGTGAATGTCTTGACTGAGTTCAATGATTAACATTTCGAGCTAATGCTAAGCAATTTCAATGGTCGACGCTTTGGGACAAGATAACTTTTATTCTATCTGATAGTGAGTGATGAAACTTAGTGTATAGTTGATAATCAGTTTGATTGCTTGATACTTTTGAAAAAAAATAAATAAATCTGCTATTAATTAATATGTGTCATCTATTTATTTTGGGATTTCGGCGGGGAACATCAGCCCCACTGTAGGCTTGTTTGCTAAAAGTGTTGCGTCTCGTGTTCTAATGATTCAAGCATGGTTAAATGGACAGTAAACCCCCTCTAAATACGAAATAGGAAGTGTTTATCTCCTAATTAATTAGCCGGTGAATGGTTAATCCAGCTAAATAATATTTTTCCTGAATAATTGTTATTTTAGAAAGAATGCATTCGCAAACTAAATCTTGCTTATTGCAATCAGCCAGCTGAAATATTATCAAAGATGGTGGTCCATATTACCAATTTCGACAGAAATCAATTGGGATGCTACAATGAGGACATATATTCCGTCTACCCTTTGTCATTCCTCTTAAGATATTCAAGAATTGAGAGTCTGAAGGTGATGGTACAGACTTCAAGCATGATGCATTTCTGCCATCGCATGCTTCACTGTGTTGTGTTTAACATCGACGATGTTATCACACACGTATTGTTGTTCGGTGGTTATCCACCAAATACGTAACCCTGTGTAAGAATTGATCGTATCCACTTCCATACAAATAAAAAAACCCTTACATTCCATCAGATGTTTATCCTACATTTAACAAGCAAAGGGTTTCCCATGAATTTTGCAATGTGGTATACTGGACACTTGACAAGGATCTTATCAAAGAGAAATTTCTCAACCTTTTCACAATCAGGTCTCCACTAA